TCAATTTATTATTTTATTCTCATTCTACGTGACTTTACCGAAAGAACCAAAGAAGTTTGGTGGGTTTGCTCAGGATCAGTGCATATATCAGTCACCAATGATGTTCGCTAACCACTGCGCCACCGCTCCACACATTTCAATTAAAAAAAAATCTGTTTTGTGCCCGAGGACTTAATATATCTCTGTCATGGTTGCGAAAGACCAATTTAATACCAAACCTACATTAACACGTCGGGTTATACTTATATTGTTGTGTGCAATAATTACTCAGGAACTGGACAGAGAACATTAACGTTGCTGCACTTGGTCTAATTAACCTGGTTAGGATGAATGATGATTAAATCCAGGTAAAATGTTAACTGCTTTTAGAATACAAAATTCGGTACCGGTATGGATAGTTTTGTTTTTGTACATAGCAGCTCACTGACTCGACTTCAGATGCCTCAAATAACTTTTTTTGTTTTATCACAACTCCTGACATCACAGAGATACTTTATACGGGGATCACGTGAACCACGCGGTGTTTACCGGAATACGTTTAGGGTGACACATGGATGTTTGTGTTTTGAATGAGACGAGAAAACATCCGTGAAAGATCAATGTTACATTCTTTTTTCCTTAAATACACGCATCACCGCAACATCTGCCATGATCAATCCACATGGTGATAAAGGCCTCCAAAGACGGCCTCTAACCCCTCAAACGTCTAGCCATGTAACAACTCAGCTCCTTTCTACACACGACTGATTTAATGGCTCCATCTTCTCCAAGAGCGTGGTGGTAGAGACGTTGCAGCGAGTGTTTATGGGATTTGTTTAATGCCGGGTTTTTTTGTTAGTATTTTTCAGGGTGTAGAATTAGTTGGAGAGTGTTTTGACATACTGTGAGCTTTGTGGGGTGTAGAATGTTTTGCAGGGTTGTTTGATAGATATAGATCATTGCACTGTTTAGATGGCTATTGTGTGGTCGAGGCTATTGTGTGGTCGAGGCTATGTTGTCAGCAGGGGTAGTGTCGCAGTGGACCAAAATCCAACGTGTCTCTGCTGTCCACCTTCATTCACCGGCACTGACCAGCGTGGTGATGCATGTCCACAAACCCCCCCCGATCCAGCAGTGGAAAGGAATGTAAATGCACTCGTGTTTTAGAAGATGCAATGGACACGTTTTAGGGGGCATTTAGAACTGTTGGAGAACATATTCTTAGCTTTTTCGGTAAAGTCACGTTGAAGGGAAACAATAAAAAAATATATAAAACAATAAAAAAATTCTCACGACGTTTCGACCATAACACAAACGGTCGTCATCAGGTGTGTCGGTTTGCATAAATTGTTGGAGAACAATTGAGAGTGTTGTGTATATATTTAGGAAGTGTGTAATAGACGTGTGTGTTCTAGAGGGTGTTGTAATTGAATAAAAAATAGTTGAAAGGGCACAAGTGTGTATTTGAAGATATAACTTGTTAATTTTAGACGTGTGTGTTAAAATAGAGAGTGGCTTTTTGAAGGATATTGTATATTTAAGTTGTTGGAAGATGGCGTTAGCAGCACAATATACAGGGTGTTTCAAAAAAATGTTAACACTTACATGGGGCTATCGTTTTTATTATGGAAAAAGAACGGATAATTAACTGCAACTTGATAACAAATGTATGTTAATAGCTTCAAAAAGTCAAAGAGTCTCCACTTATTCGCCATCATTGTCAACACGTGGCCTGGAATCTTCTCCAGAGGGTCTCCAGAGCCCGGAGGCAGCACATTTCTTGTGGTTATTGTTGCAAATTCTCAGAAGTGTTAAAAAAACCCATTTTTAATTACTCTATATATTATTGTACTGTACCGTGCACAAAAGTATATGCCCCCTGCCTTTACCAACCTGCATTGACCAACATGGCAAAATATGGACAAAAACCCACGACGATCCGTGCGGCGTGGGGAGGCCCTCATGCAGGGATTGACAATGAATTTGAGAAAACGTGTTGGAGACATGCAGCGCGTTTTAGTTTTCGACGGCCTGTTGTGATGTTTTAATTATATTTCCAGGAGGGTGTTTATATAACATTTTAAGACGGCGGGTGTTAATTATAGACACGTGCGTTGTTTGGGACGGTACCGTTATGGCATGTCGGGTTCTACAGCGAGGTTGCAGTGTTGCCAACTCATTCTCGTCGCTATATGGGCCTCAAGAAGTCGACGCTAGATGTCGCTACGAGGGAAATGTTAATGTCATCAACAATGCACCACTGGACAATTTACAAGTGCAGTATATCAACACTTGTGACCCGATACAGGATCCTGACTAATTCCATGGAATAATGAGAAATAGTTTTACCACAATGTGGTAAACAAAGAGTGCATTTCAACAGGATCCTGAATGCATACCTGGAATAATGTCACTAAGCAATTTACCATTAATTACGGTATTCACCGTAGGAAACTGATGCCAGATCTTTAATCCAGACCTGGAATCGCACTTAAAACTGCATAATGTCCTCATCCCATAAAGTCACTCGATGTGTCGCTATCATCGCTGCGGCACATCCTCGCAGCAGCGGATTTTGGCTGGCCATGGAACAATGACGGTCAACTGCATTGCGCGCTTTCAGATGCGTCTGGAACGCTCATCTGATATTACGAAGCCACTGGAGCAATGTACTTTCAAATCTAGAGTGACAAACCCTTTTCTTTCCAACTGTTTTATTACACGCTTTTATTTAACTCAATCTGTCTGTCGTTGTTGTCGTATCCTCAAATCTTGTAACTCAATTTTAACCCACTTCCAAATGTGCTATCGACTGCAAACTTGGTATACTTATGTCATACTGATGACAATACTATATTATATAATTTAAATGTTTTAAAATATTTTTAAACAATCTTTTTTATATGTTATGTTTCGGCTTGGGTCTAATTGTCCACGCTCAACTGACGTTGGCTGTAAATGACCAGGGTCCCTTACTTTATGGCAAGCTTCGGGGCCACTTCCTGGAGTCGTGGAGTTCTGCCATTACTAGTATGGTACATTTAATTAAAGCGTTTTTTTTAAACGTATTTTTTTAATATTACTTATTTATTTGTGTTCAGTTTGTTGTCTTTCCCCCGCACCTCCGTTTAGCGCGGTTGGCTACGTGCGGCGCAAAATAAGTTCAACGTGTTCACACAAAACACGCGACATTTCAGAATAAACACCTATTTCTGGAGCCAAACATCGCACTTCCTGGCTTAGATATTCCTCCTCGAAGACACTGGTCGAGCAATTGTGCAACGCAACCTAAACTATGGGCCATGTAAACAAAAAACCTACAGAGAACCATAGAGATACATTAAAGACACGCGCCACAGTCGTGCCATTGTGGCCTTGCAGCCTAAACTATGGACCCATACAGCAAACCCATAGACAAAAATTATCATCGAGACTCACATACGTATTTTCAAGACAAGCGCCGCCCTAGTACGATTGTGGACATGCAACCCAAACTATGGACCCATATAACAAATACAACTACTCACGAACTATATATATCTCTCTTCTGAAGCCCTCTCGTCATGGCCTAACATTTAGCTCTTAAAGAACACAATGCTGGCCACTCAAACTTGAAAAATAGAATCCAGCGATATGAGAAAAAAAATCGGCCAGGTTGGCAACGCCGCAAGAAAACAAACAAGCGGTGATGTCACTGCGGTCGTGCTTTATACTAGGTCGACTCAGCCTCAAATGAGTACCTGGTGCGGTGTGTAGTAAACATCGCCACTGGGGGGGGAGGGGGGGTCAAAGTTCGGCCGGGCGTGGTGGTGCCGGCCACTCAACCCCTTCGTGTGCCACAGTGCCGGCAACCTTCATAGGTGCTGCTCGCTAACAGCACTTGCCCCAATAGTCTCTTACAGGCTGCACGGGGGACATTTGTCTTTGTGTTGCAGTGGGGGGAGCGGTGGTGTTGCGGTCAGCGCACTGCGCTACGAACCTGGCGATCCGAGTTCGACTCCCGCTCGCCGCCACCAACACCGGTTGACGATTATCTGAACCGGTCCCTGGGCCTTCTCTAGGTCGACTCAGCCTCAAATGAGTACCTGGTGCGGTGTAGTAAACATCGCCGGGCGTGGTGGTGTCGGCCACAACCCCCTCGTGTGCCACAGTGCCAGGCAACCTTCATAGGTGCCACTCGCGAACAGCATTTGCCGCAACAGTCATAGTTTTCATAGTTTCATTTATTTGGTATAGCCATGTGAGCCATTCGGCTCTTGAATCGGGTGCAACCGCAACAAACAAAAAAACAAAATCATGAACAAGAAAACATCTTAAAGTGACTTTGTGCATGTGCAAACAGAAAATCCAGGAAAAAAACATCAAAATATTCCTGAAATAGCACCGTACACCAACCCTGTGTGCAAAAATCCCAATGGGATGCAAGTCAAACAACAACAACAAGAAAACTTAGATTAAGGCCATCAGTCTAACTCTGTACTACAATAAACAAAAACATGGGGAAACCAAAAAACTTTTAGAAATCACCAAAATAAAGCCATAAATGCAATGTAACAGTGATCATAGGAACTGTGACCGAATTTTTAACAATAAACTACATAAATAACATGTAACACCAAACCCTAGAGCCACAGCTGGCTGCATGAGTCTGTTACAGTCTACACGCAGGGGCGGGGATGGGGGAATCTTTGTCTTTGGGACCGACCATAAATGACGTCACGCCCCTAGGCGGGGGGAGGGGTCAGACATGTGTGACGAGGGGGGGGGGGTTGAGAAATGTGACGTCACACGTTCTACTTAATTATACTTTTCAATTAATGTTTTCTCCTACAACACCAGAGTGCAGCGCCACATTAAATACGCACTACAATGACAATAGTTGAAATAGATTTGAAGCATGTTTTATTTTCAGGGGGGGGAGGGCGGGGGGCAGAGCTTTGTGACGTCATTTATGGACGGCCCCTTTGTTGTTGGTGTTGTTGAAACTTCACCACCACGCCCCCTTCTCCTACTCGCAGCCTCCCCGTCCCCAGCTGCCGCCGCCGCTGTTGTTGTTGTTGCGGGTGACGTCGGGGCCGGGCTCAACATCGCCCCCCTCCATCCCTGCTCCACCACCACCCACACCCCCACCAGCCTCGCTCCTGCATCACAGACCTCGCCTACCCCTCGTGTGACACACACACCACCATCACCACCACCACCACACACGCGCGCACCAAGATGATGTCCCGTGTGGCATCGTTGTCCCTCTTGCTGTGTGGCCTCTACTGCTGCTGCTGCTGCGCGGCGCTGCCCGAGACTCGCTGGAGGCCCATGCTGGGTGCTCCGACCGCCATCCAGCCCACGGATCCGGGCCTCCACACGGCGGCAGCGGAGGCCACTCGCCGATTCAACTCGGGCCTCAACAGCCGCACGGTCTACAGACTCGACAGGGTGACGAAGGCCACACGCCAGGTCAGAGACGGTGAAGGTGGTGGGGTGGTGGGGGGGGGGTGGTGGTGGGGGGCGCAACGCAGCAGGCAGACGCCGGCGCGCCAGGCTAGGTGCACGTCGACGCCGCGTGAAAGTGCCAGCGCTCGCCTTTGTGTCAGAATTGTATTTTTATTTTGTATCCTGGAGGAATCTGATGAGCTATAAAGCTCTGTTTTTTGTTGTCATCACGGGATAGACTTCCCACCACCACCCCGGCTGTGTCAGTATGTACCCCGGGGGAAGGAGGGTCGCATGCGACTCTTTAAGGTCTCATTCGTGACGATATTCTTTTTTTTACTCTTATTAAGGCCCGTCTCGTGTTCACGTGCACTGCGGCTCTTAAAATATAGTTTTTTTACAGAATTCGAAAAAAATAGCGTTTAATTGTTATTCTTTGTTGCCGACTCCGGGTATAGACGAAACAAAGATGTCATTGTCGTCTTGCTTAGCTGACTTGGGGGGCGGAGGGGGCAAGTGCTGTTAGCGAATAGCAACAATTAAGGCCGACCCCGCAACACGAGGGGGTGGCCAACACCACGCCCGGCCGCCTTTGTCTCCCCATTGCCGATGTTTACACACCGCACCAGGTACTACTGATTTGAGGCTGGGTCGACCTAGGGGAGGCCCATAACCGGTTCAGATCAATCGGTCGCTAGTGTGTTGGCCGTGAGCCGGAATCGAACTCGGGTGGCTGGGTTCGTGCCCCCAAGAGGTCTTCCAGAATAAGCTTGCTCAACTAAAAAAACGTGTTAAATCTTATATACTGTATTGCAACTTCGATAGTGCTGTTTGTTGCCGGCCGCCCAACCATTATGGCCTGTGCTCAGCAACTACGAGAACAGAACGATCTCATCGTCTGCTATTGTCCATAAAGGGTTGTCCCCACGCCCAACACACCAAATGTCACGCTGTCAACTTTTACACACACACAGTCATGTATATACACAGAGTGCCTTACTCAGTAATCATGCCAACGTTGGTATGTGTTTGGAATTGTTGATTCAACGTTCCATATTCACTGGCTATACTATATATGCACGGAACGGATTGTGTGTGTGTTATTTGGATGTGTTTACACTAACATTGGCGCTGTTTCAGTGTTGTACATCACACCTTCGAAGGGGTGTGGGGAGCCTTTGCCTTAGTGCGGACCGAATACAACTTTCAGGCGGCATCTTTGGTGGGCCTCAATTTAACTCACAACATAAACATTGAACGTTGAGCCAACGTCGGCCCAACGGTTCCAACCACATGCCAACGTTGGCGTATTTGACATACGGCACAATATTTGACTTACAATGCTAGATTGAACATTCCCTGATGGGTACCCAATTAGTACGGCTAAGATGATGAGTGGCGGATACATATTGTTTGTGGGCTGTTTTGACATGGTGGGTCCTATGAAATGAAGTCGTGGGCTGTATTTGGCCCTCAGATCAGTAGATCCCCCCACACCTTAGAAGGATGCTTTTGTATAGAAACAGTACGTTTACCCTGATGTATCTAACATTCAAAATTTTTGGTTAAATTAAAACTTGTGCGGCTTAAACTTAAGTTAATTGTTGATGAGCAGTAATGCTATATACCACACAGCTATAGATAATGTTTAACAAAACCCACATACAAAGTGTCTTATTCATTTGCTCGTGACTGCTGTTAGGGTCGTAAATGCTGACCTTTTAGACTGGGCCTCATGCAAAACACAGGCCCCGGACTATTTATTTCCACACCCTGCTTATAGCCATCTATGACCAAATAATCCAAAATGATATCGTCAAATCTCGGAAGCTAAGCAGGTTTGGAGCCTGGATAGTACTTGGATGGGTGATCATTAATTCACAAATAGTTTGCATGGGCTATGGGGCTGTGTTACGTTGTGGACAGACGGCATGTGCAGACAAATATGTTGGACTACACTTATTTGCTGCTACGTCACCAACTTCCACTGACCGGGGCGGTGAGGCATGGCCAAATAAACCCAACGATCTACAAGGCATGGAGAGACCCTCTTCCAGCAGTTGATTGACAAAAGGGCTGTGGTTGTGCATGCTTTAAATTCAGCCCTGTGGAGACAAGAGTTGGTGGATATATATTTGTAAAACGTTCAAACCTGTTTGGCTGTGAAGTGGCTAGATGGTAGTACAGCAAGTGGGTTTATTAGCCTGTAGTTTTTTAGATTTGAAGCTTTCGTGACTGTAGGGATTCATATTCTTGGTTCTTTTGGTAAAGTCACGTAGAAGGGAAACAATTAAATAATAAAAATATGAAACAATAAAATTAGCACGACGTTTCGACTGCAACACAAGCAATCATCATAAGGTGTGAAAACCACGTAATCAGGTGTGGTTTTCACACCTGATGATGATTGTTTGTGTTGCAGTCGAAACGTCGTGAGAATTGTATTGTTTTATATTTTTATTATTTTATTGTTTCCCTTCTACGTGACTTTACCGAAAGAACCAAGAATAGCCTATAGTTGTGTACTTTTGAGTGATATCCCATCGTATGCGTGGCAGGTTTTCCCAGGTAGAGCTATCTCTCGATTTACAAAAGGGATGCATTCTTCAAAAAACACGCAAAACGAAATTTTGTTAATCGGAATGGCTTTTATCATTAATTTAATAGTAAAAAATAGGGATGTGTTTCGGACAGTCATTTCAACTATACTCCTAACCTAAAAACATATACATATATAACTTTTCACGATACAAAAAGAATAAGAACATAAATATTAAAACTATTCAATAATAAGTAATTTAAAACTAAAATAATTAACCTTTTCGGGGAACTCCACAAAATATCTGCATGTTGGTTTGACTGCAAAGGTGATGTGGAAACCTGAATGTTGCGCTTTAGGGATACCGTGACACTGTCGTGGAAGAATGACACAGCCTCCTGGGCGGGGGTACTTTTTATCTCATGGCACGTGCTGTGCGAAATTTCATAGCGTGGAAATAAAATTTCGAAAAGTTAATATGTCATTTGCGTTAATGCAAAATGTTGTAAACCGAACGTTCGTAAATCGTGTATTGTGATTCGTATTGTGATTCCCTCCTACACGAACCAAAGCAACACGTTAATGGAATTAGTCAAAATGCAGGATCCTCGTGCATTGCGACGTGTACCTGGCACACCATATACACTATACATTTCACTATAGCAGTGACTACTGGTAATGTGCCTACTCCAGTTCACCAGCCACCCAGAAATTATTCAGTGGCAGATTAAGCCCCTATTATTATTGCTACGAACTGATGTTCACTTTGACACTTGATGGTGCAGATTGTGAGCGGTCTCAAGTACATCTTTGAGGCAGACCTGAAGAGCACGGAATGCTTGAAATCGGAGGAACGAGTGGCTGAGGACTGCAACTTCCACGATGATGGCGTGGCCACTGTGAGTACAGCCAATGCTTGGAAAAAAAATTAATTCCCCTTATTGTGCAATCGGCAACACGTAATGCATCTCTTGCATAGCCGTGACGACCCTTCGTGTTTGAGAATGATCCGCAGAAGCGTAGATCGCAGAGCTACTCTCCAAATGACCTCTGGACTACAAAGTTGAGAGGAAGCTCCCGAAGGCAGACTACTCGCCAGTCTCGATATGACAATATAAACATTGCTGATCAACTCTCGACCATGAGAATGATAAAAAATATATACATTTTGCCAACGTTTTGGCCCATCATTACCATTTCTCATTGCAATGACTGCTCCTTTATGAGCAATCACCAGTGGTCGTTATATGGTCAGACCGGCTCCTGTCATGAGAATGTGAAAGTTTCACCACCAATTAAGAGCCATGTGTAGGAGGCGAATGCTGCTCCACACTACTATGAGCAATAAGATGTTAAGTTATAAATGAGATCATTAAAAATATACATCAATATCGTTTTTTGTTGTACATTTTAAAATGTATAAATTAATTGTACATGAAGCCATAAGGGTCAACCACACAGTCACATAAGGATATGGATTCAGATGTTGTTTCTATTGTTATTGCTGTTCAGTGTAATAGTCTTGCTATACGTGGCCATCCTTTGCCAGGTTTTCAAGTGCCGCTTTGAGGTGTGGACAATCCCCTGGCGCAAGCAGACCAAGGTGCTGAGTCAGAGCTGTCAGCAAAACAACCCAATAAAACCTTCTACCATGCCAAACGCCTAATTTGGAACATCATCCAGCTGGCTAGGCAAATATAAACATGCATTTGGCCAGCCAGCTAATTATTTGGGCACACATACAAAAACCAGACATGTTCAGCTCGTCAGATACTTATTCAGGCACACAGCGAGACACCTTTATAATTAGCCAGACACACATACATAGAGTCATTTGGATGAGTCAGATGCACAGTTATCTGTTCAGGCACGCAGCCATTCTACTTGATGGCTTTGATGAGCACACTTCCACTCGACATTAATAAAATCAGTAGACACCTAAGTCCTCTGGGTAATGATTAATTTGCACATGTACGCAGCTGGATAATTAGGAATACAGTAGACCGCGAGAAGACAAGGAGTTAAAGATTAATTTCCAAACATTTGCTTTTAAAATGACCAATACACACATGATATACAGTGTTACTCTATTTCAGAACATATTAAAAATAGATTTTTAACACTTAAATTTTGCATGTATACTGTTGTTGTTTTCATTGCTTATATTAATATTATCTCTTCATTATAGTTATTTGATAGTGTAGCCACAGTTATTAATGAGAACCCTGTATTTTCACATCTCTTGCGCAATTATTAAAAACGTCAACAACTTGCGTAGGTTTTTCGCGGTTGTGTTGCGCAAATCGCCATTGTTTTCTGCGGTTGTGCTCACAAGCACATCAGCATAATGTCTCGCGTTCCACTCCACTGCCGAGCGGAAACGGCGGTACATCTTACCAAACAGCACGTGGTACAACCCAAAAACACACCGAGTGAGCTATGGTACTCTTTACACAACCTGCAATGGAAACAAATACAGACGCAAATTGTACTAAATGCAACTTTCATATCAAGACCGTTTGCAAATTGTGGCAAAGGAATTCAAACGTCCATGTGGAGTAATTGAAAAAGAGGTAAGAGAGGGAGTTTGAGGAGTTTTACCTTGAGTGAGGAATTGTGGCATAGACTACTAGGGGCCCAAGGGCAAAATTTATACAATTTTATTGTTGTACGTACAGATGTAAACACTTCATACGGAGAGGCAGACAGCCTTGAGCCTCGGTCTGAACAGGAGGTCTCAAGCAGTGAGGATGGCCAGAGTAAGAGATAATCAATGGTTGAAGTAGCAAAGAAGGAGTGACCTCCCACTGCGCAAATGTTGACAGACTGGAGCAGAGGGAACGTGAGTACGTTGGTAGTTCCACCGGACAGGCGATCATGATGGGACATACGTTTGAATTTCAGTGCGACTGACACATTTTGACATAGACGATATTTAATGTGGGGTTTTTACACGTAGTTATCGGTTAGAATGTTTGCATGTTATGTACTGTCGCTCACCTTTTTTGTTTCAAATTCGAAGCCGCATAATCTAAATGTGTGCTCCACAATTTGCTTCTCTCTTTAAAACAATAATAGTATTAGCAGTATTAATCGCAAGATATAAGTAATAAAATATCGTATTTTGCATATCAACATTTAGCTGGAAATAAAATCAAGTTTATCTCACCAGGCCTGCGTGTGGGTACACTTTTGTTTACAGTGAATGTGGTTGCGGTTTTTGTATGACGTGTGAGAAATGTGTTTCCTTTGCACACACATGTAACTTCAATTGCAGTCCAGAAAATCGGGCCACCACTCACAAAAGATTGCATAACTATGTTTTTTTAAAAGCCACCCAAATGCAAACGTGACCATGTGATCGAAGAAAATAAAAACATGCTTTACGATGAATCTGCATTCTTCTTTGCCGTCGGTGATTTGATTAAATAGCTCCATTCAGGGTGGTGATTCAAATATTGAATAGATTCCCCTATTTTTTTTACATTGCCGTGAATAGTAGTGCCTCTAGTGGCTGCAAAGGACATTATGTTGACACAATTCAACACGTGTATTGTGAGCTCTAATATCGGTGTCCACCCCTTTTAGGAAGTTGCTGTTTGCGAGCACCTTTAACCCTACGGTGTCACTATCATGCGGTGGGGCGAGTGCTGCGCACACCGGCCCGTGTTTGTCCCCCCGCCAGTAATAATGTTGCCCACAACATACAAAAGGCTCATTAAATATTTTGAGCAGAGTCAATCCCTGGTTGGCACAGGCTAGGTTCATGCAGCAATCGTTCGCTGGGCTTTGTTTTCCCCAACTCGTGCAGGAACTTAACCCAGGTCACACGAATTCTAAAGCGATGTGCCAACTATCCCGCTATTCACCACTTCCCGCACGTGTAAGCAACATTGCAACGTGGTGTTGTTTGTGAAATTGTGAAATGGTGAAACGCACATGACGAACGCACTCAATGAGCACGTTTGTGAAACTGGATCAGCCACTTAAAGCTGTGACGGTCATGCGCACTGCCTTGACCGTCTTCTTCCCCTTCTTTGACACCGTATACCGTGCACGTATTTGTCAGCGTATAACCATATACTGCTACTAAAACTTGAATTTGGCGCTTTCGTGACTGCAGGAATTATTCTTTGTTTTTTTTTTTCGGTAAAGTCACGTAGAAATAAGACATAATAAAATTACATGATAGCGTACGACGTTTCGATTGCAACACAAACAATCATCATCAGGTACATAAGAGAGAGGAAACATAACCGCAGATATATACAGACAGATTTAACGGGATACAGAGAGACGGGGGAGCACACTAAATCAAACAGGGTTTAGCAAAATTTGGAAACCATATAACGCAACAGACGGTTGGTCAAAACACAACGCATGGTCTGTTTTGATTACGCTATTTCAAAGATTGCTAAATTGCAAGTTAAGTGCTAACTCGTTCTGCTTGGATGTCTATATATGTGTATGCGGTCTGTATATTTTTTTAATTTCACACTTAACTTGCAATTTAGCAATCTTTGAAATAGCGTAATCAACCAGACCATGCGTTAATTGTGTTTTGACCGACCGTCTGTGTTGCGTTATATGGTTTACAAATTTTGCTAAACCCTGTTTGATTTAGTGTGCTCCCCCGTCTCTCTATCCCCTGTTGTATCTGTCTGTGTATATATCTGCGGTTATGTGTTTCCTCTCTCTTCTGTACCTGATGATGATTGCTTGTGTTGCAATCGAAACGTAATTTAATTATTTCTTATTTCTACGTGACTTTACCCAAAAAAACAAAGAAGAATATACCGCTACTAGTTGCGTGCTAATGTGTGGTCCACCAAAGGTATTTGAAAGGCCAATTCGGCCCTCGGTAAGGACATGGTGCCACTGCCCCTGGTATATGTATATATATTCTACAGCAGGGGTGGGGAACGTCCGGCCCGCGGGCCGTACGAGGCCCGCGAAATCATTTGGTGTGGCCCTGCCAAGGCAACCGCAGGCGGGACTCGAAATTCAATAAATCTAGGAGCAAACCTGGAAAAGCAGTTGCGAGTAGCAACAACATCGTCAATACCAGCTAACATCACACGCCTCGCCAAAGAGAAGCAGTTCCAGCCATCACATTAGGGGTGAGTTAACTAAATGTTTGACCAAATATAACAGGAAAATTTTTAAGTTGATAATTTTGTATGGCCCGCGAATGATGTTATAAATATCCAAATGGCCCTTGGCAGAAAAAAGGTTCCCCATCCCTGCTGTACAGGGTTGAACCAGTCACACCCACAGCCCAGATGATTCTGTACGAGGCGATCCGTTCAAATAGTTTGTCTTCATTTGTTTTCGGTGGGGGTTTTCCCTCTTCAGCTAGGAGACAAAGAACATTTGTTTTCCCGACTTTGAACTGCTTATTTGTTTGAATGTACGAGACATTAAATGGTTCCTTTGTCCGCGATTAAAACGTTTGTTTCCTTCACGCCACGGCATGAGGGGTAGAGACGAGGAAGTTCCCGAGACAGAGGTGAGCACAGCAGGAAGGTGGGGAGGGGAGAAGGAATGACTGGGTCAGGATGTCGGGGGATTATGAGAGGGGTGATGATGATGGAGAGGGAAGAAAGGTTTGAAGGAGAGCAAACACGTTTGCGGCACGGAGCAGCGTCTGTTTTGACAGGGGGTGGGGAGAAGGGAGGAATTAAGTGGGGGTGGCCACACGTCACTTCATTTAGACATTCGCGTTATTTCATCATTAGACGTGGCAATGCAAAAATTAGTCGAGCAGTGGCACGAACACAAATATTGCCCAAAACGTCACTTGCAATTTCTCAACACAGCGGTGTGTTTCGTGACTGCATCAACTTTGTGTACCAACTTGGCTGGAGTCGCATCCATGACTGGACAACCCACAACGATGACCACTGCACTCCATGCTGCTATACAGAAATCCCTGGATATTCCCATGTTAGCTTGGCCGTTCAAGTGACCCGCGTTCCAGTTGCCAAATCTCGTTCTGATACTCGCTTTTGACACGCGCGTATCTCGACCATAGTTCGGAACCGTTTTTCGAAATCGTGAAGAGACATCCGTCTAAACGTGACTGTCATCAGGTCCGATGGCGTGAACAAGTGCAGTCTCCAGCTCTTATTGTCCACGATCTCTCCGGCCTCTGTGTCGGTATGGGGGGTATTGAGTGGTGGTTTTATAATCCCTTGTTCATCATGACGTCCTTTTTACTTTGAGGTCTCAATAGCGTTACGGAGATGGCGTGACGTGAGGATTCTGCCTTTGTAGTGAGGGTTGTAAGTTGACGCCGAGGGGGGGAGGCGGCGCATCAGCCCCCCATGTGGAGTGACATCAGGCGCTAATTATTATTAATGGTGGGGGGGGGGTGTCCATTTGGAGGACGTCATCTGCTCATGAATATTAATGAGGGGGGCTGGTCGATGTGGAGTGACGTCACGAGGGTTAAGGACATTGCTGAGTGATTATAGTTGGTATGGGGGTATTGAGTGGTGGTTTTTTAAAGGTCTAATTATTTGGGTCTACGACATTTCGATCACAACACAAGCGATCGTTTTTTTTCCTCCTGATCACGATCGCTTGTGTTGTGATCGAAACGTCGTAGTTTGTTATGTTCTTTGAACCTATCTACGTGACTTTACCGAAAGACCCAAAGAATATGAATTCCTGCAGTCAATAAAGCTTTAAGTCAAGATTTAGGTCTAATTCTCTTACGGTGGATGTGTTCACTCAGAGTCGGGCGTCAATATTTTAAAATGTAAACAGACCTGCCCCTACTGGACATCTGTGAAAAGACCTTTGTAGCTCATCGGATTCCTCCAGTATAAATATTCCGATACATTTATTTCGTTGTTCTACATTTGGATTCTCCCTCCCCCGACTCCCCCCCCAGCCCACCTCCCTCCCGTCCCAACTCTTGAATGGGGGTCATTGTTTCACGGGGCTGGTGAATGCACCACTTCTTTCCTCCTTGCCCTGACGGCGCCGTCGGCTCCTTTGCTACAACGCCATGGCGTTACAGCCGCCACTCTCCTCCACCACCACTCGCATGGCCACACCACACGGGAGTGGAGGACGGCGGCCTTCACGCGGCCCCATCTCTGCCAAGTGAGAAATCACGACGAATGCCATCAACGCGGCGACCCAACATCGACCCCCGGGGTCTCCAGAGCGACAACAAAGGACCACGCCAACGGCTGCGTTCGAGGGCCAAACGACGTGCCACATGGGGGGGCCTTAGACAAGGATCCTCAACTGAACAATGCGGGACTCTTCCACGGGTGAAGTGCGAGTTTGTTGCCGCTGCTCTTGACGCGGTTGCACGACTCGACCACCTGAATGCGAAATTGTAGTTGCGCTGCATCTACATCAGCCATACGAAATAAGCCATGCACCATAGGAGGGCCCCTTTAAAAAGTTATATCCCCTTTGCGTTCCCTGTCAACTTCCCATAAATAATAAAATAACCAGCGCCCTTCTGCAGTCCTGCACGACCCCTGGGTCTACCGCCTTGCCAATTAAAACAAAGCTGCCCTAAAGCCAAAAGCAAGTCTTGGGAATCGTCCATATACCCCTAAAACACAATCTTTAATTTTCATGGAAATATCCAATGAGTTATGAAGCTCTCTTTCCACGATTCTCCAGCAATAATTTTGTTTTGCACAAAGACAATTAAAAACCACCGCTTCTTTCAATTGGCTTTAAAGAACCAAACTAAATATACGCGGCTCCGCCGGCTGCAATTGTTACAGCCAATCCGATAGATCGAAGGGACACCGATGTCCGCGCCTACGCCTATACACACACGCATAAGGACCCATTCTACGATTAAAAGCAGCGAGACTATAATTAAGTCGCCGCCGCTATTTAAATATATTTCTCTCCCATGTCCGCTCAGTCACACACACAGCCCTTGGTCGCCACACAAAGCAGGTCCCTGTGCTGCCAGGGATGAATGGAAGTGGGGAGGGGGGTCAATGCAGATCCATGCAGTGGGGGCGAGCGGTGGGGGCGGGGAAGTCGCTGCCGCAAACCAAGTGACTCAATGCATCGTCCGATACGAGAAAAAAAACCTTCCCAGGACATAGGCCCCGTTTGTTCGTGAAATGCATAGGTTGGGACATTTCTTCAATACTTACCACGGAGAGGGTCTCGCGATTGTGCCGCGGAGCTCTAAGATTACATTTTGGCTTGCACCGCGCAAAAAAACTACAGAGCGCATTAAACAAAAAAAAGTTTGAAATAGGCTTTGGTTAGAACGTGCAACAAAAAGTTCCCCTTTAACAATGTAGACACATCGCACACACGCAAGCCCGAATGGTGGTGACAATGGCCTTGGCGCGTTTGATGCTCATTGCAGAGGCACACGGTGCAATGCCAGCGATGTTGGTAGTCCAAATTTCCAGCTTTTTCCGCATAAGCTCATTAATTTTTTTTCCTCCACCAGAAACACTATGGAAGATCACATTACACACACACACGTTTGTTTGTCATAGGCAGACTTTATCAATCTTATGCCAAGCTGCAGGGCACCAACCACAACAGCCTCATCCCTGTTTACCAAACCAACGGCATAGTTTTGCCATTATTTTGCATATGATGCTTATCTACACATACCGTATGAATGCTATACACACAAGTGGGTGGACACAAATGCAGAAAATATTAAATAGTTTTCGTTGCATCAAGAAAAAAAATAACTGTGCTCAACTTCAGCCGGCACAGCTCCGTACGTGATTCCGACAATTATTTTTTGCACTTTGATTTGTCATCATTTGGCACTGCACCAACGGCGAGTCACAAACATGTTCATGGGATTAAAGGCATATTAGGGCACCAAAAACAAACATTTTCGGATAGACCCAACTCGTACCTCTAGTGGTGTCAATGCCTTACATCCCGGATAAGCTCCTACTCCAAAGCCAGAAACCAAAGCGAAAAATGGATCCCTGAAAGACGAGTTGTCGACCAACACGGGGCTTTTATCAAGGAAAACAAAACCATAGTTCTTGTGGAAGCACATGAAGCATCGCAGGCTAACGAGCAGTGGAGACATTACAAATTTTAAGGGCACAAGTGAGCAACGTCTTGGTACACGTCCAAGATGCGGCGTATTATAAAGTACACGCGTCACAACACCGCAGTGACATCGCCAGACTACAGGACGCGCACCTGAAAGTCAATTTCAAGTCTTCCCCCCTCATCCACTATGAATGCCGCAAAATTCGTGGGACACGGGGCCTTAGAACACACCTAGCAGGGCAAGTCGCGGTTCACCTCTCTACACCCCTGGCCAGCAATGCACAACAATCTGCTACGAGCGTCGCGGTTTTACCGACTTGTTTAATAGTTTATATTCGGTCCTTTTCGGATTTTTTTTAACAACCTTGTCCACCATTATGCCGAATTTAATCGCACCGCGTGATTTGCATATCAAAGTCAAAAGGTGCAGCCCTGCAATGTCTTGCTCACGCTACTGCTAGCACGGGGGGGGGGGGGGGGGAGAAACTTCACCTCGCAGCAGGGCTCGATGTCATTCAGCCTACTCCGCTACACTGGCTAGGAAGTCTTGGAAGAGGTGGGTGTACCCATACTTCGCCCCACCACACACAATATGCTGATCAACTGTCGTTGTGATCATTCATGAGGTTGGGTGGACAGAGGTGGGGGGTGATTTAATGACTTGGTCTTTGTTTCAAGTGCCACGCCGGGAGATTGAATCAAACTAGCAATCTATAGATTTCACACAAGTCCAGCGTGCTAACCACGACACCAATGCAGCATAACATTTGTACGCGTTAATCTATGCGACAATACGATCATATGACGAGTACACAAATTACATACACAATGGTAAATCATGCCCAATTCCCATGGGAATTGGGCATGATTTTCCCATGCTATTCAAGGTTGATTATTATTATACCACAGTGGATCGAATTGTGACTTCAAAATGAAAATCCATTCGTTTTGTGGGCCCCATCTTCAACCAACTCTTCACATCTCGGCGGTAAGAGGTGATGGGGGTGGCAGCAGTGGTGGCGGCGGCGGGTACGCCATCCCGGCGGCGCACGCCTCCTGCTCCGATCCTTCCGCCACAAGCTCTTCGTTCACGGTGGACACCTGCAGGTCGCCCCGACGCCGGTACTGCCCATTGTGGCGGCCCCGCTGCTGGTACCGGCCGCCCACGCCGCTCGCCAAAGGCTGGGACTGCGACGGCGGGACGGTGGCTTGTTCGCCATACGAGCGCACGGTGTAGGTGTCGCCAGGGCGCGGCGGGGAGCCGACAGCGGCGGAGCTCTCGTCGCAGTCCTGCCGACACCGTTCCGCGCGCCGCTTCTGCACGAGCGTGGTGAGCAGCAGTGCCACCATGACGAGCAGGAAGAGGCCGCAGGCGACGGCACCCAGCACTACCGCGAGCACGGCGGCGGACATGCTGCTCTCCTGCACCTCTGCATGAAATGAATATTTCGATATCTCACCTGGCAGATTCAAATCGTTCCCCATGCAGCATCACCTCATCCAAAAATAAAATAGTGCCTGCCCCTGGCCAATAACAAGTCGCCGTTCCAAGGCCAATTGTATAGGGGACAACGCCCACCAACCAACATTGCTGTCGCAGCCTTCAAAACTTTGACCCAGACACCTGCACCGCTGCTACCTCTCACGAACAAAAAACCCTGCCCCGTATAGCCTTAGACTTTTGGGGCTGTTAGCAAGTACCTAGGAAGGCCAGCACAGTACGCAGGGGGTGGTGGGTGGCCAGCACCTTGCCTGGTCACCTTCGTCTCCCCAGCAGTGATTTTTTTTCACTTTACACACTGTACCAGGTACTCATGAGGCCGAGTTGATCTAGGGAAGACCCAGAACCAGTTCAGAATCGTCAGCGATGTTGGCCAGGAGCGGGAATCGAACACGGGTCGCAGGGTTCTTAGCGCAGCATGCCAACCGCTACACTACCACTCCTCCCACTATCGCACGCACGCGCGCGTTTAGCTTGAGCGTGGCACCTTCGAGTTGCACAGTCGTGCAGCGCACGCCCTGCCACGCCGGGTCCACGTCAAGGAAGCCGTCGTGACAACTGCAGGTGTAGGAGCCCTGCGTGTTGCGGCACGCAGCGTTGGTGTCGCACAGGTGCTGCTCTGCCACGCACTCGTCCACGTCTGCACACAGAAAGAGCCACTCAGCCCCGCATTACCACCCCACCACACGCCCTCCATGTCGCCTTCATAAAAAAATAAAAATGGGACTTGACTAGACACTCGGAGACTGTTGCCTGCCAAAACCCACAGCTAAACATTTTTGGTGCTCGTGGCAAGGTGCCATCTCACACACCCTTGTACTAAGTTGAGGCATTTATCACCAATGGTTTGTCGTGAGCGGAACCTTAATTTCTAGTTGCCGGTTTCTTAATGCAGCGCCCTAACCACTATAATATCAATCCCTGTACACACTTAAAATTCCCAACGCTTGCCTCAGAACATACGAATGCAAGAAGGGGGCATTAACATGTTACATGGTGAAAATCTGAGGATGAAAAAGAACTTACTGAAACATTAATAAATATGTAGCATCATTTACATTACTGCATATGAATAGTCCAACTTTTCTTGCTATGAGAAAAAAAAGTGCTGGTTGGTGCATGGGTGGGCAAATGTGGTGATGACGTCACCCACATCCCAGAGGAGAGCCGGGTTCGAGCATACCGACGTCATGCCAACCCACCCCAACCTCCACCCTGGCCAGGGTATGCGCGAGCCGTGCTAGTCTTTACAAGGTGTGGACTCTTCTAAAGTTGTGGGACCTCTAGTCCCATGGGCCAGAGCAGAAATTGGTACCACCTTGGAGTTAAAACACAAGGTCTAGCATCAACCATTTATTTAGGATGGCCAACCAAGATTAAGTTGCTTGATAGCCCACACAAATAGAACCCAGAAGGTTGTTACGCCACTGCAGGTGGTATCGTCAGGCGAAAACTTCAGGGTGTACAGACTACTAGACATCTCCTGCGTCTACCCACCAAATCCAGCCATGAAGGTTCTCTCCTGGCCTCACTGGTGCCCCCCCCCATCCCCCGTAACTCCATCGCCACGCATACCCTTAACATGCACGGCCAGTAGCTCCAGACTCGTGCCGTTGTCGTGGCTGCTTAGGAGGTGGTGGTGGCCGTGGCCCAGGAAGGCCTGCAGCTCCGAGCGGGCCCCCGCGTGTGTGTGCGGGCGCAGGAAGAGCCCAAACTTGGTGAGGAACTCCGATTTACTGATCATCCTGGTGGTGTGAGTGGGGGGGGGGGGGGGACGGAAGACACAGAATGATGCAGAGTAAAAATCAACGCGTGTGGCTTAAATCGGTTAATACATTCTTAGTCACCGCTGGATGAGTGTTTTTCGTTTGCAAGACCCACTGGTGGCCTTTAGTGTGGCCCCTGACAATTACGCAAAATGTGATAATCCCTTAATGCTGTCAAACCAAACGTTCCAAAAGTGGCCCCACTCTGAAAATTAGTGGAGACCACCGTGCAGGATTGAAGGCATTCCCAAAAAAAGCTGCAGTCAATCATGGTTACGCAATGCAACAACCAACCCAACACCTGGCACACAAGCAGCATTCAAAGAGTTCCATCTCCGCAGTGGAATTCTGGGACACGTTCTTTCCTTTGGCTGCTAATCTGTGGTCACAATCTTACCAACCGGCGATGGCCCCCTCGCTGGCAACACGTCCCGACTTGGTGAAGCCTTGATGCCCCCCTTTGCAAGTCTACAGCTGGACGAGGGCCTCTACACGCCGTGCGATTCGCGAGGGTTATTTTACCGAAATTCATGCTGGTCAGTGCGGGTTGGTGAATGTGGGAGCTTAGAAGTACTGTACAACAATAGATGTCGCTGGACTCTCCTTTGCTGCCCACCACTTTGCCCTGGAGCGCTATGGACACAACCTATTGTGTGCTTGGTGGTCACCCATCTGACTACGGTACTAGGCAGGGTCAATATGCTTAGCTTTCAAGATCTCACAAAACCCGGTGATCAGATGATAACAACAACGCGGAGACTACGCACCAGTTGGAATGTCTGGGTACCACTCCGAGGAAAGTGTCCTTATTGACGCTTTCCAGCTCAGACTTGTGGATCTGCGATGCAAGCAGGGAAAAATGGCAGCACACATTGGAGCACCGCACAAATCAAGAGCATCATCGCCATTGTCGCCTTCATGTATTGCTCGATATCTTGTCGCGCAGCAGCATAGACCGAGTCGCATGGACCAGTGTAGCGGACACGCACGAATCAGATTGCTGCACTAGCAGCAGGTCGCAAAGCAGGAAACGCGACGCTCGCTACGCTGTATGCACTGGAGCATATAACTAACACAAAAGCAAAACGCGTGCAGCGACAAACATGCATGCACACGACTTGAATTACATGCCTCGGATTATGTTACAGATGATGGGGATTCAAGGATGTTGGATCTAGGATTGTTTGCGACCACTATTTTTACATTGTTTTACAAAGTAAACAAATAATGGCCTAACCAGGCGTGAAGCTCTCAGTCGTCCCGCCCCTTACCAGGTGCTCCAAGTGAGACTTCAGGAGCTGCACCAGCTCCTCAACCTCCACCTTCGTGTTGTTGCGACTCCGCAGGGCCGAGTGCACCGTCACCTCAAACCACGTGTACTCTGGGGGGGGGGGGGGGGGGGGGGGGGGCGACACATTGTGCACGCACACACGGGGAGACACCCATCCCACACCCCCCCTCCCCGGTCGGTATAGCAGGGGGAAGGATTCCCTTTTGAGGAGCCGAACAGGACTTCCAAATCTCTTTGGTAGGTAACCACTAACCAGCCACACATTACACCAGTGAGAAAAGTTCAACATACGTACACGTACATATGAGCATTAAAAAAATAACGTGATAAATAGCATGCACCCCCATCCAGTTCTGTATTAAGAGCCCCCCCCCCCCCCCCCCCCACACTCACCAAGCGCAGTGCAAAGATAAGGCAAAGATTTTTATTCCAGGGCTACCTTTGGGTTTAAATGGCCCCGAATGTGTGCGGTAGGACGGTCCCTTTATTCCTCCGCGCTGCTGGTTGTTCTGGACGCCTGTGTCACGGTGATAGGGGACACGTCACAGCAAACAGGGCCAGTGGCAGGGGCATGGCCAAGGTTGCAGCAAGCTGCAAATTGTCACCCCAATCACCAAATTCACCACAAGTCAGATCTCAAAACCAAGCAGGCTTGGTTAGCGGTTGGAAGGGGTAACACCACAAGGCTTGCCGGGTGTTGTAGGTGTAGGGGTTACGAGGTGTGGCCAGGAGCTTGCAGTGCAGAGTGTCACCCACCCCTCCTTGTAGTCATGCGTGGGGGAGTTCAGGATTTCCTCCCGTATCAAAAACCAAAAACACATTTCAAATGGAATCGGCCAAACATTTCAATTGTAGCAGCAAACTCCTGAAAACTAGTCTGGAGACTCGGCAAGTGTTTGTGCGAGTAAATATTTAAAAAAATGGGGAATATGCAACACCTTTATGGGCGACACTGGCCAATCACACGCAGGTCCACATTGCACCACACCGTGTCCAGTCTGCACAGAGCCACCTCCACATGCTGCACTCGCAGCCAGTGGGGCATCCCGGCTGTTCCATGGCGAGCGTTTCTCACCTTGCGGTGTGGCCTCCTCTGCAGGGGTTCTTATCCTCTCGATGATGTGGTCAAGCGGGCCCCATCCCGGCGGAGAGAACAAGATGGACACCTCTTTGTCCACCGGCTTAAAGGAGGAATCGGAAAAGTCTTGCTCGGATGAAAGGGAACTCGTCGCGGCTCTAAAGGGCTGATCTCCATCCTCCTGGGGTGTCCCAGTTGGACCAATTGCCAAATTCATTCCCTCGTCGGTTTGTGACGAAGACCAATTCTGGACAGGCGGCTGGGTTTCTAGCTCTGAGGCACTCGTGGTGCCCGAGTAGAATTTCTCCAAACTTGGCCCTGGTGAAGTGAGCACAGCGTGACGCTCAGGTCCATTCTCCAGCAGAGGTTCCAGCAGAGGTTCCCGCTGCTCCTCTTCCTCTTCCTGGGCCTCCTCAGTGGGGTGATGAGAATGGTCTTCATCGGCAATAACGTTCATCGTCACGGCATCTGTACCATTGTCCTCGCCGAAGGTCCACAGAGTGGGGGCAAAATCCTCTGCTCCACTGCTGGGATCTTCTGCCACACTGTCGAGTGGCAGTGGAGATGGTTGGCTGATGGCACGGCGCTCGGGGCCGTGCTCCGTTGATGGCTTTTCGAGAATAATTTTTTCCTCTTCGGCCGCTGCCTGGCTCTCGAGGTGTTTGGCCACTGCCAGGAGCCACATGTTCCCCTGCGGTAGGGCCGGCCTATGATTCAAGGGGAGATGCGGAGGGACAGGTGACCTGGACGAGGGTGCGGATGACAAAGTCGCTAGTACATCGCTCTTGGTGTCCGACCTCTGCACATCCGTGAAGGTCGGCGGGCGTCTCGGCGACTCTGCCACCATGGCCGAGTCTTCTGGCCGTTCGCTCCATTCGCGCGCCGCGACTTCCGTCACACCAGGGGACCGCGTGTTCATTCCACTGGGAAGTTCACCGCCGCCATCCACGCCTTGCGCCACAGGCGTGTGCGTAGAAACCATAGAGTGTGTGGAGACAGTGGTACGAATCTCTTTCAGCCGCATGGACCGTGTCGTTTCCGTGGTCGTCCCTCTTGAGCGTCCCAGGGTGGACTTCACAACCTCGCCAATGGACGCCGGTGTCAATGGTGCAATTGCACGGTGTTGCCCTCCTTGCTCCTCTTCCAGCTCCGTGGATTTGGCGGATGACAAAACGGTCAGCATGGTCGACTCCAACACTGTCAACTCCTCCTGCACGCCCTTCACTGGAAGTAACATCCAACGCCACAAGCGGTCCCATCGACCTTCCCCAGCAGCGTCTCCCTCTGGCGTCGCCTCCGCCATTGCCGTAGCTTCCACCGCTGCCCCAGTCGTCACTGCTGGAACCCCCTCATCCGCCCCAAAACTCAAAGAATCCTCGTTTCTGCTGCCATCACGACCTTTGTTGCCACCATCATCACGATCACCGTCACAGCTCAGCTCCGAGAGGTTCACCACGTCATCTTTGTCCAGGATGAAGTAGCGTCCCCTGAAACGACGCGGTGGCGCGGCGGCACCACCACCACCACCACCACCACCGCCGCTCTCCTCGTCCTCCCGCTGGCCGGCCATGAGCACGACGCTCACGCCATCGCCGCGGGGGCTGTAGAGGAAGGCGCCGTGGCCCCAGCACGCCAGCACCATAGCGCTCGCCGAGCCGCGGGGCACCTCCTCCAGCACGAGCTTGTCGCTCGAGAGGCAGCACTCGCCGCGCCGTCCCGCAAACCCGCACACGCGCACCAGCACGGCCTGGCCCGGCCGCGCCGCTCGCACCGTCCAGCGGCAAACTGCGCCCGCCGGGTAGGAGCTCGGGAAGCCGGGGGATGAGAATGAGCCCGTGCGGCCGCGCAGCTCCACGTGGCACTCGGGCAGCGGCACCGGCTCCTGGGCGGCAGATGGACGCGACTCTGTGGCGGGGGGGGAGGGGGAAGCCAAAAAGGGGGGTGGGGGGGGGGGGTTGCCCGTGTAATTCACGCAACTGGTTGCGGGCGAGTGCTGCCGGCGAACACCTGTCAAGATCAACACGGAAACACGAGAAGGGGGTTGGGGGGGGGTGCAGGCGGTGGGGCAGTGTGGCCAGCACCATGCTTGGCCATTTTTGGTCTCCCCATAGTAGATATTTCACCACTCCATAACCACGTACTCATTTAAGATCGAGTCGACCTAGGGGAGGACCCAGAATTTATTCGGATAATCGTCACTGGTGTTGATGGCCGAAAGCAGGTATTCAACTTGGGTTGCTGGGTTAGTAGTGCAGCGCACTAACCGTTACACTCCCGCTCCCCACACAGATGCAGCACGCCAACCACTGCACTCCCGCGCCCAAAACACACCGACATCCCCCCCCCCACCCCTCCATCAGTGAACCACCCTCATATGACCGCCCCACTGACCGCACTTGTGGCCATCGGCCGCGACCTCTTGGCTGCTGCTGCGTCTCTCAAACATGAGGAGGTTCTGGCCGCGAGGTCCAGCCGGGTCCAAAGGGCCGCTCGCATCGTCCGAGTGCAAGGGTAGGTCCACGCGGATGCGCAGGGACCTCATGGCGGGGCCCTTGAGGGGGGCCTGCACCCAGGCCTGACGGCTCAAGTCCCGCAGGGCGGCCACAAACCGGCTCTCTGCCTGCCCATCCTGGCCCGCGGGCAGCAGCAGGTGGAGACGAGGGTAGCCACTTCCCAAGTCCAGCACGCGCTCGCGGAACGGTGGAAGGAGCGAGGGCGGCGGCGACGATGGATGCCATGGGCTTTGCACGTCGGTGACGTCGGACGCCTTGGTGGCACGACCGAGCGGCGGGGGGAACTGTGGCATGGCCCCGTTAGGGTCGGAATCGACAGGGCTGGTTTTGGAGTTGGTCAACCGAGAGGTGAGAGTAGCGGCACCACCACCACCTGCAGCACCAAGAGCAGACCCAGCTGCACGACCATCAGTAGCAGCGCCGTTCTTGACACCTTCACTCAGACACTCAAAATTGTCGCCATTTTGAAGAACGCCGTATTCGGAGCACCCAGCCCTGATCCAATCTCGGAGTTGCCGCAACGTCCTCGTCCTGTCGTCGTCGTCAGCATTCGGGCGTCCGCGCGCTCCCACCTCGTCGCTGGCAGAGGCGGCGCCGAAGGAGACAGAAGATGACGAGCGGCGACTTCCAAACGCGATGTAACGCAGCCGCACGGGGCTCCGCTGCTCGCCACTGCCCGCCCCTCCGTGCCCCAGCGACTGCGGCACCACAGTGACATGCGCACCACTCCACGGGACGAGCAGCACGCGACTCGGGGCGCAGCGAAGAATGCAAGGTCCCACCGACACCACCTGGGGAGGAGGATTGGCCGCGGACGAGGACGACCCCGGCGGAAGCGTCTCAGCAGGCAACGCCGACACGAAGACTCGCTCGCAGCGGGCGGAGCGCGGGCAGGCCGTCGGGCAGGCCTGCACGAGCAGGCACGAGCGCGCGTCTGGGGAGCGGAGCGTCCAATTGGACCAGATGGTAGTGGCGGCGACGGTCGGGCCGACGTCGCCAGGACTTGCGGTAGCGGCAGACGCGGACGGTGCGATGGAGCAGCGCGGGTCCAGCCACCCTGCGCAGCCCAGGGCCGATCGCTGACAAGCGGCCTGTGGCGGTGACTGCGGACTGAAGCCTGGGGATCGTAAAAAAAGAAAACACAGGGCGTGGGCCGGGTGGCGCATGGAGACATTCCAGAGGTTGGTAGAAAAATGGTAAGAAACCAGCATTTCAAATTCGCCTGAAATTTTCCAAAACCGACACGTTGGCGTGGAGTAAGGGATTATCAGCATGAGGCATTTGGATCCATAATAATTATGTATTTCTTTGCAAGTGGTGGGGGGGTACTGAAATCTCAAGCTCTTTAAATATGGCCTCTCGAGTAAATAACCTCGTATATTAATATGAACAATATAATTTCTAGGGAAAAAAAATCAATAAAACACCAATTTTCAGGGTCTCAATGGTGTGACTGGCAAGGAGATATGAAATCAAGTCGTGGGCTGCATCGGGCCCATGAGCTGTAAGAGGTTCACCCAACCCCCTTACTCAACAGGTGTTCAGTCCTCCATTCCCTCCTCACGGCCGCACCCACCTGAATTCATATAGAGAAGATTGAGTCCAGCTTGAGCCATAGACAATTCCACCTGTATAGACATAAGCTTGTTATAACTGACCACAATTACACACAACCACACACAAAGAGCACATCGAGGGATCTGCCATAGGAATGTGGAATTTCCACCACCGTCTCAGGGGCTACCGACAAAGACGAGCCCTCCCCACTTCGTTAAAGTGTGGAAACCGTCAGATTTGTCCAATGGTGTAGTAACATCAACTCGGGGAGTGCGGTAATTAGTCAGATGGGGCCCCAATATTTTATTTGGAATAAAGGAAAAAAACGTGGAACGTAAATTGAATGAGCTCCATAAAAAATATATATTTAAACTGCGTTTTACACCGTTGTTGAAAACATCATGGTGCTTGTCAAGGACCCCCCCCCCCCCCAACTCGTAGCTTTGGCCACCAGGGGGGGGGGGGGTAAGGCACCCCCTGCCCCCATGTTAGTTTAACTCTTCCTAATCTGTCACATTGCTCAAAACGGCCAAAAAAAACTTGCGTCGTCTCCTTTGCAATTCGCGCCCCGCTCTCCCTTCACAAAATTATGGGGACCGGAACAGTCTTTTTGACAGTTTTCTTTTACTTGGCAGTCCAATTTTACCAGGGCACCACGGTGGTGGGATGTTAACTACCTCTCCTGGTATACAAGGTCGTGGGTTCGATCCCGACCTTGACACCTGCTGTATATTTGGAGTTTCTCTCTCCGTGGTCGCGTGGATTTCTCTCCTGGTCCTCCGGTTCCCCCCCCCCTCAACATTTGAGAATCAGCGTGCGTTTCACGTTTTTGGCTGCTACAGATTTCCACGCGATAAGCCACTTCGTTGAGCCATCGTGTGGCCAAGTCGCTTCTAAAAACGGCGACAGAAGCTCAGTGACCCTTTCCTGGGTAAAATAAAAAAAAAGCTTAGTTTGTTTTATTAGTTTCAACCTGGACACACCCCGAACTCACCCGGCTCGGCAGCTCGGCACCCAGCGCTCTGACATCCACTCCGCACTCCTGGGCAGAGCTCTGCGTCAGGAGGAGCAGAACCAGTCCCAGGCTCCAGACCCATGCTGGTCGTTCCATGACCCCTCAAAAAGCAATGGCACCCTGTGCTAAAAAAAAAAAACACCACGTTCATACCAGCGATTGGTACGACCGTCAAGAAAGACCTCTTGCTTAAGCCCTTTGCTTATACCCCCAGAATACACAAAGTTACCAAGGTCACAATACAGGAGGCGGGCACATCAGAATATGCGTTTATACTGGAGGAATCCGAGGAGCTATGAAAGCTCTTTCACAGATGTCCACACCTCTAGGTCGACGCGGTATTTTTGCAAGGCATGGTGCATGTTGTGTGTATCAGTGTTTTACAGAGGTTTTTGGGTTAGAGTGTGTAGAAATGTGTTGCTAACCCGCCACAGCCAATGAGTCAGGTTTGTCACGTAAAAACGTGCCAATGTGTTACCGGAAAAAAAAAACAATGAGTAATGTGTTACTAGTTAGTTTAGCAACAGCGGTGTGTTGGAGCGTAAACCCACATTTACAATTTGAGTACGGACGTTTCGCCAGTAATTGCAAGCAGCATTATCAGGCGATAGCCAGAGTTGGTGTTTTGTAGCCGCGACGTGGCACGTGCGTTCCACCCCCACCACCTCACGCACTTTTAGAATTAGTTCCTGTACATTACCGTCCTCCGCAGGCTGCGGCATGGAGTTTGAGAACGGTTGGTTTAAATGAGCATGAGTAGCACCCAACACCGCGACGAGCGAGCTTGTATGTATTTATTCATTTTTATTACCACCCCTCGTGAATCGATTAATGGGGTCACCAATTGTGTGTGGAGGGGGTCGCGGGTTCAATGATCGTGTGGAGTTGTAGCGCCTCCAGTGGCTGCAGGGGTCAGTGTGGCGCCCTGGATGGTACTCTACACTCGGGAGGAACGATTAGGCTGCGATTTTTGGAGATTTGAAAAGTCCTATTACTTTCTTATTGGAATTTTTATTAGTTTTTATTATTATAACTTTATCCAATTTAAACAATTGTTTCATGTTTGATTGTACTATTTAAATTAAAACATTAATAAATACATGTTGGAAGCAATTCATAGCTTTAAAGTTGTTATCATCCTTGCATTAGAATATAGAGCAGTTTATATTTTGATGGTATCACGTGGTAATGCTCGAGCACAAAAAAAAATCTATTACACAATGAATATTGAACTGAAGCTTGACTTTAAACAAATTTAAATCGCAAATCAACTCGCAATCTGTCAGAAAAATCGCAATTAGATGTTCCCCAAATCGTTCAGCCCTACTCTACACCCAAGACAATGTAAATTAAATAATTTGGTGCTGCTGCGTTGGCAGCGATGTGCAAACACAAGAACAACCACGTTCGTCAATAAACTGTGGCTTTAAAAAGGACAAAAAACAACAATGCGACGTTTCGGGCACTGCTCCTCCTTCATAGCACCTCCGATTAGCAACGGTTGGCTACGTACGGTGCGAAAGAAGTTCAACATTACACACACCACGTAAAAAGTTGCACACCAAGTCTTAACGAAGCGAAAATGTTTACGTCCTCGATAATGTAAAATAATGCACGATTGTCGATTGATCCGGAGAAACAAGAACATTTAAGAGCAATTGACACTTTATAATCGTCTTAAGCTCCTAAACAGGATGCAGTAGGTTAAAAATGCGGCCGCCAAGGTGCCAAGTGGTACACAACCGTTCAAGGATCGCACCACACAACCGTGCTTGCTGCAGTCCCCTTCACCGGCTCCCTGTCCGTACCAGAATTGATTCTCAAAATAATTTTCTTGCCGGTATTCAAGGCCTTCAAATGGACGTGGCTCCTCCCTAGAGTCACCACACCTCCCCCCTTTAGCCGCACAGTCTAGCCCATCAAGATCATCAAGGCTCATCTCAGATTGCGCATTGCTCACGAAACTCTGGAATTCCGCGCCTCTTCTTGGTCAGGACTTGCGACACAATGACAAAGCTTCAACTCTCGACGAAAAACGCGTCCGTTTAAAAATGTCTCCCTTCAGTTAAATTTTAAAGACGTCTTTCCCACTTCTTTCCTTGGATGACATTAACTATTTACGCATTGCCATGCAAAGTGCCCCGATAACGATCGTTTCAATGGCGCTTTTTTAAAATGTAAAATTATTATTATTGGCGGAGCTCAAATATTAAAAGGCGACACGCGTGTTACCACCCTTAACGTTACTGCTATACCGTATTCTACCGATTACAAGGAGATCCTGGGGGGGGGGGGGGGGGGGGAGACCAAACCCCAAAATTGTGCCCGATGTAAAGCTACAAAGACAAAGGTCGCCTCCCGCCCCCTATAACCTGCAGAGACTATTGGGGCAAGTGAACCTGATGGCGGTACCCCAAGGTACCATAGTACCCCGGGGTACCATAGTAGTAATAGTGTAGAAATAGTGGTACCCCGGCTCTCGCATCATGTCCGCGATGCGGTCACTTTTAGTCTGTCGATGGTCGGCGACGCGGCAATCGACTCATCTCGACGAGCTGCTCACGATGATGCACCAACACCACCACCACTAACACGGTGTGTACCGCGAGCGTTCAGGGTTTCAGCACAATCGTCCTCGCTGCGTTTCGACATCGCGGAGTGTGGCACCGATTTCGGATTCATTGGTTACCCCCAGTCGCGGAGTTAAGTTACACCCCTGGGAAGGAAAAAAAGTGTCCCAGAAATAAAATATTTAATTGCCTCGGCCGTTTAGTATTATTTGGTACCCCGGGATACCGCCATAAGAAGCAATTGCTGCCGTTAGCGAGTAGCAACCTACGAAGGGCGGGCGGGCACACGAGGGGGTTGTTGTGGTGGTGGGTGGCCACCACTACAACCCTGCCTCGCACACACCGGATTGCAAGAGGCACAGACGGAGTTAAAAATGAGACAAAAAACTGACGATGCGTGTACGCAAGGACGGTTAACAAACAAAAACCACTTCGCCAATAGCAGTTGGACTTAAACATAATATCAATCATACGTGAAAATACAGAAGTGCGTCTTACAATCCAGAGAATACGACAATACACACGCACGGTTAACATTAAGGGAGCTTTAACTGTGAATAAACGCATCATTGAACGGCATAAATAAAACACGGAAGTATTAAAATGTTCAAATACCAAATACACCTATTAATGCATCAAGTCTGCATCAACCACAAACCGACGGTAATAAATGCAAACAAATAGGATTCGACAATATGCTCGCTCTCCTCGATGCCGTAATGTGGCGTTTGACCATCTTCCCGGATTCATGCCAGACAAGGTTAGATTATTTTTACGATTCAACTTCTTGATTCTGGCATCATTCCCGTGGCTGTGTTATTACCTTTCGGCGTCCGTATCTACGCTTGTGGTGTAAACGCACCGACCACACAGACAGACGGGCAAACTTATTTTCTCCGCGTGGCTCAGCACTTTGTGCACAAACAGGACACGTGAGAGCGACCCTGCCACTTAGCAAAAGCGAGAAGGGGTTTTTTTCTTAAATAGATGCGGGCGGTTCTTCCGGCTTTGGACGCAATTAAATTTGGATAATCATTTTTATAACGAGCTTATCAGTTGCACCTGGCCTAATGAGCTACAGGTGAGCGATTCAAAACACGTTCTTCTCTGATTAACTATTTGGGAACAGGTGGGTCCGAGTCCATACCTGTCAACCCCTTAATCAGTGCCTACCTTATTACAAACCGATTCAGACCTTATTGGTCACCCCGTGCCCTTATAAATCTCAACGTTCATCCTACAAAGTCCCATCATAAGGGAGAAACACAAACAAATAGACATTTTTTTCTTGCCCGTATTAAAACAGCTGTACGTCGTATGGACCTGAAAACACAATTTCCCTGTAAGAGAATCCGGGGTAAACCGTATGGGTTGACAGGTTTGTGAGTTTAACCACTTGCAGGGTCGCGTGCTCTCTGATGGGCGAGCTATTGAGAACACGTGGTCTGAAAGGCGATCTCATTATCACTATGTAACACAATTTTTGTCCCTGGGTACTAAGCGTTATTTTTTTAACTGCTTATGCCTACAAAGTATAGAAAATGGTTATTATTCCCCACAAACTTTGCTTTTGTGACCAGGACTTTGTGTAAACGAAAGACACAAATGCACACCACGTTTTCTTATTGAAAATAGGTAAATTTCAAAATATCACTGTCCTGGTCACAAAAGGAAAGCTTGTGGGGAATAATAGCCAAGTCATTTTCTGCACTTTTGAGGCATAAGCAATTAGGAAATAACACTTACTACCCAGAGACAACATGTTTTTGTTACACAGTGATAATCATCTATTACGGAACACGTGATCGAGATGAGCTACTCACATCACGTGCCTTTGGCATGCGAGATACTAAAAACGTTGTCTTCCAGCACTCCAGCGCTGTCCTCCAGCACTCCAGCGCTGTCCTCCAGCACTCCAGCGCTGTCCTCCAGCACTCCAGCGCTGTCCTCCAGCACTCCAGCGCTGTCCTCCAGCACCCCAGCGCTGTCCTCCAGCACTCCAGCGCTGTCCTCCAGCACTCCAGCGCTGTCCTCCAGCACTCCAGCGCTGTCCTCCAGCACTCCAGCGCTGTCCTCCAGCACTCCAGCGCTGTCCTCCAGCACTCCAGCGCTGTCCTCCAGCACTCCAGCGCTGTCCTCCAGACAGTCTCGTCCCTTCACCTGATGAAGGCCGCTTGTGTTGTGGCCGAAACGTCGTGAGAATATTATTGTGTTATTTTATTTTATCAATTTATTATTTTATTCGCATTCTACGTGACTTTACCGAAAGAACCAAAGAAAATGATTTCCTATACTTTGCAATCCTGCCGTGTTTTTGTATTGTTTGTTTTTGTAAAGTTCTGACCTGCCCCAACTGGACATATGTGAAAGAGCTTTATAGCTCATCGGATTCCTCCAGTATAAATATTCAGATTCTAATTATACATTGCAAACCGGTAGTGATAAAAAGGGCACTGGTATCCGATGTTTTTTTTTAAACAAAAAAATCTGATAATAGCAAGTAGTCATGTATGTGACTACGTCAGCCAGAATGTCTCCGCTCTCGTCACATCTCGGAGGCTACAACAGAGTCGATTGCTTGGATGGACGACCACCACCATGTATTAATTTCTTGGCGATGCTGCTGTGTTGGCCGTGTACATAAAACCAATTCTAGACGAATGTGTCGAGGTTTTTGACAGACTGAAGGTGACTTTGAGTGCGCTAACATTATTCAACTTACATTGATTTTATGGCTTTATTTTAGTGATTTCGAAAACTTTTTTGGTTTGGCCATGTTTGTTATAGTACGGAGTTAGACTGATGGCTTTAATCGAAGTTGTCTTGTGGTTTTTGTTGTTTGACTTGCATCCCACTTGGATTTTTGCACAGCGTTGGTGTACGGTGCTTTTTCTGCAATATTTTGCTGTCTTTTCATGGATTTTCTGTTTGCACAAAGTCACAGTCACTTCAAGATGTTTTCTTGTTCACGTTTTTGTTTGTTGCACCCGATTCAAGAGCCGAATGGCTCACAAGGCGATAATAAATTAAACTGAAAAACCGAAATTGGCGCCAGGTGGAACACAATTCCCTCGAGTACCCAATTGGTGTGAATAAGAATCTTCCAGTGCAGTTACACACAATGGTTGTGGAACATTAAGCGGTAACGCTGTCATCGTTTTCCGAATCTATTCATTGGATTCTCCTGGAATTTAGTAGTACTCTGACTGGCACGTGTGAACATTCATATGGCAGGGCGGTCTAAATAAATTACCGCGTGGTACAATTTGCACTCGTTTCCCAGTTCAAAGGTGGAGCTCTGAACTCTCGTGCTTGCTCGCATCACTGCTGTCATAAATGCCTCCACTCGAAGTTATTTGGTCACCTCTTCCACAGGCCAGGACGTGTTACGAGCGGAAGGCGTACCCACACTTTACCCTACCACTAACGTGTGGTCTAGCAAGTTTATACTGACGCGGTGGACAACTTTCAATCTGATGCTTTTCCCGCCGCGCCGGGCGATCGAGTCGAACAGGCGCCCTCGGGATTGCAAGCACGGTGTGCTAAGCTCACCCTTCCGTCTTTTCAGGTTTAAAAAAGGTAAACATCTCAACAGTATATAAATTTTTTTGAAGCTTTCGTGACTGCAGGAATCCATACTCTTTGGTTATTTCGGTAATGTCACGTAGTTAGAAATAATAATACAAATGTCTAAGTATATCAATTGCTGGACATGTGTGCGCGGCAAACCGGTAACCAGTTTAACGGTTGAGTTTTTTTTTCCCACGTGATTACCGATGACACTGGATGAGCCACCCAGCAAACATCGTCTGTGGGCCATCTGGGATCGCGAGGCCTCATGGGATCGCGGGCACCTGACCCACGCGAATAATGTCGAACACAATGAAAACGCGTGCAGAAGTTTGTTCGATAGGAGTGTGGCTTTAATGCGTAAACATTTTCATTCCACCTCCCGACATTCGCAGCAAGCCTCCAGGCCGAAGTACACACCGTGGCTTGATTTAATGTTACAAGTGGGACATTTAAAAAAATATACAATGGTCGACTTGGAAGCGCAAGAGGATTGTAAAGCACGACGTTGCCCCAGGCGCAACAGTTGTGGAGGATGGACAGAGATCTGAGAAGACTGGGTTTTTTAGACCAACATCTGGTATTGATTCTCAGGAAAAGAACTTGCCACTATTTAACCGATACCACCTCCACCCCCCCTCCCTAAGACTCGCCGCTTAAAATGGAAATCTTTTGACATGCCCTATCCACCCATATATTATATTAAATAACATAAATTATAAAATACATAAAATGTATACATGAACACACGCGAAGCTTGTTGTGATCACTAATGCAATTGTAGCGAGGCATATATACTTTTTTAGTACTTTTACCCTGTAGTATACTAAAATCAAGTTCAATTCGCTGTGCTTAAGTGCAAACATGTGGCGGATTCATGATATGGAATTTTGGCATGCTAGAGGGGCTTGGGGAGGGCCTTCATCTAGCAGTGGATGAAGCGCGGTTGGTGATGTAAACGGTTAATTCTGGTAAAGAATTACCCCTACCTATTTCGCATAATCAACAATTTGGTAGTGCATCACGATGTTGGGATCACGGTACATTGGATTTCAGCTGGTCTAACTTAACACAGCAAAGTGGGCAGTCATCACACAATCTGACGAATTCTTGCCATGAATTACCATTAGCGAGGAACGAATAAGAACTGTACAATGCACCAGGTGCAATTGGGTGGCACTACATGCTTCACCACTGTCATCTCCCACACAACAGATAAGAGCTGACAGTTGGTGGTCGCCCCTACATCCTGCCTCTCGAAGGCAGAAAACTGCCTGCAAGCCAAGCCCAGAGCAACACCACTGACGATGTCAGTGTTCACCATCCATGCAATAGTAATCCACATCCGTACGATGGCCCGTGACGAACCGTGGTGCAAGTAGCACATTTGCTGTTACCATCTTCCTACAAAGGCCGGCAAAGCACACGAGGGGGTGGGTGGCCAGCACCACGCCCGGCCACCTTTGTCTCCCTTGTAAGTGTTCACACATCGCACCATGCACTCATTTGAGTTGACCTTTGGGAGGCCCAGGACCGGTTCAGATATGGCTGTGTGCGGGGAATCGAATTTGAGTCACTCGGTTTGCAGTGCAACGGGCGAACCGCTACACTTATCGCTCCCAATAACCGCCATTCGCCACTCAGTGGCAGTGACGTCACCACGACGCTTGCTGGTAGGTCACGGGGCAGACCCAGGTGCCACGGGTCGACTGAGATGACTGGCTGATGCACCACCTGTGCCCCCTACTGTGCCAACTTGCTGTGCTTTAGCCACCTGGCGCTCTGCTCGTTGTTGTGAGTGTCCCTCCTCCGCCCTCCGTTGTTGTTGGAGGGCGACTGCCTCCAAATGCCCAGTAGCGTCCTTCATGAGCCTCCTCCACAGAAGCCGATCTTGACACCGCTGGTACTAGTCATCGGTAAGTCTACTCAGCTCCACATCCTCCTGTACCACATCACTCCATCTCTTCTCTAGCCCGTGCCGCGCCCATTGAGCCCCCTCGATCCGGCAGAACAAAAGCTGTTTAGGCATGCGGTGACTGGGCATGCGGGCTACATGGCCCAGCCTGGTTAAACCCAAGATGGATGGTAGGCAGGCCAGCCTAAATGTTTCTAACCAGTGAAGATGTTCCATTAGGGGGGGTCCACGTTTCGCAAGCATAGAGAAGGGAGGGAATGACCGTGGCCGAGAAGACCTGAAGCTTCGTGCAGAGCAACAGACCAGGTAGCTTTCACACAGCGTTATGCAACCGATGAAAAGATAATGCCACTCGACTGATTTGGAATGAGACCTCTGCTGTTAAACCGGAGCCGGTCATAAGCACACTGCCCAGATATGGGAAACTCTCCACTCTCTCCACAACTGCCCCATCACCAATTGGGCGTTGTAGGGGTGGAGTTTTGTTGGGTTTGATGGTAAGGCCCCACCTCTTAGTGACAAGCTCCAGGTTTAGCAGCAGCGCCTCCAACTCCTCCTCTGAGTGAGCAGCGATTACCAGATCATCGGCATACATAACGTGGTTTCGCAATAGGGAGCTCGCTCCCAACACACAACATGCATACAGGCAACTCTCATTTGACTCAAACATTTAAACTTAGAAAAACACAGATCAGTCTATGCAGCTGCTTCTTGTGCAAGGAATACAAAAAAACTAGAATAAAAAAACACATTTACAATCAATTCTAAACAATATATAGTAATAAAAACAGACATTTTTATAAAATGGGAATGGACGAGTTAACATTTCAATAATATAACGCAGATTTACAAATAAAAATCGTACAAAAAAATGAAAACGTTGCACAAGTTCGGAAGCATTAGGAAACATGTTGTCACGTTAAGTAGCGTGTGGGAGACTGTGTTATGTGGCGAGCGTTGTGCGAAGGACGCTTGTTTATGTCCACCTGGAGACAAATAAACTCGCGGAAACCGCACACTCCATGGGTCCGATTACCCAACCGGTCTAAATATGGATTCACACCTCCGGCGATCAGTAGCGCAACCATTCCTTCTTGGAATCGCACAACTCAATCGCCTCCTTACACGTGAACGTCCCTGGTTTTGAAGACGTCCGCATATAAGTAATTCAATCGCACACGGCCAAGTTGCGCAACCGATCGCTCAGGTGCGGACCTGTCTTAAGGCTTGTCGAGGACAATGTCCTTCTTACCCCTTAAAATCAAAGGAAACCGCCCCAGACTTGACGCGCCTACCAAACCTTCGAATGGCATTGCACGGCTAATCTGCAGTGCAGTTGCGGCTCGTGTAAGTTTACAATGTGGACTGGGTTTAGCAGACCGCAGAGTGCACTCGTTCTTGTTAGATTTAACAGTTGGGGTGAGGAAGGGAGCAAGGCAGAGGCATTTTGAGAAGCCCCCCCGCGATTGGGGGAGGCAGTTCAGCTGCGGCGCGAGTCTGTCTGGACGTCTAGACACACCTTGCCACTGATGGGACACTGCGTTGTGCAAATTGCATGTGGGCGGCCACAAAAGCGCTTCTCTGCAATTTTGCACCTCTTAACTATCCAAGGCATCAACGCCGTTACGAAGGCCACTGCATAACTGGATTCGCCTTTTAATTATGGATTGGTAAAATGGTGTGTCGATTCACTGCTCTGATCCATTACACCTTCAAGGTAGGGGCGGTTTGTGGTCTCTCCAAACACCTAGTTATCCTTCAGAAGAGGTAGCAGCATTGGCTGCATATGAAATTAACATTAGTGGTATTTTCTTTCCTTTTAATTTGCCAATGGCAGCAACAAATGGTGAGCAATAGAAATTGCAGCAGGCCAAGTATTGCCGCTGAAGCAAAAGTGCAGCTACAACACATCCTCAGCCGACCTCTTCTCACCCCTTACAGTCTTTCACACATCGATCCCACTAACTCCAAAGCACAGCTTGCAGAGACGACAACCGAGCGATCACTCCGTGCCGCACGCCACCCTCACGATCCAAGCCCAATACTAACAGCCGTGCAGTTGGTGGACATGTCAGGCTTATAAAGAGGGCCCACTATTCACAGTCTAATATCAAAGCATGGGAGGGCTTTAAGTCTGCACAAGGGGTCCCAATTTGAGATCCCCCCCCCATGACAAACAATAAAAGTGCAATCTTTCCCATCCGCCCACCCATCATCCACTTGACATCCCCTCCCAGTGGGCCCCAGATCTGCATCATGAAACTAGCGCCCCCTAGCGCTTGGTAACGCAGCCACCTGTTCCAGTCAACGGGAAAAATTGTGCGGCTTTCGGTAGGGACCGTGTGTGCCGCGGTGTGGCGTGCGCGGTGCGATGTTGCGGTGTGACGTGGCGGGGCGGGTCGAGGTGGCTCAGAGTGGCGGGGGGCTCGCAACCCATCCGAAGGCTTGACGGATTCTCTGGAAGTAGTGGCGCTGCCAGTCATGGCGCGTTGCCTCCTCGTGCCTGAGCGGCACGTGCAGGCACTCGAGCCGCAGCTCCGTGTTTCCGCCGTCGGCCTTCCGCAGTCGCAGCGTCACGTCGGCGTAGTGCTCTGCGTCGCACCGTCACGTCGGCAGGCAACCGGGGGAGAGCGAGGAAGGGTAAGGGCGCGTCGATTCATCCATTTTCACGGTCAACGATACGTTTATTGAGAGTTTTTGGCCGATATAAATGTCCACGTGATAAGCCACTTCGTTGAGCCATCATTTGTGGCGAGGTCGCTTCTGAAAAAGAGCTATGTAGCTCAGTGGGCCTTGTCTGGTAAAATAAAAAAAATAGTTAAGTTTTTAGTAGTGTGCAAAAGGTAGAGGGGGCACGTGTTGCAGATTTTTTTGAATTAATCCCAAAAAAATCTGGCCTTAACACTCAATTTCGGAGGATATGCAACTCAGCAAACATTTTTAAATGATCTGAAGCTATGGTGACGTCAGTTCTGCTGCCAATTTACTGCCAAAAGTGGTGTCACATTGCGTAGGATTAGAGGTGTGCGTTGTATCCACCAAGCCCGAGATGACAGATGGCATTTACACTCACCCTCTGGCCACGTCTTGCATCGCCACTTCATGACAATTTGCTCGTTCTCAATCTGCAGGCAAACGCACAGAAGACACAGTACACACTCTTGTTGTTGACGCTGTTGTAATTTAGACTTGAGGGTTATGGATCATAGTGGGCGGTAAGTCGAACATTCGCGCCTGAAGTGAAATCCATTTCCGTTTACTCTTAAATGAATATAATGGGGAACAAACATCACTGAAGTGGTTCAGAGTTGAGGTTTAAGATTCAGTTTCGTACGGTGGTATATAGAGGTGATGATTTGTATTTCGCATGAGAAGTTATGTTTATGGGTAAGCATATTTCTCATCCCCTTGAAAATCCACTGCTGGATAAAGGCCTCCAAAAAATGTGTCAGCTGTGGTGGTTGTATTGACCGTACTTCATTATGCTGGTCAGTGCCGGTAGGTAAAGGTGGGGTCATGACCGGTTCAGATGTAACGCACCACTTAAGATGTCCAGGTTCATAGCACAGTGCGCTAACCACTGTGCCACTGCTAAAATGGATTAAAATATATTTATAATTTTTATGCCGAGTGTCTGCTGCTGCTGTATCCTGTACAGCGCATTGAGATCCTTGATGAAAAGCGCTACATAAAAGGAATTATTATTAGTGTCTAGAGTTTTGTTTCAGGGTTGTGGGTGAGAATTTAGGGGTCAGTATTTAGGGTTGGAATGAGATTTGGGCACAGGTGTTAGTTGGACCCGGGGCCTCACCAACTCGCAGAACTCGCCGCTCACGTTCCCGTTCAACATTCGGATGCGGCCACCCTTCTCCGGTTCCACCAACGCTGGGGCATTTGTGAAGAGGGACACCAGCTACACAGCAAGACACAAAGATCCCACTTAACAAACCTGTTGAAGACAAGTGCTAGTAGCCGAGGACCTACGAAGGCCAACAGCACACGCCTGGCCACCTTTGTCTCCCCAGTGGTCATGTTTACACATTGGACCAGGTACTCATTTAAGGCGACTTAGGGGAGGCCCACAACTGGATCAGATATTTTTGACCAGTGTTGGCCTTGAGTGGGAAAAAAAACTAAGGATGCAGAGTTCGTCGTACAGTCCACTTACCACTACACCAACCGCTCCCCCACAAATCGATCCATCACAATAACAGCAACCACCATTTACCATTAAGTGGCAGTAATGTTACCGCAGCGCTTGTGCCAGGCTAGTCCTCAAAGCTTTAACAGAATGTTGGGGCAAGTGCTGTGAGCAAGCACCTACGAAAGACGGAATGGCAGACGAGGGGGTGGGTGGGCAGTACCTTGCCCAGCCACCTTTGTCTCCCGAGTAGCGATTTTTAGACATCACACCAAGTTCTCATTTGAGGCCGAGTCGACTTAGGCGAGGCCCAGGACCGGTTCAGATAATCGTCACTGTTGGTGGCCGTGAGCGGGAATCGAACTCAGGATGCTGGGTTAGTAGCGCTACGCGCTAACCGTTACTCTCCGGCTCCCCACAGGCTAGATCCCCAACCCCCCTCGCACACAGGGGCGTAGTTATCTCTGGCCGCACCTCCTGGGAGGTGAATGTGCGGTACAGCTCCTCGGCGCACGTGGGGAACGTCTCCATTAGAACCACGGAACACGTCGGGATGCGAACTCCGACCTCCTGGCTTGGCCGCCGGGCACAAGCGTCTTTCTGCTGTGCAGAGACACAAGCAAACACAACACGCACATCATGCACCTACCACAGGCACAATACATAAAACACACGCATTACACTATATATATGCAAACACGCACTATACACACGCACCACATGCACAATGCATAACACACGCCACATGCCACGTACATACCACATACAACATAAAGACAACACACACATTACCGTATTTTCCCGCATATAGCCCGTATACGCATATAACCCGCAGATGCATATACCCCGCAGGGTCTTGTTTTGTTTGTAAAAAGTGGTATACCCCGCGGGTTATATGTGGGAAAATACGGTACACACACTACACGCCTCGGTAAGGAGACGGTCCCCCCAGCCGTGCTTTAGGTAATTTGAACACGACACTGGAGGTCGTGGTGCCACACCGACCCACCTGCTCGTCATGCCCGCTCGGCAACGTGGCGTCCGGCGTTTGGCAAGTGATGCCGTTCTTGGCAGGGAGAATCATGCCCTGCGTGAACTCTTTACCAGCGGCGAGCGGTCAGAGACGCAGAGAGGTGTAGGGGTGGAGACACAGTGAAAAGAGACAGGCAGAAACACAAAGATACAGGGACACAGAGTGTAAGAAAGACACAGAGAAGGAAACTAAGACAGAGCGAGGTTTAACCATAAGTGTACATGTTATTGCGAGTGTAAACCAGTGGTGTAGCTTGCACTTGTCTGTCCCAGAGGGGCCAGCAGGAAGCACAATAATGATCACTGTGGAAGTGAATGGCAAGTATTCAAAAGTACAATTGGTTTGGATTTTCTACTGTATTCACAGAACTTTGCTGTATTTGTACACTTTGCATTTAACGCACGACTATTAGAAGTAATATTATTAAGTGTAAATCATCGTCATCATGAGCAACTGTCTTTCCACTGCTAGATGAAGACCTCCCCATGTCATTACCATCCCTCACTGTCCGGCGATGCCACAATCAATCTCACTCATCGCTCCGTCTCCGCAGAGTGTCCTGCCCAGCCTTGCCGACTTTTTTTAACGGTTCCACGCGACGCCTCTGGTTGAACGAAGTGTCAATTAACTTCCAATGCCACGGGCCCGTGGGTCGCGGCCTCCTCACCGGACTTGAGAGTGCGAACGTAAGTGACCAGCGCGTGCTTGATGCCGTCGACGCCCGCGGTCCTCATCACCTCCAAGAGTGGCGTCTCCGCCTCATCCTTCTTGAGGCTCACTGCCACCTGCAGTCCCCCCCCAGATGACACGAACGTTTGGTATTAGCGCCTATCCTATTGTGCAAGGCTATAGCACGGTCGGCTACGTACGGTGCGAAAGAAGTTCCACACACATGCGTTTCACATATGTAGTCTCCAGCAGTGTTGGACGATGTTCGTTGCGTGTAATCCCAACTGGGTAATTCGGACCACGAAGCCGGCACACAATGGCTTTCTCATTTCGAATGACGACAGAGGGATCTTTAACGTCCACTTTGAAGTAGACAGCACGTATTATACGGTTAATACACCCGCAGTAATAACCGGGGGTGGGGCCTGATAGATTTGAACCGTGTGAACCTCTGCTTCAAAGCTCCTTGAGAATAAACGGGTGGGGGGGGGGGGGGGGCCGCCAGGGTCAACAGTGATGCACCTCTATCTCGTCAATGTCGTTCTCCTCCGAGAGGTTGGGAATCTTCACGATACCACTGTACTTGGTGCCCATGGCACTGCCAGTCGCTGCAGGGAAGCGAGACGGACACGACACACAGTTTAGAAAGAGAAACCAAAACCGGGGGACATAAAATCGGCAGCCAGGTGAGGTAGTCTTCAACGTACGAGTAAAAGGGCTGAAAACGCATCGCCCATCAAGACACCGAGGGATCAGTAACCCAACGCTCATTCAAGCACCTCCCGATTAAGACTGTTGGCTAAGTACGGTGCGAAAGAAGTTCAACAACCATATTGGTCACCTGCCCCAACCTCTTTCTGAAATGCAATCAATTGTCAGAATTTTGGGTTGTCATTCAAGAATGAATTCGTTTGTCTTAATTTTGTACATCTTCTTGGCATTATTTCTCACTCTCAATTATAAATGTTTCGTCTGCTCTACGAGCATACATTTCTAATGATCAAATTTACATATGATTTGCATAAACTGTAAATGACTTTCATCACATGCACAATATGATGCAGGTGTCAAAAATATAGGAATGAGTATAAGTTTTAATAATGCTCTTTAATTAGCGAGGAAAGCCTCATTGAGTCTCAAGAATATTTGACTCAAGAGGGTCCTACATTGTGGTGCTTGACCAATTCCATTAATGAGTGCTTGGCTCATAGTGCAGCATATATGTATGTTGAACTTCTTTCACACCGTTCGTAGCCAACCGTGATAATCGGAGGTACAGTGCGCCAACCCCTGCGATTTCACCCCACCTTTTTGTACGGCCGTCATAACAAAAGCGCAAACACAGTCCCACAACGGGGACTGCTACTGCAACCGGAGTTCCCATACCTGTCAACCCCTAATCAGTGCCAACCTTATTACAGACCCATTCAGATCTTATTGGTCACCCCGTGCCCTTATAAATCTCAACGTTCATCCTATCACAAACAGCTGCACGCCGTATGGACCCGAAAACTAAATTTCCCTGTGCTAAAATACGGGTAAACCGTATGGGTTGACAGGTATGTGTTCCTGTCGCTGCTGGCCCGCGCCACACCTTGCCAAGCGAGCTCCAGGTCCCACTCGTAGAAGAAGATGAGCTTGCCCTTGCGGTTGTTGCAGGAGGCCTCGCCCTGCACGCGGGTGACCTCCGTGACCTCGCACGTCCCGTCCAAAGAGGTTGCCCGCACGTCCATGAGCAGCTGCCGCAGCAGATCCTCTGACCACTTGGTCACATCGCGCTCAGTCCTGCAGCGGCGAGTCAGGTGGTGTTATAGGTCGGAGGTGGTGGCATCAAGGGAAGCCACACAAGCCAAAAATGTAATGGCCGTTATCCTGTACATTAAAGGTGTGGAACCTACAGCCGACAGGCTAATTACGGCACACAGCCACGAGACGTAAGGCCGGGTACAAATTGCTGAGCAGATCGATGCTTGAAAGCAGATCTCTCTATTGTAACCAACTGGTTAAGCAAACTGCTCACAACTGGTAGCAAAAATGTCCATGAGATTGAGATGCATGCAACTAATGTGAGCAACTGATTGCTTAAGTGTGGACCTGCATTTACACTTAAAAATGACCACTTTTTCAACGGTTTTACTTAACTTGATTCCTCTGTTTGTCGTGGTCACATCTTGTAATCAAATTTTCGTCCACTTCCCGTTGTCCAACCAATTCCACATTTTGCACACGTACTCAGATCCGGTGACAATGCATGCCTGTATCAAAATCGGCATAAATTTGGTATGGATGCCTTATTATTTATATATTTGTTGTCAGTCAAAAACGCCGTGGTCCCTAAACTGTGGAATCAGCTCGCACAAAAAGCAGGCGCCGCATGTCTCAGGCACCATTGATGTACTTCTCGACCGTGAGTTAAACGAAGTTGTTAATAAAACTGTTGTTTTTTTACTCTTTTAAAGGAGTGCATGAGTTAAATGCTTCCAAAAAGACAGACTATAATACACGGAGCAACTTTATAAACGGCATGTGACCAGCTCCGTGATTTCAGGTGTACATTGGTGCAATCATTAAATCTCTTTTTTGCATGGGTCGAATGCATCAGACAATTAGGGTTATAATTACGATAGAAGTAACGTGTGCACCCTTATTGACACAGGAGACACGCTCGTGAAAATTCCACAGGGTCAGAGGTATCCAAACTGACTTGTTTTATTCATGCTGGGATGGTGATGGTGCATTTATTTTCATTTCTTTGTTAAACCATTGACTTTTTTCCATAAATAAGGAATATTTTCTAACGTAGTCTCCAAAGTTACTTCCTAAAACTGTCTAAATGACACCCCATATGCATTTCCGATGTCAAGGGTAATCTGCAATCAAGGTCGCAGTTTCAATTTCGTGGCACAGCCGTGGGCAAAATTATAAAAATTCTCACCCAGCAGTATAGATTGGTACACCAGTCAGTCGATCGGCACGTCAGATGCGGTGGGGTAAAGTGTGAGTATTCCCACGTCTGGCCACCGTGGAAGAGTAGGCTGAAATACCATCAAGAAGGGCTCTTTAGCAATTACTTGCACTAGCAGTGGAGCAAGTAATTGCTGGGCTGCAGTTATTTTTTACGTTGCTGGGATGATTTACATGAAGTAAATTGTTCTTGTAAACCGATTAGGGTACATCATTACCAGCACCACCAACGTCCGTCCCTTTGTGGTTGGAAAAATCAGCACCATTGAAGTGACTGAATGGTGGCAAGTCAGGAGTAATATAATACTCATACAAGCGCACAACTTTATCTGTGATGAACGCTGCACTTTCTGTCATTTTCATGCAGGGGGCGCTGCAAACCTACGCGCCCCCAGGAGGGGCAGGGTCAGACGTTCGATCTGCAGACGGCGGTCTTCTCGTACGGCCAGCTCTATGTCGCCTCATCTCGATCCCGCAATCCCAAACAGGTGAAAGCCCACCTCGAACCGAACCCCCAAGCAAGGCCATCTACTTAACGACGAGAGAAAAATCACACAAAATGTTGATTTCAATGAAGTCTACCAGATGTAAAATGATATATGCTTTTAATGAAGAAATAAAATGATCTAATTCAAAACAACACAATTCAAAGATGTTTCATTTTAAAACTTCAAAACGGAGCATCGGGTGCTTGCGTGAATGCGTCGTTCGTGTGCAGTTTTTTTTGGTGACTTTCCTGGCCGAAGGCCGTAAATGATTGTGAACAACTCCTAGTGTTATTATAACAGTGGATTAATACCTGTCATAGGAATGAGGAATTTCAACAATTTGCACCAGACCCTAGAAAAACCATCACCATGAGGCAAGAATATAACCCATAAACAGCCCTTTGTCAATCCGCACAACTGGAGAACAAGGCCTACTCACGCCGTTTCCGTCACGGGGCCTTTGTGACCATACTTCACCACGGTAGGGGCAGTGCAGGTTGGTGAATAAGGGGGGGTTGTAACGCAGCATAGCACATCTACTGGAACGTCTGTGAAAAAGAGCTTTATAGCTCATCGGATTCCTCCAGGATAAACATTCTGAAAACGATTCAACTGAAAAGAGCCTCAAATGTATTGCAATGTGCATTACTCGAAGAGTAGATTTTCTTTAAAGATTGAAAGTCACGCCTTAAGTTGCATCAGCTAATAGAATGCTGCTGTAATTAAACACTCCCGGAATGCCGCGTGACTGATGGAATGTGCATACTTTTGTAAATTACATGTTCAGCTAATTTTTTACATTACACGCTACGAGAAACGTCAAAATGGTAATTGTGCACGCAGCCTTTTCTCACTCCACTGCTGAATGAGGGCCTGGGAGAGAGTGGCAACCCCCCCGTGTCAGGGGCGAGAGGATCGCTGGACCATCCCCATCCATCCCTCACCACGCCGGTCAAGTGCACGGTCGGCGAATACTGTACACATGAGTTAGAACGGCAAGACGATCTTTAATGCAGATGTCGCACACGTCTCTTTAGCATCATCGCTTCACCCAGCTATACGATACAAACCGCAACGCGTGACGATAATAGCGCTAATTATTAATGAGCGGATGGTACACGCGAATTCATCATGGGTGTCACAATATGCATTTATACTGGAGAAATCCGACGAGCTATGTACATCACAGATGCACACTTGACGATAATTATACATTAGCGGATGGTACACGCGCATTCATCATCGGTGTCAGAATGTGTTTATAGTGGAGGAATCCAATGAGATGTAAAGATATATATTTTTTCCCCTTAGATGTCCGGAGACATCGGAGGCGATATGGGAGCGTGTGGTTTTTTGTTTTAACAAAGCTTATTCCGCCAAATTATCGTGCGCACGTTGCATGCACCACATTCCGATAAAAAAAACGATTTGGTGATGCTGCTTCGGTTAGTTGGTGCACAATCACAATGAAACGTTACAAGCAATATCGCCCATCAACAAACAATATCGCACATCAACAACAAACAATATCACCCATCAACAAATACCACCCATCAACAACAAGCAATTATATCACCCGTCAACAAACACTATCACCCGTCGACAACAAACAACATCACCAATCAACAAGCAAACAATACCACCCATCAACAAGCAAACAATACCACCCATCAACAAGCAAACAAAACCACCCATCAACAAGCAAACAATACCACCAATCAACAAGCAAACAATACCACCCATCAACAAGCAAACAATACCACCCATCAACCGTGTCCGATCCACTGCTGGATGAAGGCCTTCCCCTCACCCCCCCCCACCACCACCACGACCACGGCCCAGCGACATCCACGCAACGCAACCCCCCCACAAATCCGCTTCGCAAATGTCGCCTTCACTCGGCAGGAATTGGGTTGAAGAATGCCGGTGGAGGAGTACCTCGGCGAGCTACGCACCAGTGCCAGTTGTTGACGTTCGTGGCGTCGGCTCTCTCCTCGACGATCCACCTCGGGTCTCCCTCGCCCCACTTGGCCATCGCGAGCGCCTCGGCGGCAGAAATAATTACGCAGCGAGGCGATGCGGGGTTTTCTTTTTTGTACGGGTGAATTTATTTGTGTTGTGTTGTTTTTTTTTAGAGAGAGAGAGAAAGAGGAACGACGGCCGCCACCGCCACCGACAGACAAACAAACAACAACGAAAAGACGTGGGGGAAGAGTTTGCAACAAAATTTTTAAAAAGGCTGCGCTCAAAACATAGTTGATCGCTCGCTTGAGCGCAGAGGGGAGAAGGGGTGGGGGAGGGGCCAGAGCCGTGAACCGGAAGCAAAGAACCTTCCAGACGTGACCCCCCCTGCCCCCCCACCCCAAAGACAAAGGTCCCCCCGTGTAGCCTTGCCCACGGACTGTTGGGGCAAGTGCCGTCGTCAGCGTGCAGCGCCTATGAAGGTTGCCGGCACTGTGGCACGCGAAGTTGGGTTTGGGGGGTGGCCAGCAAACAACCACGCCCGGCCGCCTTTGTCTCCCCACCCCCTCCCACACAGAGCGGAGATGTTTACTACACACCCGCCACCGGGGTGCTTATTTGAGGCCGAGTCGACCCTAGGGGAGGCCCAGGACCGGTTCGGGTATTTGTCCACTGGTGGTGTTGGTGGCCGTGAGCGGGAATGGAACAATGCCGTGGTTTTACCGGTGTGGGGGGGGGTGGTGGGGGAGGGGTTGCGTAACGTGATGTCATCGCGTCGTTGTGACGTCACGCGCGTGGTGTCGGGTCAGTAAGAGGTCAACACTTTTCCAAGGGCGTGTATGTTGAACTTCTTTAGCACCGTACGCGGCCGAAAGCGCGAATCGGAGGTGCGGGTTAAGTACAACAAAACTAAACACACAAAAACAAGCAGCTGGAAAGACACGAGTTCGTCAATATAGGTGATTTAAAAGCGCCTAGCTCTGGTGGCTTACCGAAAATTGGAAGAGCGTTCCAGACGGCCGCAGAAGCGCGTTCGAAATTGCGCAGGACGCGGTGACCGTCAACCCCAAGGGGTTTCAGAGCAGCGAGACCCCTTTACTGAAAACCGAGAAATAAATCCAAGAAACCGAGGCACTGAACCATTTAGCCATCACGTAAGGGGCCGTCCATAAATGACGTCACGCGATTTTGGACGATTTTTGACCCCCCCCCCCCTCGTCACACGGCGTCACAAAAAGTCAGACCCCCCCCTCAAATATGACGTCACAAAGCTCTACCTCCCCCAAAACCATATTTCCATTTTTAAAATAAAACATGCTTCAAAACGCTTTAAACTATTGTCATTGTAGTGCGTATTTAATGTGACGCTGCACTGTTGTAGGAGAAAACATTTATTAAAGTCTAATTAAGTAGAACGTGTTGTCTATATTTATTTAAAGTTGCGCATTTTGATGTGACGTCACATTTCTCAACCCCCCCCCCCCTCCTCGTCACAAATGTCTAACCCCCCCCCCCCCCCAGATGCGTGACGTCATTTTTGGATGGCCTCTAAGGCAAGGACAAGTACTTTTGGAGAAAAGGGTCTACTGGTCTTGTCTACTTATAGGTGGACGGGTTACGAATTGAGTTTGCGTAACAGCAACACTCATGTCAAGCACTTGGTGAACCAGCTTTGCCCCCCCCCCACCTCCATAGCAAAGGAAATGAGAAATACCTGGCTTGGCTCTCATACAAAGGCTGAGTGAAGACAACACTTTTGGAGCTGACCCTTATGTGAGACTTTAACCACTGCCCAGTTTCCTGGGTGAAAAGTGGGCCGAGTTTTGTTTCCCAACCATGCCCAGTTGGCTCACAAACTTAAGAAACGAATTCTATTGTTTTTAGCTATGGGAAGGGGGGGAACCGAAAAACCGGAGGAAACCCATGCAGAACAGGAGAACTCCACACAGTACGGTGTTCAAGGCAAGATCGAAGCCGAGTCCTTTCTGTTGGGGCACACCTGTCAACCACTGCACCACAATGTTACCACCCAGAAAAGTTTCGGGATAACCAGGACAGCCTTCCTTAAACCACCGGGATGGTCGGGGCCAAACCTGGACTTTGGGTATCATTACCCCAAGCACGATTGTGGTGTACCCCAGTATTAAATGGGTGGCTGCCGCATTTTCACTGCGGTGGTGGAATTCAGCTGCTTGGGAGTCTGGCAGTGATGCTGAGTTTTACACTTTTATTTCAGCGAATGCCAACGAAAATTACGAGGGCGCAACACGCACTTGAAATGTCCACGAGGGCATTGATTTTATACACGTAAATTACTGCAGGCCCACTCTCCCAAGCGAAGTTCAACAACATGACAGATGCATGATTTTACAACTTTGCTTCATATGAACACACTTCACTATATTTTTGTACAGTAAACGTGAGCGACATATGCATCCATCTTGTGCGAGGACAACAACACCAGTGCTTATGGCTGTACACGCCTTTAAGCCGTGGAGGGGCAAAGGGAGGGAAGAGAATGGGCAACAGACGTGAGCTAAGTCGAACGGAAGGATGAAGGGGGCAGTTAATGTAGGATCACAGAGCTTCGGTAATTGTTGGCGCCAGTTCGTTGTCTTCCCGCTTGTCCGTTATTTCCTGCGCTCCTGAATCATTCTCTCCCGAGATTTAGCAAAATCTGCATGCGTCACAAATTCAGGTTGATGGCCCATTGATTCTGACACATCATCTGTTGAGTTATGTTTACCAATGGCCACTGCAAATCAGCTCCCCGATGTGTTTTCGGGGTTGTACTGGCTGTCTGTTGTCTCCACACGGAGCATGGTGTCCCGACGTCTTCGTGCCATGTGCAGAATTCAGTTTCTGAAGCTCCCAGCACTTGGGAGCAAAACGTCCGACATCGTGCCGAGCAAGCGGCACAACCCAAAAACACATCGCAGAGCTCTACAGCACATCTGTGAAAACCTACGCAGTAGGGACCATTGCAAGTAGAACTTTGTACCCGCTACAGTGGTCTGCTGTAGGACACAGTAGATCTATGAATCCTGAGCAGAACCACAATTATTAAATGAAAAGCACAAGAAAGCAGTGAACGTCCAGAAGTTGCCTACACATGGAACCAATTATTCAATAAAAATTGCTTCAATTCCACCCGTGCAAACAGCCATTATTGCCAGTTCTTGAAAGATCCTTTCTCATTAAGTGGAAAGTCAGCTGTCGTATAAATACCTTTTTGGTTTATACTCAACTCACCTTACGTCATTAACCATCACTTATTTTGCTGAAGGGAGCAAGACGACAATTTTGCGTTCACCTGGTGCTGCTGCTGCTGTTGAACATGTCTGTGCCTGCACACCACGTGCTGCTCATCAACACAGCGAATGTCATCGTGAGGCCACCCTACGTCGGGCACATGTATCTCCCACTATGATCGGCTATCAGGAGGACGCTGGTGCGGTCCTGAATGCCCGTCCACTTGCTTCCCCCGCATCGGAGACTCAAGGTGGCCGCGTGTCGGAAGGCCGTGGAGTGGGGCTACGTGGCTCCTGAGTGGTGGTCTCGGCTCAGTCACGTGGTGTGACTTATGCGCCATTGAGGAAGATGGGAGCCAAGCGCAGAAGCGTATGTGGTGCCAGCCCGCGCAAGCGTAACATGAGCTCCGCGAATGTCCCCATACCTATTGGAAAAAAAAAACAAGAAAGAATAATCGTGCACATGCATGAATTCTGTGCCACTTTCTAACAAAGCTTGATTTAATTTTCCTGTCAAGTCTTCTTCAACTCTGAATAATTACACTATGTAACACAATTTTTGTTCCTGGGTAGTAAGTGTTATTTCGTAATTGCTTATGCCTAAAAAGTATAGAAAATGGCTATTATTCCCCACAAACTCTGCTTTGTAACCAGGACAGTGATATTTTGAAATTTACTTATTTTCAATGTGAAAACGGGGGAATTTGTGTCTTTTCATTCACATAAAGTCAGAAAAAAACAACATATGAATAAAAATTAACATGTAATTATTCTAAAGAAATACAAAAATTACTACAAAAGATTTAGAAGTGAGTCGTTTTTCGAAATTGTTCCTCCCCACAGAGAAATCGGTCCGGTGTGGCCAGTCCCGCATGTGGTAGTGCGCCTTGGTGTCTAAATCTTTTGTAGCGTGACCTGGGTCACCAACATGACAAATGCACTAAACACAAGCACAACAGTGCAGCAAATAGAAATCGCAGCAGAGAAATGACACTTTGCAGGTGTAAAGCATTGTCGTGAAAAAATTTCTGCTCAAAATTTGAGGTTCACGCCATTCTTAAAGCACACCGCTATCATGAAGGCACTATGTTTCACATAGTGTGCAGTGTAGTTTCGCAGTAGGTTGCGACGTTGCTATGTCTAATCCCATTTGAGTAATTTGTGGGGGAACTTCAACCATGTCGCTGGCACAGAATGGCCTGTTTCGAATTATGCAATGGAAACTTTCATATTCACTGTGAAGTGGACAGGTTGTGAGTAATTTTACGGTTAATATGCCCATAGTAATAACCAGGGCAGCCTGCCGAATTTGAACCGCGAGATGTTAACTACCTCGCGGGGTATATAGGAGGTTGTGGGTTCAATCTGGACCCTGACGCCTGTATATTTGAAGTTTACCTGTTCTTCCCATGGCCAAGAAGATTTTTCTCCGGGTCCTCTGGTTTTTCCCTCCACATGTTTAAACATGCGTTTAAGAATATTTGGCTGCTATAAATATCAACATGATAAGCCACTTCCTTGAGCTGTCATTTTTGGCCAGGTTGCTTCTGAAAAAGAGCTACTGTATATAGCTCAGTGATCCTTACTTGGAAAATATTAAATAAAATAATTGTAAGGTTCCATTCTGAACGCATATATATTTTTTAACGCTAAATTTAACTCTGAACTCCTCACCTTCCATAACCGCGGGGCCGAAGGAGGCCGACGTGGGCAGGTCGTGCATCACGAGGAAGGCGGCGAGCATCCCAAACTGCGACCTGGCCACCGTCTTCCCGAGCAGGTATGACTTTACAGCCGCTGCTCCTGCTTGGGCTGCGCACACAGAAAGGGATGACCGGAAAATTAAACAAGTCAGGTAAAAATGGTGCACGCACCGGGAGCATGTCAGGCTTTGTCTGCGGAAATATCAGTTCGTTCGTGGCACCGAAGCTGATGGGTACAGTGAGGGAAAAAAGTATTTGATCCCCTGCTGATTTTGTACGTTTGCCCACTGATAAAGAAATGATCAGTCTATAATTTTAATGGTAGGTTTATTTGAACAGTGAGAGACAAAATAACAAAAAAATCCAGAAAACGCATGTCAAAAAGGTTATAAATTGATTTGCATTTTAATGAGGGAAATAAGTATTTGACCCCCTCTGCAAAACATGACTTAGTACTTGGTGGGAAAACCCTTGTTGGCAATCACAGAGGTCAGACGTTTCTTGTAGTTGGCCACCAGGTTTGCACACATCCAGAAGGGATTTTGTCCCACTCCTCTTTGCAGATCTTCTCCAAGTCATTAAGGTTTCGAGGCTGACGTTTGGCAACTCGAACCTTCTGCTTCCTCCACAGATTTTCTATGGGATTAAGGTCTGGAGACTGGCTAGGCCACACCAGGATCTTAATGTGCTTCTTCTTGAGCCACTCCTTTGTTGCCTTGGCCGTGTGTTTTGGGTCATTGTCATGCTGGAATACCCATCCACGACCCATTTTCAATGCCCTGGCTGAGGGAAGGAGGTTCTCACCCAAGATGTGATGGTACATGGCCCCGTCCATAGTCCCTTTGATGCGGTGAAGTTGTCCTGTCCCCTTAGCAGAAAAACACCCCCAAAGCATAATGTTTCCACCTCCATGTTTGATGGTGGGGATGGTGTTCTTGGGGTCATAGGCAGCATTCCTCTTCCTCCAAACACGGCGAGTTGAGTTGATGCCAAAGAGCTCCATTTTGGTCTCATCTGACCACAACACTTTCACCCAGTTGTCTTCTGAATCATTCAGATGTTCATTGGCAAACTTCAGACGGGCATGTATATGTGCTTTCTTGAGCAGGGGGACCTTGCGGGCGCTGCAGGATTTCAGTCCTTCACGGCGTAGTGTGTTACCAATTGTTTTCTTGGTGACTATCGTCCCAGCTGCCTTGAGATCATTGACAAGATCCTCCCGTGTAGTTCTGGGCTGATCCCTCACCGTTCTCATGATCATTGCAACTCCACGAGGTGAGATCTTGCATGGAGCCTCAGGCCGAGGGAGATTGACAGTTCTTTTGTGTTTCTTCCATTTGCGAATAATCGCACCAACTGCGATTATTTGCTTGGCAATGGTCTTGTAGCCCATTCCAGCCTTGTGTAGGTCTACAATCTTGTCCCTGACATCCTTGGAGAGCTCTTTGGTCTTGGCCATGGTGGAGAGTTTGGAATCTGATTGATTGATTGCTTCTGTGGACAGGTGTCTTTTATATAGGTAACAAGCTAAGATTAGGAGCACTCCCTTTAAGAGTGTGCTCCTAATCTCAGCTCGTTACCTGTATAAAAGACACCTGGGAGCCAGAAATCTTTCTAATTGAGAGGGGGTCAAATACTTATTTCCCTCATTAAAATGCAAATCAATTTATACAATTTTTGACATGCGTTTTTCTGGATTTTGTTGTTGTTATTCTGTCTCTCAATGTTCAAATTAACCTACCATTAAAATTATAGACTTATCATTTCTTTGTCAGTGGGCAAACGTACAAAATCAGCAGGGGATCAAATACTTTTTTCCCTCACTGTAGCTGTTAGGGCAAAAAAGCGTTTGCAATTTATCAAATTTTCCTTTTCTGCTATGATTTTATGTGTCCTCAGTTTTGGGAAAGAGTTCCACTTTCACAAAGGTTCATAGGTGAATGATCAAAGCAGGCAGTGGTATCACCACGTGGACCATCGTTTGAAATTGGTGACCACAGTCAGTGTAGGAGGAAACAGCCGGATCTGCCATGTGATGGGGAGACCCGTTCTGCACATGTGCAGACACGCACGCACATTCACATGCGCGCACTCACTCTGCAGCCACGTGTCCAGTGCCTGGTCCACCACACCCTTCATGGCATCGAGGAACTCGGGCACGATGAGGGGACGTGCCTTCCCGTCCGTGCCGGGGCAGCCCTCTCCAGCAACGGCTGCCGCGGTGACCCCGGGCGACCCTGCGACTCCATGTCGCCCGCTGAACTCCAGCAGCAGCCGGAGCTGCCAGAGTGCGGTGGTGTCCGGGATGCTGCGCGACTGCAGCATGCGTGTCGCCTGCCCAGTCGAGGGGTTGACCCACGGATGAGGGGGGGGGGGAGGGGGTACAAGCAGCAAGACGTGAAAACAGCAGAGAACCACTTCGTGTGTCACCTATGGCCAAGACCTGGCTGATGATCACAGGTGGTAATTGGTCTGGGGGGGGATAATGAAGGGGGCTTTAGATTTAGGGACTCAAGTTGAGTTCAAGGTCCAGGCAGGGTTGACTCTTGATTATCGTAACCATCATGATGGTCTGCAAGCAGTTTCAGTTTCCTTGCAGTTACAGATCCACAGCACCGTTTTTCACCAAGGGCATCTTGTTCATATGAACACATCGTGCCTCAGAGATGAAGTTTCACCGATTAAACCTTTTTTTGTTACCAACCCCACTAGGATTAAACGTACTTAAATTGAGCTGAAATTTAACTGAAACCAAATGTAAGAGAATTGTGGCAACTCTAGGATGCTTTTCTGTGGTTGTAGGCAAATACAATGTGGATTTGAATATCATCTACATGTGACAACGTTATCATCATCATTATATCCTGTGTAACTAAATCATGAATCATTAGGTTAGAATAAACAATATTATATTCATGATTATCATCACCATCATCTACATTATATGTGATGGTAAAGCGAGTACCACCACCACTACCATCCACACAGTGGTGGTAGGCGGTTGTGTTAATGTAGTCTGGCGGTCAACTTAGAAAGGAAAAATCTCCACCGTTGGCTCCGGATCAACAGTGCAGATGACCGCCATCCAATCAGTGTACGTGCTGAGCTGTGAACGTGCTTAATCATCGATCCCAATACAAAAAAATTGCAGCAACTGAATCGATTGTCACGTGCAAATGCTAATAAACGCTTGGCGCATTCCAATGTGATTGGTCAGTGGCAGCCTTCGTAAGGCATCAGTGTCAGAGCTCATCAATCACCACGTAGTTTAAACACACACAAGGACACAATACAGGGCTGACCAAATTCTGTCAGACATCTTGAAGTGCGCGAGGCCTTCGCTTTGCTCGTATTTATCCTGAGCCCGACTTCGCAGTATTTTTTTGTTGTCAGACATATCGATAACATGTGCTGTAGATCTATTTTAATCCGAGTTTTTTTGTGTGTACGCGATAATTAATCGATAACGTTAAAAACCATCATGAAACGTAACAATGCCGGTGCTGGCACGAGCGGGTGGCGATTGACCCCCACCTGGTATGCGGCCATGTACGTGGGCAGCAGCTCAGGCTTCTCCTGCGTCACGCACTCGTACAGGACGGACGACAGCATGTCGCACGCCGCGCGGCCCTGCCAACGGCAACCGCACGACACGGCACGCGGTTACACGCGTCATTAGCCCAGGAGATACCTGGTTCGAAGACGCCACAACCAGAGTCCGATCTACGAGTCCATTATTGTGCAGCCCTATCAGAGACTTAGTCTGTGACGTAAGTGTTCAAAGACTATGAGAGAATCGTCAGTCAGCTGTCTAAAGGCCCTTTCGAAGATAGTCATTTAAAGATCCCAGCTGAAACAATTACTGTCAGAGGCTCGTCATTTAGGACCATCATAGGATGGTCTGTCACAGTCTATTGTACAAAGTCTGTCGATCTACTTCCTGAAGACCACATCAGAAACTCTTCTGCCAGGCAATTGTCCAAAGACCCCAACGGAGACTGATCTGCCAATGTATCATCTAGAGGCATGTCCACAGAGTGGTAAAGAGTCAAGCAGGCATCTCTCACCTCTTCAGAGCTCTCGACCGCCTTGCAGAAGTGCTCTGCAAATGCCAGGATGGCTGGGTCGGAGGAAAACGCTTGGATGGCTTCGGGCTGTAAGAAAAAAAAAACAGTTTTATAATCATGCCAATCAAGCTGACTGCAACACACCAAATGTACGACTACAGTTCTGCGCTGCTATCTTCCACAACCGTTCCTCAACGTGATGAAGTAAGGTGCTGATGCCTGCAGGATTTGTGAAAGGACATTTTCCTTACACGAGTGGTGAGGAATCTTTTCCTCACTGAGAGCCAAATAGGACGTTCATATACCTTTGGCGGGCCACACATTAGCACCTCCGATTAGCACGGTTGACTACGTATGGTGAAAAAGAATTTCACATATATACAGCACACATATCAGTCACATCATTGCAAAAGTCACGCAAGTGACTGAGCACGCTATAATTTGAAATACGGTGTTGCCAGATCGAAAATATTCTCCAGTAAACTCGATTTGGTGCTTTTGTGACTGCAGGAATTAATCTGCGGTTATGTGTTTATGTGTTTCCTGTGTTTCCTCTACCTGATGATGATTGCTTGTGTTGCAATTGAAACGTTGTATATTATGTAATTTAATTTTTTTCTTATTTCTACATGACTTTACCGAAAAAAAACAAAGATTTATTCTCCAGTATCTGATTAGTGCAGCTAATATGCTTGCAGCGATGGACACATTTATTTTGCGGGCTGCTTGGAAGTGATATGCCTGAAGTGGCCGGAGGCCATATGAAATTAACTCACGGGATGTATCCGGCCTGCAGGCCATGGGTGTTTCACCCCTGTGTTAGTCACTGTCTTGTCAATCGGTTGCCTACTTGTTTGTCTACTACTGCTACTTTCATGTTTATCACTATGCCCACTCTCTCATTGTTTATCTGCAAATTATATTCTCATTATCGTTATTTACACCATGTCACGCAACCAATTACTCAATTGGGATTACACACAACAATCATCGCCCCCCCCCCCCTACTGCCAGACTGAAGCCCGCTTGCAGGCCAGGTGCCGAGTCACCTTGTGCCGCACAAGGACAGCTGCCACTGGAGATGTCCTTTCAATTAATATTTAAGATGAGATGTTTTGCAAGTCACTTATCACGTGTCAAATGCTTCATGATGCCACGGCATAAAGGGTGCTATATAACAAACTAATTATTCTTCTTAGCAGAATGAAACTGCAATGGTCACCCGGACTCTCTGTAGCTCGGGGCTCTGATGAGTGAAGGTCTGGGCGAGGAGGCTGCGGTAACCCATGGGGTCCTCGGCAAACGATAGGTGCCCAGCGCGTTTCTTCACGTACAGACGCCCATCCCGCTGCAGCATCGACCTGGGAAAGGGCCAGCGATGAACCCACGTGGCGTTGGTCAGAGCAATGAGGGATGGTGGAGGTGGTAAATGGGCAGACAATTGTTTAAAGGACGAGGGCAGGAATATTCTTGTTACCGAGGGCACAATAGGAAATTTCGAATACCTTTGGTGGCAGGCCACAAACATTAGCATACACTTTAGCGTTATACAATTATAAAACTAAATATAATTAGGGATCATGTAAATCTCACGAATGCGATGCCCTGCCCATGTGTTCGCTTTCCTCACACAAACGCGTTGATGTCGGGTCCAACGATATCTCGGAAAGATGATCCAATATAATTACACGTTGGTATAAATAATTTACCCTTTAAAAAAACGGCCAAATTGGACAAAGAATTTTCCAAAACTTGGCATGACGTGAACATGCCATGCACACAACTCCGCTTCTCCTCCTCCTCTTCTACCCTCCCAATAACGTTGTGACGTCGTCTCGCAGCATCACACGAACAGCTCTACGTGTGACGCCATCGCGTTTGTGCGGCTCAGAAGGTAACATTTTTTTTATCAGCAATTAAATACTTTCCGAGGACAAAATTGCACAGGCATGATTTTATCTCCCCATTTCCTTCCCCCCTCGTTTAATAAAATGTATTCTCGCGTGCGTTCAGGTGTGCTCTGGCAGCTCGCGAGACGCTCACCTGAGCTCCTGCGCGCTGTTGCTCGTGTCGATGGAGATCTCCCAGTGACGCGGCCCCTTCACTTTCACCTGCATTGAGAGAAGAGAACACTTGAGAACACAACACACATACCCCCCCCCCCCCTCCCCCATTTACCCTTGAGATTACTGGGTACGTGATGTTAGTGAGCACCTATTAGGACCAACACGGTACACAAAAGGGGTGGCGTAACCACCGACACGCCCAACTGCTTTTGTCACCGCCATATCACTTATGTATTTTATGCTCAGTAAACCTAGAGGAGAATCAGGCTAGGTTTTATATATCCGAAATGTCACCGGTTGTTATAAGAAAGTAAAACCCGAATTATTGACATTGTAAGGCAACATGCTCATCAGTACTCCCAATTACACACAAATACAAAGATCCCCCATGTAGCCTTCAACAGACTGTTGGGGAAAGTGCCGTTAGCGCGCCCCTATGAAGGCCGGTCCCATAACACACACACACGCACAGCCCCGAGGGGAGAAACTACAGCCCAGCTGCAGAAGTACCTCCTTGAGTAGGTGGAGCTCGGGCAGCAGGGTGGGAGCCATGAGGTCCACGGATATCTCATCGTACCACATGGTCGCCTGCAGGTCACGGAGTCGGGAAAGAACAAAAAACAAAGGTGCGCATTGCTGATGAGACCCTGGAAAGTCAAAACCGGTCCAGATTTTGCCTGTTTCCAAACAAATGCCACTGGAAAACACTGAAGGTGAATCGGCTGATGGTTACAATGTTATACATATCGACTCTTGCTTGTCTGGTTATTGCTATGTGTTTCCCAATTAAGTAGTTTGCAATTATTTTCTCAAATTTGGACCATGTTGCCGGTGCACAACGGCCTACTCTTCTTAGGATTACGTCACAAGATCTTTCAATGTCCACCGCAAATCAGACCAGCGCGTATTTTATGGTTCGTACGCCTGCGGTGTATTAGCCGGGGCGGCCTGTCAGAATTGAACCGCAAACATCTGTATAACAAGCGGCAAATGCTCTACCGCTCGGCCGTGCATGCCACGGAGTAAGGTGCGGAGGGGGCGGGGGGGGGGGGCGGGGGAGAGCAGCTGCGCCAGCGTGGGGCCGCCGTGCCTGGTACGTGGCGCGGATCTTGGCGTAGCAGGGCATGCCGGTGTCCACATCGACAGGCACCAGAAGCCGCGGCTCCACCGCCAACACGTACAGGTGGCGCAACGCCTGTAGGTGGTACCTGGGGTGGCACGCAATGTCACGTGTCAACCACTTTAACAGTGGAGCTGCGTTGATTAGTCGATCAAAAAAATTACGAGCAACTAATCTTTTTGTGGTCGATTACACGTGCCCCTTTAAAAATACCCCCTCCCCCCACAACATGCTGCCTGCCGGAGGCAGGAAATATGCAATGAGCCATGCGCAGCGTGACGCGTCCGATGATGGGATAAGTTGGCAGCCACCGTTATTGTATGTGTGTACGTTGAACTTCTTTTGCACCGTACGTAGCCAACTGTGATAATCGGAGCTGCGGGGGAAGCACAACAACTAAAGACAAAAATCAGTTCTGAAGAAATTAATTTCCATGATTAAATAAGCCTGAATATAATTGGTGACGTTTTTCATCGCTTCATAGGTTAAAATCGTACCCACCTTTAATAAGCTGTTTCAATTTCACTCTACATACGGTGATTGTTGAGCCACGTAGTTATCGGCTTTGAAAACGGGTCTAGGCTGGGAGTAGTGGCGGGTGGGAGGATGCCCTCTGACCTGTTGTCGGTGCTGTGAGCCGGGAAGCGTGGGTAGAGAGCACACAGAAGGGCGGCGATGGCAGAGTTGGACGTGCTGAGCGAGCACCTGCAATGGGACAAACGGAAACTTTCAGTCTCCACTCCCGCGTGGAGATCTCTACACTCCACCGGGATGCTGGTACGCAAGCTGCGGATACGGCTATGACTTTGGCACGGTGCTCACGGAAATGACGAACCGGAATAAAATATAGTGAACGTAAAATCCTGGAAATTATTGTCGAGGTGGTCGTTGGGGGAGAGGTGAGCCCAGGACCAACTCAGATATCACTCCACTTACATTAGCCGCAGACAGGAATCAAACTCAGGTCGCTGGGCTCATAGTACAGTGAACTAACCACTGCACCACTGCTCCAACAACACATGTACATAAATAAAGTCCTTTGTCAATCCACTGCTCGATGAAGGCACCGCAACACATTTTGGTCATGGGGGTTCTTTGACCGTATTTCACCACGCTGGTAATATGCGGGACGGTAAAGGGGGAGGATCCCAGGGCTGGTTCAGATATCACTTGGCAATGATGTTAGACGTTGCTGGTAATGGAACTCATATCACCGGGTTTGTAGCGCCACTGCACTAACCACAGCACCACCTCTCCACCCATGGCCACTAACCCTAGCCCTTTAGTATTTCTCTCCGTGCCGCCACTGGCTGTGTAGCGAGTCGCTACGGGCAGCGGCAGGGTGACCGCACTGACCTTCCGGCGCCGAGGAACAGGAAGCCCAGCGCCATGTGCGAGGCCATGTGGGCGCCGTAGTTAAGCTCCCCGCCTGTGCGGTAGTGCATGAAGCGGCACAGCTGCAACGCCTGCAGGTTCCCCGTGCCGGCCATCACGAGCGCCAAAGCGAGCAGCGTCACCGACAGGCACGACTCAAGGGTGTGCCGCCCAACCTGTGGTGCACGCCACACCACGGCCAAGTGGGGGGGAGTGGAATCAGGTTTGGTGAATGTGGCACAGGCGGCAGTGAAAATGGGGCGGCAGCACGGCACACTGTGACAGTGACAAGAGTGTCGAATGCGGCCGTCTGGAACGCTCTTCCTTCCGAAATTAGGAAGCCACTGGAGCTATGCACTCCTAAACCTAGATTGAAAACTCATTTCTTTAGAGCTGCTTTTTTTGTTTAGTTTATTGTCCTTCCCCCCGCACCCCCAATTAGCACAGTTGGCTACGTACACTGCAAAAGAAGTGAAACGTACATACATACATAAATAGTAGAATCACAGTTTCTGCCAAAATAAATCGCATCTCGGGTACCCGATTAGAGCAGCAAAGATGGCGACAGTGATGGATAATGGTGGGAAGTAGTATTTGGTTCGTGCGCTAGATGTTCCCCACACACACCCACACATCCATTCCAGCATCAAACACATTTCTGAGGTTCCATCACAGGGAATAAAATCATGGGTCGGTAGGACAAACGCTTACCAGCTCTACGACGGGGTCGCTGGTCATGCCCAGAAACCTCCGCGCACATTTGTACTGCAGCAGGGAGAGATCGCACATGGTTTTGTGAGCACACGTGATATGAAACCTATAACAAAAATAACGACGCACTGGCTCAGGGCCTCAATCCTCACTGAGCAGGAAATCAGTTACTTTTTAACACAGGCCATGGAGGTGATTGTGTGGCTATGGGGACTCAATAGCCTATGAACAAATCACCTGGGGATTTGCCCAATCTTATCAGATCTTGGAAGCTAAGCAGTGTTGAGCAGTAGAGTGCTTGGATAGGTGACCACGATGCACGTCAAATTGTCACAAGTGGCTGCATGGCTGTACTACGTCTAGGTCAGCAGTACAGCAGGAAAACACATTACTGTACTGTATTTCTATGGACCTAAGTCTACGCTGCCCACCGTCACCAACCCTCACTGAGCAGCAATGGCCAAGTATGATCAATTAACCCTCATGACCCGCACAGTGTGGGGAAGCCCTCATCTAGCAGTGGATTGACAAATGTGCTGGGCATGAAGAAATTCTTCAGTCAAGTTTCCAAACCACTGGATGAAATCGCGACTCCAAATTGTGACAATTTCTTACATTGTGAGGGGGGAAGATCTGTTACAGGCCTGTGTGAGACCAAAAGTAACAATGTTAACAAATAACGCACGCGAATGTGCGTGTGTATGTATATGACAACGTACCAGGCAGGTGCAGGCAGAATCGTTGGCCGATCCGGCAAATCGAAGGCCCATGGCCATGCACGCACCAGCAATGATGTTAACATGGGCCTGCCTGTGGATAGAATACCCATAGGTTTGGAACGAGTGTTCACAAATGCATGTTTGCTAACAAAGCGGGTCATTTTTCCCCCAAGTCATCACCATCATAAGCCAAGGCCTACCCCCAAGCTGCTGCCACCTCTTAACATCCCTACGATGTAATAATCTGCCCACAAATGAACTTCATCCTTCCATCTCCTCGGTGGCCAGGTGGTTCAGTGATAATACCATGTCAGGGACACTGAGCCAACACTGCTGGGATCCTGGGCTGGATATTAGATCCAGCTACTGTGGCGAGATGTTAACTACCTCGCCTGTTATACAACAAGTTATGGGTTCGATCCCGACCCTTACACCTGTATATTTTGAGTTTGCATGTTTTCTCCGTGGTGGCATGCATTTTTCTCCGGGTCCTCCGGTTTTTCCCTCCACAATTAGAAATGAACGTTTAAAAGTATTTGGCTGCTAGAAATTTCCACATGATAAGCCACTTTGTTGACCTAGCAATTGTGGCCAGGTCACTTCTGAAAAAGGGCTATACAGCGCAGTGGGCCTTACCTGTTAAACGAAAAAGTTGTAGTTTTTTTTATAGATTTCAATCACTCATGATTCTCCGGCGTAGCGAGTTTCTGGTCTCGGTATATGTCTTTCTAATTTAATTTGACGTATTCCAATTCTGAAAATTAAAATCCTTGGTTTGATCAATTGACATGGGATGAACATCTTTTGCAGTGCATACAGAAGGTGCGTCCATAGTGTGGATTCAGGGGTGGTTGAGTGATGTTATCTTCAGAGGTTATTTTCTTCTTCTTCTTCCTGTGTGTGGGGTCGTTATCTGACCCAAGGTGCTTACTCACTCCGAGAGATCCCAAATGGAGACCTCCTTCGTCTCATGACTTGATACAAATCGCAAAAGTTGAAGACAATTGATTTGAAAACATACATCAACAAAAAATGGTTCTAAGGCACGCTCATATTTTTCCCCCCCAAATAGTGGCGGCTGTACTTTTGAAATCGTGGCGAGCTCACCACATGGTCTGCAAGTTGACATCGTGTTCCAGAACCTGAGCTGCTCCGTTCTCCACATCGAAGTCCAGTCCGTACTGCCGAACAATCTGTAAGCAAGGGAACAATTCGGGGGGGGCTGATTAATTACAAGTACAATGGACACACTTGGTCTTGGCGTCATTCCTACAGCCTCAGGGCTATCATGAAGGCGCTGTGTTTCACAGACTAATAAAGTCCGCAGTTGTTTCACAGCAGGTGGCGGTGGTATGGGTTTCACGTTAGTATTCGTACTGCCGTACAGTTTAAAAAGAGGGGAACACAAGGGGCAGATATCTATATTGCCATTAAATAGGTAAAGCGTTGTTAGTTCAGAGGAATTCAAATACACTGTACACACCGAAAAGGCACAACAGAGGCGTGTAAATAAAATAACAAAAGGTCAAGGAAATGTGGTGACAATTGCAATATAGCAAAAACACAACACAAAAAAACGTACGCCCTCCAGTACTCAATCAGTGCGGCTGAGTTCCTGGCAGTGATAGATAAATATGGTTTGAGGGCTGTTACGAATCGTAGGTTCCCCCTCTCTGTGCTAAGAAAAGTTTCTGTGGAGAGGTTGCTTTGTGTGGTCTAACGAACGCATCAGAAACCAGCCTGCCTGTTTTTAAACAACCCTGATGAGGAGGCCAATCTGGGGTGACCTCAAGCCATATTATTTCTTTTCCTGACCTACAGAGAGTGCTTTGTGGGGCAGAGTGTGTGGTGTCTCCAATGGTGTGGTGACAGTTTCCCTCTCTCTGATGTAGAGATCCTTGCTTGTGGGGGGGTGGGACAGGCTGTGGTGTGGCGTTTCTTGTGGGGTTGGTGGGGAGCGGGATAGACAGCCTCACCGCTGGCACGTTGCTGTTTATCCACGCCTCCGTGGGCAGCACCTCGTCCCACATGATGAGACCCTTTGCCAGAATCTGGGGGGGGGGGTCAAGGGTGAAAAGTCAAGGGCAGTTGGCTCTTCCAAAATTTTACAACTGTTTGTTTTGCGATACTGCGTTGGCAGTGGTGTACAAGTACAAATAATAAACTCAACACAATCGTCAACAACAAATGCACGAATTTCAATTCACTGTAGACAGTCCTGTTCCATATTTACTCTTCTTAATACAGATTAAGGAAGCGTAGAGGGATATAGATGTGGGACAAGACTGAGCATCTAAATTGAAAACTCATTTCTTTAGTACTGCTTTATGTGTTTAGTTTGTTGCCCTTCCCCACACCTGTGATTAGTACGGTTGGCTATGAACGGTGCAAAATAAGTTTAACATACATACATACAACACTGCCATAAAAGAAAAAAACAAATACAAGTCTACGTTTCTGGCAATGGCCCTTATTTTATTTGGCCATAGTTCTAAAATATACATACTAGAGCCGGGCCGTCAGTTTTGTTTCGCTTTTAGGGCAGTGTTATAAAACATATTCTATGGATATTGGTCGTGGCAGCCTACGTGTTAAACAGTGTTATTGATCTACATCATTGGACCTCCTTTGCCAGTACCAAAATATAATAACAGGGTTTTTCCCCTTTTTTCTGGCAAAAAACTGAAACCGCCTTTTGGCGTCATCTGGTCTAGCACCAATTGAGACGAGGCTCTAAAGATAGCTGTCTATGGTGTGGACCAATCAGTTTCAAGGACAATGCATATATTATCAGTGTGTTATTTGTTTGCATTTTGACTGCAAGTATTGTGGTTAATGCAGACATGAAACCTTGTAAAAAAGGTTTCAGTTTTTTGCCAGAAAAAAGGGGAAAAACCCTATTATTATAGTGTTATTGATGTAATGTGTTGAATGTGTTCCTCTTTAAATGCAATCAGCCCCCACAAATGATTAACAAAAAAGCTCATGATGCATTGCTCTGGTGCATGATGGGCCATAACATATAAACAAAGCTCAGAACTGCGTCTTCACGTACAAAATATTTTTTGAGTCATCAGCTTATTCGTGTCAATGGAAACCAAGTAGCATTTTGTTTAACAAGCCTGACTGATATTCTTGGTTCTTTACCGAAAGAACCAAGAATATGAATCCCTGCAGTCACGAAACCAGCTTTAAATCAAAATTTAAGCCTGACTGAGTTTGCTTTCTTAAACAAATATTGCTGGATAATTTTGGTCTGGAAAAGAAAATAGGCCGATGATATAAACAGAGGCCTGTTTATATCACTTTAAAAAAACCACGACGATCAACTCCAAAAAAACTTGGTAATATAAACGGCACAATGCGGACTCACCCGCAGCATGAGGAAGTCCGGCTTCACGAAGTCTAGGAGGTACTGGGTTTCTGGTGCCTCAAGCCAGTCGGCTATTGACCTAAGATGTCAAGTATCGCACACATGTTGGTTAAACGAATAGCGACACAGCCATCCAACTACAAGCATTGAGCGTGTTTGGTGGAAGGAAAGCCCTGTCTGCATCAGCAGGCCAGATTCACATCTTGATGAAACAGAGAAAGCAAATCCCCTTCGGTGGTGCACCCCATTGTCGGTGATGGGGACGTGGGACACTTTTCGCCTAAATGCTGCTGTGGACAGATTGCTTTGTCAAGACCGTTGTCAAGAGGACGCATCAGAAACCAATCTGTCTGTTGTTTACAGACACTATCATTGGCCAATCAGGAGTAGGGATATCGGGCCATTGGTTCACAATCCCTGATTATGAGAGGACCGTGATTGATTGGTGGTGCAAGGTGTGTGCGGTCCCTCCGATGAGGTTGGTGGGGAGTCGGGTAGACAGGCCAAGATGAATAAAAATAAGATTTTAGGCAAGATGTAAATCAGGCGACGATGGAGATTTGGGCTGGCGTGTTTTGATAACTGTGTTGCAACGTCCTCCATGGTCACTGCTTTCCATTGGCCATCCAATCCTTCTCTCTCAGAACCTAAGCTGAGTTGAGCCTGGGCAAACGCCACGCACAGCAGGTTGTTAAAGGGTGCGCGGTGCTATGCGGTGATCAGCGATGGGCTGTGCGACGAAATCGATTCCTGCTCTGTGCTTCTGCACTTCCACGCCTATGCTCCACTGCCTTCACCAACCAGCACTCACAAACACGGTGAAGTATGGTCAAATAATCCCCATGAGCCGCACGGCCTGGGGAGGCCTTGATCCGGCAGTGCATTGACAAGAGTGCTGTACACGTGCACGTCCTGTTAATTGCGGTTTGGCAGTACAAAACTTTTACGAACTGAAAATCATTATGCAACAACGTTAGTACTATGTCAGTGTGGTCACCTATTGTTGGTCTTCAGGTAGATCATGGCCAGTGCCAGCGTGGCCCCTGGGCAGGTGACATCCACGTTTACGCTATCTCCTTCCTGCAGTGTCACACACACACACATAGCAGCACATATCTCCATCCACAATGAACCAGGCGATCTGAGTTCGACTCCAGACCATGGATGAAATCAGTGGCAAATAGTCTCTGAAGCTGCAATAAGCCTCCTTTATGTCAACTCAGCCTTAAATGGTGCAATGTGTAAATATTAGCATTGGGGAGACATTGGCTGTCGGGCGTGGTACTGGTATAATTTGTGCCATTGTGTTTTGTAAGCCTGTGCGTAAGAGCGTGGGTGAACGTGTGCGGGCATGTGTGTGTATGTGTTTGGGGAGTGGCAGCGTTGCGGTCAGGGGACAGTGTTACGGATCCGGCGACCCGAGCTCAATTCCAGGCCACGGCTTATATCAGTGGCGATTCATATCTGAACTGGTCCTTGGCCTCCCCTACGTTGACTCAGCCAATCACCATCCCAAAGATGGCCGGGCGTGGTGCTGGCCACTCCACCCGCCCGTGCGCCGTGCCGGCCGTTGGTAGGCGCTCGCTAACAACACTGGCCCTAAAACTGCGTTTACAAGACTGTAGCGGGCACCTTTGTGATATGCTTGTGTGCGTTTATAGACACACGAGGTGGTGCTGCTGCTGCCAACCTTAATCTGGTAGCTTGGCGACTTGTGGCGCTCCCGCGATGCCCCCGACGTGCTCCGCCGGTGCCCGCCCACCATGTACTGGTAGAGCTGATCTGGCACATTCAGGTCCGACATGCCGATGAGGTTGCTGCCGTGCTGAGCGCCGAAGAGCAAAGGGCCCGCAGCCACCGCGGGTGAGAAGAGGGAGCGGCAGACAGGAGGAGGTCAAACATCCAAATATAGGACCACAGAGGTCCGGTAATTGTTGGCACTGGTTCTGGCTGCCGCTTATGAAATCTGCGCGCGTTACATTTTCTAGAGCGTTTTTGAGATGATGGAGTTAATAAACTAAAATAAATAAACAACAAACCATTGCAGCACGGAGGTGTGCGTCACTCACCCCGAGGCACACCATGCCAAGGCCCAGTCCGGCGGTGAGCGAGTACGACTCCCGGTCCGTGCAGTTTTCCATCTCCGGCCCGGGCGCCCTCCCTGCCAAGAGTCCACGAGTCATCGTGTTTAAACATCAGCGATCCAGGCACATATGCGAAAGACATATGACATGCTTCAGAGCAGCGATTTCCCAAACTCCAGTCCTTGTGAATCATCACAGCACACCTTTGCACATTGGCCAATCAAATGCAGATGAAGTTGACACACACTGCATGAACCTAATAGTTGGTAAACATATGTACGTTGCGGGACAAAGATCCCTCTATAGCTATACAACCATCTGGGATAGTGCTGTTAGCGAGCACCTAAGAAGGCTGGTACAGCACACCAAGGATTAGTGTGGCCAAGACCATGCCCTGCTACCTTTGTGTCCCCAGTGTGATAATGTTCCCACGACACACCACATACTAATTTGAGGCTGAGTCGACCTAGGGGAGGCCCAGGACCGGTTCAGATAATCATCACTGGTGTTGGCCGTGAGCGGGAATCGAACCCGGATCGCCGGGTTCATAGCGCAGCGCGCTAACCGCTACACTACCCACACACACAAACATTCACACGTGCGCCCGGCCCCCCGCACATGCCCTGCCCTACCGATCTCGTTGAGTAGCGTCTCGGTGATGTGGCGATATGCCGTGCCCTGGTAGACGAGGCCCACGGCCATGGCGGCCGCCACCTGCACACCGTGCGCCACGTCCATCTCTGTGGTGGATGGCGGCAGCAACGCGGGCAGGTGCACGGCGAGCAGCCGCGTCACCGCCATGTCCATGGTGCCCAGCTGCGCCGCCGACACGCCCAGCAGCAAGCCGATGGTCGTCATCTCGTGGCCCTGCACACGACGGTGAAAACGACACAGCCTCAGCTGCCACCTCCGTCATCATCATCGTCATCATATTCGTCATTGTCCACACTCCAACTGCCACCGTCGTCGTCGACACCGCCATCACGTTGGTGCTCTCACCATCAGGACTACAACTAGGGTGCTGCGACCCTTAAACGTGCACTTTAAGGCCGATTCACTACGGCCGCTCTCTCTCAATGCCGATCAGTCGCCTACTTGTTTCTCCACTACTGCTATTCATTATATTATCAGACATGTGGAGCGGTGGCATGGTGCTTCGTGCCCTATGCTACAAACATGGCAACTCGAGTTAAGATTGATGGCCGTGCACCAGCCTTCTTAGGCGCTCACTAACAGCACTATCCACAGCAGGTTGTATGGCCACGAATGTGCGTGTGCGTGTATGGGGAGCGGAAGTGTAGTGATTAACGTGCTGAGCTACGAACCCGGTGACCCGAGTTCTATTCCTGCTCAGGCCAACACAACTGATGATTATTTGAACCAGTCCTGGGCTTCCCCTAGGTCGACTCAGCCTCAAATGTTACCTGGTGTGGTGTGTAAACATTACCACTGGGGAGACAAAGGCGGCCAGGCATGGTGCTGGCCAACTACCCCCTCGTGTGCCGTGCCAGCCTTCATAGGTGTTCGCTAACAGCATTTAATCCCAGGCTACCACGGGGGATCTTTGTCTTTGTGGGTTTAAATTGTTGAAATTACTCCCAGCCTCCGCCAGGTAATCCGCCACACTCCCGCCGTGGTTGTCCCCACCACACCTTGGTGAGATAGTCGTGCACGTGCATGATGGGCAGGTCGTTGAGGTGGCCACTGAGCCCCAGCGCGAGCAGCACGCCGGCGTACTCGGGGATGGGCTCGCCGGCCTGTGGGCGGTTGTTGTAGGAGAGCCACGGAGCGTGCAGGCGCAGGCGCTGAGCCGGCGCGATGCGCAGGCCGCACGCCACGCCGTTGTGGAAGCTGGGCCAGCTTGCCATGTTGGCCGGCATGTCAATGTTGCCGCTGCTGAGGTCCACGATCATGTTGCGCGGTGGCGCGCGGCCTAGTTGGGACGGGCCGGGATGGGATGGTGTCGATATGTGATTAGTTCGTGTGTGCACCGAGAAGCGGGAATTGGTATGGCCAGAGGTGGCAATGAGAGGTTATAGTTGCAGTTTTCTTCGGATTATGAGATGCTCCAAAAAGTAAGATGCACCCCAAACTTGTGCCCGGTGTCAATAAAAATCTGGTCTCGCACACACAAAACTCTTTTTTCCAATATTAGCCAGCCACAGGAGCTTTGCACTTTTAAATCAAATTTGAAAACTAATTTCTTTAGAACTGCTTTTTGTCTTAAGTTTGTTGTCCTTCCCCTGTAACTCCGATTAGCACGGTTAGCTTTGAATGGTGCGAAAGAAGTTAAACATATATACATACACACAGAGCGGATTAAAAGACGGATTCCCAACTGACTAATCCAGAGAATACAGTAGATGTAAAGCCTTTTGTCAATTAGATTCAGCTCCTGTTCTACCACTACAGGGCAGCTGCTGATGTTCGTGACAACGGATATAATTCTAGAGCTGGAACTATTACGATCCGTTCAATCGTGACTACATTTTTACTGGATTCGACTATGACGTCCATCACTTTTGAAACGCATGACAACAACGATTGAACGAAGCACCCACCGGCGATCGAAGAACAACCCCAACTGGAGGCACTGACCGGTGAGGTTGAACTTGGTGATGGGGAGCGGCTCCGTGGGCAGCGGGTGGTGGGTGAATAGGGTGAACATCCCCCGGCCCACAGGAAGAGCCATGGTCCTCTGGCAGAGCTGCAGAAGCCTGCGGCGTCAGCGACATGGCGGATGGAAAGAGGCTTAAGAGAATCCCTGTGATCCACGGACTGACTCAAACCCGTTTGAGCCGGGGGCGAAGCGATGACGTCACACGGCGGCATGACGTCGCAAGACGACGCGTCACGCCCGGCCACCTTTGCCTCCCAAGTGGCGATGTTTACACACTGCATAAGGTACTAAAATTGAGGCTGAGTCGACCTAGGGGAGGCCCAGGACTGGTTCAGATAATCGTCACCGATGTTGGCCGTGAGCGGGAATCAAACTCGGGTCACCGGGTTTGTAGCGCAGCGCGCTAACCGCTACACCACCGCTTCCCACACACGCACACACACACACACCGCATACACACTCACCTTGCCTCCTTCTCCTCGATGAAGTCGTGGTCGCTGACCTCGGGCCTCTGCACAACGTTGATGCGCACGGGCCGAGTGCTCTGCAGCAGCCGCCGCACCTCCTGCGCGCGCAGGTCGCCCGGCCACACCAGCGACATGACGCTGCCGTCCAGGTCGCCCATGCCATCGTCGTCCTCCTCCTCCTCCTTCGTCATCGTCGTCGCTGCTGCGGTTGTTGCGCTCGCCGCTCCGAGGCCGCCGCCTGCTGCCGGGAGATGACGGATCGCCGGGTTGGGGAGCATCGACCGCGGCACCGTCCAGAAGGTGGCTCAGCGGTAAAGCATTGAATCAGAATATTTGTTTAAACTGGAGGAATCGGATGAGCTACAAAGCTCTTTTTTCACAGATGAGGAGATGGCTCTGCAGTCGAGCCAGAGGCTCGCAAGTGAAAGGTTGCGGAGTTAAAATTCTGGTTGAGCACGACCCAGCCCATCACGACCCCAATGGGGTCGATAAAATGGGTACCACTTTCTGAGGAAGTCAAGAGTGGTTGTCACCCATTGTCTTTGAAGTGGTTTTGAGCACATGGTCAATGCATATAGTCCTAGCCAGATCAAGAGTTTCTCATCAAGCAATGTTCTGTTGAAACTCCTATTCAGCCCTTAATTAGGAAAGGTTACCCAACCCCTGAATTAAAGAAAGGTGATTCGTCATTTTGGGTCTCCAAAATGACGAAATAAATAAAGTACTACAATGAAGAAAATAGAAAATAAGAGAAAAAACAAGAAAACCACATTACAGAAATGATGCGACGCTATGCCGATTGCGAGCCTAGTGGACGTGACATTTCTTCATGTCGCCCGACAGCAGAACTACGAAGCAATCAGCGATAGGAGCGAGCGAGCTGACGACCCGGCACACCAACTGGGTCACACACCCGTGTCCGCACCGCCCGCCGTCCCCAATCCCCGACCGCTGGCGCCGTTTCCGTTGCTCCAGCGCTCGTCCCCTTGAGAGGTGAAGCCGCTCGTCTGCGCCTGCTCCCAACGGCAACAAGCACACCCATCATGTCACAACGAGTGAGAAACTATCTGGGAGAGAAGGAGTCCAGATGAATGTTATAAATGTGGAGTTTTATACCTCACGGGCCATGCAGCCACATGACTGTGAATTTCAGCCAGATGGGGCTGTGAAGGATTCCAAAAACTGAAGAGGCTCTTAATTACACTCGGGATGGGGAGGAGGCAGTCTGTGGGCAGAGTACACGAGCCAAATGTGAGCCCTACCTCTAACCCGAACAGACTAGCCAACCAACTAGCCCTCTCTCACCAACCGTATACCTAACCGATAGATTGCCATGTTACAGCGCAAAATAAGTTGCCGTTATTATTATTAACTAGCTAACCAGTCATTTGTACTCACCCCATTATTGACTCTAACCCAAACCAACCAGTCATATGAACTAACTGAATGGCTGAGTCACGCTCAACCAGAATTTTAACTCGCAACCTTTCACTTGCGAGCCGCTAGCTCGACTGCAGAGCCATCTCCTCATCTGTGAAAAAAGAGCTTTATAGCTCATCCAATTCCTCCAGTTTAAATAAATATTCTGACTCAATGCTTTACCGCTGAGCCACCTTCTGGACGGTGCTGCGGTCGATGCTCCCTAACTCGGCGATCCGTCATCTCCCGGCAGCAGGCGGCGGCCTCGGAGCAACGAGTGCAACAACTGAGCAATACCTTAGCCATAACCCCACCTCCAATGCTTTTCACAGTTTGTTTTGTCTTTTCCATTGTTTTTCCATCGAAGTCCTTGCATAGCAATGGTTAGTGCATACAACTTTCAATTTGAAAGTCTCAAATCTGAGAGTTGTGCTTAGGGGTCGTGCAAAGCGTGCCAACCAAGAAGCGGAACCCCCTTATCTTCCCAGCCTTGGAAAGGTACACGGAGAAGGACGATGCGATGGAGGGATGGAAGGGTATACAAGCATAAAGGACAATGCTTAAGATTTGAACTCACAACCCTCCAATTGCAACCCATGCTTTCGACCCAACGTGTGCCACCCAGCAAAAGGCTCATTTTGCTCCTCTGGGTACCGATTTCTCGTGCTCGCTCGCGGTGCGGGCCTGCAGGGAGAGGTCCTGGCGGCCGACGAGGGCGTACGCGGCAAGGGGCCAGCGCTCCGGCGGCGCTGGGCGGCAGCGGCAGATGGCCTCGTGCAGCGGCAGGGCCACGCCGAACGGCAGTGACGCCAGGTCGTGCAGCGTGAAGCCTGGGGACATGCACGCGCGGTTCCCGCTCGACGATTATCCGTGGGCAGACGATCCGAGGAGCAGATTAATAATGACGGTAAGATATGTGTACATGTGATTCGATGCTCCTCATTAAATTCGCGCCCGTCGTACCAATGTAGTCAGATCGTCAATGACCAATTGTGAGCGTCGGAACCGCGCACAAGGGTAAATTGCCCAGCTTTATACTAAAGGTTTCTCCTCTTGTATCATCTTTCATGGAGTTATCGTACCAACCCCCCCCCCCCCCCCCCCCATTATAGGCAGATGAAAAGACAGAATAGCTACACACTTTCAACCTGGGGGCAAATGTTATTAACAGCACCCATTAAGGGCGAAACAGTTACGGAGGTTTTGATGTGGTCAGCACCTGGCATGCCTCGCCACCTTTGTCTCTCCACTGTTTATGTAAACACAGGCAGTAATTTAAAGCCACATTTACCAAGCGGAGGCCAATGGCAGCTTAAAGCAACATTTTTAACTAAACTAATTTTATCTTAACAGGTAAGGCCCACTGAGCTATATAACTCTCTTTCATAAACGACCTCGCCACAAATACAGGCGTCAGGGTCAGGATTGAACCCACAAACGCCTGTATACCTGGCAAGGTAGTTAACATCTCGCTACCACAGTACTCCATTTCATGGATTGCTCGTACACTCGCTCACAACAGCGTGTTTAGCATGGGTCCTGGTGCAAGGAATGGAATGGGGTCCCTTGTCCAATTTCCACCCCCAACTTCGTAGCCCGGTGTCTAGGCGCTTCCGACCCATGGACTTCCGTGCAATGGCACAGCCAGCACTCAACAGCTGCGCTTCCGGATGTCGGTGATACGGTCAGGGGTGCGATTCGCACGTTGTTGGATGGAGAAATAAAATCCTGTCGGAGCAAATCTGCCAATGCGTTTTCCCGGCTGATGACGATAAGCTTTGCTTGTGCAGTCTCACTGCCTGCACACTGCTCGCCCGCTCGCTCACCCATGTTGGCGAGGAAAAACACCAGCTTCTCGGCCGGGCTCGGAAGGGACGAAAGCTGCTCCGTGCAAATTCTGAACAGAAATCGGCATAAAAACCACACAAAAAAAACCCACAAACGCACAAAAGTTAAATTACACGGAAAAATATTTTTTGTAACAATAGCAGCTCAAGATGCTGTACAGAACAGAGGGACGTATGCATCGCGGGGTATAAAAAGTGTACACTGGAGGTGACCAAATACGATTTCGTCTAATGCAGGGCTAGGGCAGCTACAGCTTGTAACGGCCTGGCAAACAGTATCCATCTGTTACTGCAAGCATCTTAGCTGTACTAACTAGGCACTGGATGTTGAATATATTTTCAACACTGTGTTTTGTAAATTTAGCACATTCAGTAACCTGTTGTCTTTCAGAGCACGCAGTCCGAAAGAGTGCATCATTGTTTAATAATAATAATTTCAACTGTTATGCGCCACCGCACAGTCTTCTGCACTCTAGGAGAGAAAGAGGTTGTGACTTAAGAGGCGTGAGGCAGGAAGGCAGCAGCCAGATGGTGATTTGGTGCCAAAAATTGCCCGAGCTCTGCGGTCCTCTGTACATTGAGATGTTTTACACCGATTAATGAGTGTTACTAAATGTGGGAGCACCCGTGGCAAACCGACACAAATTGAACAGATGGAGATAAGTCCAGAATTGGCTGAATTTCCTTCTCCTGGCAAGCCAGGGTATGTATGAAACCTCGCCAATGGGAAGAGAGTTTAGTAACATTTGTGCGATCCACCAACCCTCTCATGCACAGTGCTGCATTGTAGGCGTGCGCCACTACCGCCCATTAACTCACCTGCTGGTCTCCTGCTCCGTCTGTGACCAACCATGTCCTAACAAAACATTAAAAACAACACACACATACAATTACGCACACATGCATCACAAAAACAGTACTGTGATGTACAATTCACTGCTCCATGAAAGCCTCCCCAACACCAGAATCAGAAGTGTATTTCTCGAGTAAAGCCCATTGATCTCAGAAGCTCTTTTTTTTTACCCGGCCGGCAGACAACATCACACCGTGTCCTTCACGGTGGCTCTTTGACCATACTTTACCACCAAGCTAGTCAGTGCCAGGAGGATATGGACAGTGCCATGCCTGGCTGCCTTTGTCTCCCCAGTACTGATGTTTTTACACATCAACTGAAGTTAGCTGTGGCCAGGAATCACACTCGGGTCGCCAGATTGGTTTCGCGTCACACTCACCGCTGCACTGCTACTCATCCCGCGCTGTCCTTACCCGCGGGTATCTTGTCGAGGTATTTGCTGGGCTCCAGGAACGCTGCGCTTTCGTCTCCGAGGATGTAAATGGCGAAGCTCTATGGGAACGCCGGCACGGTACAGAGAGAAGGGTTGGGTGCGCGCTCACTGTGTTCCGCTTAGGGCCGTAAAGTGTTTTGTGCGTGTAAACGGTGATACAAAAAAATATATACATCAGTTTTCCACACATATCGAAATGTCCGTTATCGTAGGAGTAGCGGTGCCGGTCAAACGGTTTCTCCGTTCCAACTTACCAGCACCACCAGCACGGTACAGAGAGAAGGGTTGGGTGCGCGCTCACTGTGTTCCGCTTAGGGCCGTAAAGTGTTTTGTGCGTGTAAACGGTGATACAAAAAAATATATACATCAGTTTTCCACACATATCGAAATGTCCGTTATCGTAGGAGTAGCGGTGCCGGTCAAACGGTTTCTCCGTTCCAACTTACCAGCACCACCAGCCGCGTGCGCTCACACACTCCGGGCACAGATGGGAAGGGTGGGGGCGCCCCACCGGCGCGCCACCCGATCATGTGGCACAGCCAGCGGCACACGCAGGGGGGGTCGCGGGTGACCGCGTGGTACTGCGCCATGGTCTTTAGCTGGGCTGCACCCATGCACATACACACGCACACACGCAAATACAAAGATCGCCCGTATAGCCTTAACAGAGTGTTGAGGTAAGAGCTGTTAGCGAGCACCTTTGGCGAAGTTTACACATCGCACCAGGTACTCATTTAAGGTTGAGTCTACCGAGGGGAGGCCCAGCACCGGTTCAAATAATCGTCACTGGTGTTGGCCATGAGTGGGAATCGAACGCGGGTTGCCGGGTTCATAGCGCAGCGTGTAAACCGCTAAACTTCCGCTCTCAACTACATACACACACACAAAAACACACACATAGCAATGCATTGGATGGGTGTATTGTCGGTCGCTGTGCAGTACCTTGGGGCATCAACACCGCATTCTGCCCGAATGATTTCAGCAGCGTTGGGTTGTCGCGGAGGTAGTGGTCGCAATAAGAGGTCAGGCGGAGGTCGCTGTGAAATACAGATTAGGTCAAGCACAGGAATAATGACAGGGTTTGGTTTTTAAACGTTCGTTTTTGAAACCACACAGGGCAGGACATTCATACAGTGCGTCGATGTGATCATCATCATGTACCTCCTGTAGTTTGGTACAAGAACAATGTGCATGCATAATGTACGTTTATTACCATGAATAACCAAACCGGCAATTGATGCCCACTGTAATTTATATGCATTAATTAATCCCCCCCCCCTCCCTTCCCACAAGGGCTCACAAGTGACATCTTCACATCGATCCCTCTATTCTTTTGTATGGCTGATGTAGATGCAGAGTAACAACTTACAATTTCACATTCAGGTGGTCAAGCCAAATAACCACGTTGGGAGCAGCAGAGTGTATCGCTGCGATGTCTCCTTCGTATTTGCGGATCAGGCATTGCGTCGTTATGCATTGTACGGTCTGTTCTGGATGACCATGGTCGCACATTGGAGTTTAATTTGTGCATCGGGTATCCGCATCTGCCATTGCTTGAGCGCCCACCTAGCAATCTGGTAGAGCAGCGTGCCGAGCGCGCGGCCCGTCTCGGCGAGGGCGCTGTCCAGCTTGGAGTCCTCGTACACCAGGTGCAGCGCCCAGAACACAGTCGGCAGGTGCGTGAACAGCGGCGCATCGGGGTTCAGGATGTGCACCCGGGAGAAGGGGCCCCTCTCCGCCTCGCCGCGCTGGGTGGGGGGGGGGGCGGAGGGGGGGCAGACACACGAGGAGGAAGAGGAGGTGGATGAAAATGAAGAGGATGAGGAACATTAGGATGACATTTAAACAAATAAAAGTCGGCCACGTGTGCTGGAGACACAGTCCAACTGGGAAAACGTATCATAACACCACCCCCCCTCCTTTCAAACTACCGCAGACTTTACTCGTCCTGGAAACATCGCGCCTTCGTGATAGCCTTGCACCGTAAGAACAGTGCGAATACCAAATGTACTCATAATTTGATATAGACGTGACTCAAAAGTTTCTCGCTGCGGGAGAAACTAAAGAGGTTGCAGAATACCTCCCCATACCTCTTCAACGCCACCGTCGGGGTTGGCCGACTCGGACATATCGAGACCCAGCATGCCAACCAGCGGATGGGACAGGAGGCTCTGATGGTAGCTGCTGTTCAACAGAAACTCCCAGTCCTGTCAACAGGCAGCCACATACACAAAGCAATCAGGCACCCTGCAGTAGCGTGGCATGGTTGGTGTCGGCAGTGTTTTTTTGTCTCCAGGTCTTCGTGCAAGCCTTCGACAAAATGTGGCCCATTTTATCACCGGAGAAGTCCCCAACTGCCACACGAGGTTATACGAAAGTTCCGCTCACAATGGATCATCATTTTGGGGGGGAGTGATTGCGCTTCCCAGTTGACGTTGTGCGTAAACACTTCCTCCATTCACGGACGGCGTGACCGTGTGACCGTGAACGTCTCGGCAAGGTAACAGATTTCTTGAAGAAATGAAAATAAACGGACGACACGATTCTCCCATCTTCAAAATCATCCTACGTAGACAAACGTTGCACATAATTTTATCGCCTAATTTATGCTTCCCGTTTAGAATTCGTTGGAAAGCAGAAAAAACGTCCAAGCTGTACTCTTAAGAAACCAAAGTAATTCTTTATCAGCGGAGGTGACTTGCACCACGCCAAGCGCAAAATGCAGCGTCGGCTGTCGTTTTTGCTTCTCAACAAAAATGGTGATATTTAAAGAAGAAATGTGTTTAAATACGTGTAAGGCTGAGAATGCATCATGTGTTTGTATTGCTTGTTAAAGTAATCGGTCACTGTGTTGCAAGCGAAGAGCAGCAAATTGTAGAACCAGTGTGCGGGTAAAGAGCCGCGAATTAGCGTGGAAGAGTACATTTTCTATTTATACCCCTCGTTCCCTAGCACGATTAAAACTGCAACCAGGATAATCCACCACGGATAAGCAAGAATTAAATGTGCGCGTATTTGTATATATATATGGGGGGGGGTATCACCTCGTCCGTTCCCGCGTCGGAGGTGCGAGGCTTCTTGGGTGTGAGAACAGGCGACAGGCACGGCTCCTGCTCGGCCTGGGTGATACAAAGCAAACGTTCACGCACGAATCCACAAGCAGGTGTGTTCGTACGCGTGCGCACGTACGCGTGTACACCGGCATTGTGTTAATACTGGCGCGTGGAGCGGTGGCGTAAGCGGTAATCGCACTGTGCCATGTGAACCCGACTACCCGAGCTTGATTCCATGTTACGGCTAACATCAGTGGTCTCCATGAGGTCAACTCAAAGCCACCGGGTATGATGCTGGAGAGTTAACACTGTATGTGGTTTCCGGGTCGCCTACCCGGGCAGAGCTGGTTGAAATTAAGCTCTGTTTAATCGGTTTGTCCCTCGTGTGTGCGTGCGTGTGAGCATTATCGACAACTTGTGCTCATGGGTGTCACTCGTACGAGCTGTGCCCAGGGCAGGTTCTCCATGTCGTATCCGCTGGCCGTGAGTAGACAGTCGCGGAAGAGTGCCCACTCGCTAGCCAGGCCCGGGCTGCCCATACGATTGCGTGCCGTGTACCAGCGCAGTTGGAGCTGCAGCGCCGTGTCCCGCGGGAGGGCGTAGCACGCCGCGCCCAGGCACATCCGCACTGGCGCCACCAATGCATCCCATGACACAGGCAGAAAGAGAGATTAATCATATGTGGCACCGCCACACAGGCACAAAGATAGAGAGACAAAGAGACAAATTACAGTGGCCTTTACCACACACAGGGAGAGACAAATCCACGTGTGTACGAGTTAAACATACAAAGATCCAGCGATTACTCGATAAACTTTGTTTCTTACACTCCAACATGTGGATCAACTGTACATGTAAAAAATGGTTGTTTATGAATTGTCATCATCATCGCTTGTAACTTATACTGTGTCTCACATGTAGTACATCTCGAGCTGCACTGCGGCATTCTAGCCAAGGGGACCCCCTCGTGGCAACTGTCCCTGTGTGGTACAAGGTGAACACAGCACAGGCCTACAAGTGGGCATTAGTTTTCCTGTAGAGGGTGACGTTGCTATTTTACTTTTCCTCAACTATGTCAATTGCAAACAAATGATCAAACGTGGAAAACAAATCTGGCTGTCGCCTGATGAAGCCAGTTGTAATTACTGACAAAACGTCGTACTCGGATTGTAAATGTTGTGGCTTGGCTCTCCAACACACCGGTGTGCTCTGATTACATTCCAAACCTTACTAATTGGCTGTGTCAGGTGGTGGCGGGTTTAACGACATTTAGATATTTACGTGATCTAACCCAAACAAACCTGTATTATAGGGGAAAATCTGAGATATTTAATTGTAAACGGAGATAATTTGTCAGAAGCGGGCAGTGCGGTGGCAAAATGTGATGTTGTACTCTACTATGCCCCAACGCCTGCAGCAAAACAGATATGGGAACTCACCCAGTGAACAGCTCGCAATTTCCGGGAAGGAAACTCGCCTCATCGTTCCCCCAACCAACTCCTGTGGACAAAACACAAGCAGTTCTTATGTTCCACATTAAATGCATAAAATAATATGCGGCCCTTAATCAGTCAACTGTTGGATGAAGGACCGCACATGCCATATCAGTCGTGGGGCTTGTCAGTGAGGGCTAGTGAACTGGGGGGGAGGGGGCCCATGAACGGTTCTGATACCACTCGCCACTGCCGTTAGCCACGGCCAGGAATCGAACGCGGATCACCGGGTTCTACTGGACATATGTGAAAAAGAGCTTCATAGCTCATCAGATTCATCTAAATAAAGATTCTGATTCATAGGACAAATTGTGTGAGAACCACTACTCTATTTTTGTTGTTGTTTAATTTTTACGACCTTTAGGGGTTTCTCAATAAAAAGATTACACGGAGGACAAGGTATACCTGCCCACATGATTTTGAGGACAAACTGTACACCTGAAAATAGATTGCAATGATTTGTCGGGTTTTTTCTTGCACAAAACATATCAGTGACATAGGCCTCGGGGGTGTATCTACGCAGCAAACAGCCTTGGGTGTGTACGCTCGTACGTTGAGATGGCACCAATTACGGGGACCGGATTCCTGTGTGACGTCTCCCGCGCGGTGCATGATGCTCACGAGGGTGAGGCGGGACAGCACGGGGTCGCGCAGGCCGGTGATGCAGCTGGGCCTGCTGGTGTGGAAGAGCGAGTCATCGAGGTCGGACTCCAGCCGCATGCCCATGGACTCGCTCATCTCGGGCACGGGTGACACCAACATGGCCTGAACACGAGGGGGCAGGTGGAGGGCACGCGCACACACAATGTCAAAGTGTGAGGCCAGCTCTCAGTTGAGCTATTTTTTTCGCGTGTAATTTTTTTCCCAACTGCCTCCTGTTTTATCGCCGTACGAGCGGAATGACTTTAGCAGATTCTATCAAAGGCATCTCCGACCCATGTCTGTCAATGACAGTCCATTACCAGTTGCGCTCAACATCTTTTTAAAATCTATCATTTTTAGGAGAGATTTAACCGTCAACTATAGAAATGTTTTAATAATCTATAAATTCTGTGAAAACTAACGGAATAAAACATTGTAAAAAAATTGCATGTAATTTTCTGAACTATACAATATCTACACACAAGGCTCAATACGTGTGTTTTAAGCAAGGGATTTAATGCACTTGATTATGTCATCGCTGTTGCCACGTCACACCCCATTGTAGGCATTGGCTACGATCTCTTGGCAATCGTGTGTTATGGTATCTCATAGTGATGTAGGCCTAATCAGGAAATTTAGGTTGCGATGGGTAGGACACGTGTGTGTAGGATGGAGGACAGATAACAGCGACAGGTACTGGAGTGGCAACCCAGAGGCCTGCAACAATGAGGAAAAGGGGAAGGCCTAAAGCCAGACAGTGGCACACTGGAACAGCATAATGCCACTCCTTAACAACTACGAGATCTAACAGAATAAAGGAAGTGAAATATAATTTGCAGGTCAAAACATATTCGGTCGACGGCCCTGTAGGTTCCCCCCACTGCGCTGTTGAAATCGTCACTGTTGTTGTTGTTGTTGTTGCTGTACCGACCTCGTGCATTGTCACCGCCGAGGTGCCGTACGGGCGAGCGGGCGTGCTGTTGCTGTCGAGCGGCGTGCTCGGACGCAGCATGGGCTGCAGCAGCGAGTGGCAGAGCGACGGAGTGGGCAGGCCGGTCACGTACACCTTGCTCACCTGGGCACCATAGACAAAAGCAGCCGCCACACACGAGAAACATTCACCCTGCCGTCCCCCTGCGATGTGTTGAATTGCCACGCATTATCAAGATTGGTATCGTCTGTTGACTCAAGAATCCCAGAGGCACCACAACCCTTCCAGAACCTTCCGCCTGCACCAACACCACACTGATCAGCAGAGTTAATTATGGTAATATAGCCCCCACAACCTGCACGGTGTGGGAAGGCCCTCATCCAGCAGTGGATTGACAAAGAGGCCGCAAGTTGGACGCATGTACACGACCCAGCTGGCCACACCGCCAGTCCATACCCAGTGAAGCTAACGCCGCATAGAACGGCACAGGCAGTGTGGGAGCGACAAAGCCCTCTCACCTTGATGAGGCCGGTGAACAACACCAGGCTCCTGGTGTCATCCAGCACCAACATCATGTTCAGAGACTGCAGCAAAAACAGCAGCAACAGCAGAAACATTAGTTCGGTGGAGCAGAGACATTGCCACGATTTCGCTAAAAAAGTGGACTAAGAGGAGGAACATTTTGCAGCACGCGAACGTGGGCCCCGTGCCCGCGACGGAACGAGAGGCGAGCGTCACCTCCAGCGGGGCAGCGTCGCGAGCCGGAATATCGGTCACGACCCCGAAGACGAAGCTGGAGGGGTTGTCGTTGCTCTCCTCGAATTTGACGCACCTGCAGGGGGGGGGGAGGGTAGGGGGATGGGGGGGAACAAAGCCTTGAGCTGCTCCACAGCTTCGAGAAGTGGACAGGTGTTACAAAACAATCGCGTGCCGTTATCGCCTCCTTTGGTCGTGATTGGGGTTTGTTGTCATCTATTTTATTTGTCCGCTATCAATAATCGCGCACAAAAAGAGATTAAAACATCGGTTACTGGTATACCGCACTTATCGAAATCCAAACATTTATTTAGCCTGGAGGAATCTGTTGAGCTATAAAGCTATTTTTTCACAGATGTCCAGTAGTGTCTAACAATAAAAAGTAAAGTCCAGCCCTGTGCGCTGTGTCTATGGTTGTCTAAACGTACGACATGGTGACCAATGAGCCCTGCCGCTGGTGCCTTACGATGGCTGACGCTGACCAATTTGTATTGTTTCTAAAAAAAATTGTCTCATTTGAAGTTTTTTTTTCTAAATTAGCCTTCTAATAACGTAAAAATATCAACCGCATACACCTAAAATAATAAATTATTGAGTGAAATAATGAATACACCATCATATGTCTAATCATTACAATAATTCTGTAGCTTTGACTTTTTTTCTGTTTGGCAATACACAATTTTTTTAATTACATTTAATTGTAACTCTGAAAAAGGTCTTTGAATTAGGTGGTCACATGGCGTAAGAGGTCAAAGTGCTGAGACGGTTCCACTGAGGTGCTGGGTTTGAATCCGGGTTCCAGCATGCCTATGATGAAAACACGTCCCTCAACGTAGTGCGTTGATGACCTCAACCCAATCACCCATGACTTCACAAAAAACTATTATAATACATTTGGTTTCGACCTTTATTTGGCTACATTCTAGCTCCGAGAATTAATAAAATATGTACCAGTTTGACTACCATGCAACAATCTATTAGCGGGTCCCATCCTGTATAAAGGGTAAAAATGTCACTTTGCATGATTTTAACATCAGCTAAAACCATGAATTTCTCCAACACACGGTGCTCCGTGAGATTCGCAAAACAGCACAATTTGAATATATTGGGGAAAAGTAGAAAGAAAGAAAAAAAGTATTTCGAATTGACAAAGGAAATTTGCCCCAGTCACAGGGGCCCAGGCAAACCTGAGCTCGTGGTGGCCATCCATGAGGTAGCAGAGAAACCTACGGCCGCACAGGTCGGTGGTGATGAAGGCTTTGCTCGCTTGGCTGTTCGATATCCTGAACGCACAGGCACACACGGAGACCGCACATCCCACACAATCGCCCCCCATCCGGTCTCAAGAACAGTAACAGCAGTACGCCATTTGGTGAGCATCTATTAAGGCCTGCACAATACACGCATACAAGGGGGTAGTGTTGCCAGCACCATGCCCGGCCACCTTTGTCTCTCCTAATGCTAATGTTTTCACACCTGTTCAACACATTTCCTACCGTAGTCTCCGGATCATAAGACGCATAGAAAAGACACACCGCCAAAATTGTGCCCGGTGTAAAGTTGGAAATGGGTATTCAAGTCTTCTTCGGCACTCGGTGAAATAAAAAAACTTCCCCGACCTTGCACTCTTAAGAATGGTAAGTGGCCTTAAATGCAAGTAGATTTGTTCCCACCTGTTGGTGAGCACCTTCTCAGTCCACAGGTGGTCCATGCAGAGGTCGGGCAGGTTCAGCATGGGCTCGGCTACGGATTTCCCCGCGGAGCTGTTGAGCGACTGGTTAGCCGACGAGTTGCCCTGACCGCGCGGGGACGGCGAGAGAAAGCGCTGCGAGAACGCGGCCAGGGAGCCGCCCGGCGCCGGGGAGTGGGACCGGCTAGAAGGAGACAACGGCTTTTGTTGTTAAAAAATTATGAGGGAGGAAAAAAATAAACGCGCGTTTCGTGGATCCTGTAACTCTTTGCAAAACGCGTTGGTCCTGTGAATGATTTCATGAACGATAAAAACATTGCCTTCTGAGCCGCACGAGGTGACGTCATGTGTAACGACGTTGTAGGGAGCGGAGGCCTTGGCCTAAAATGCTAACATATTTAACGCTGGATTGTTTTGCTAAGTTTTGGGTAACCCTTGGATAAATATATCGGGCTTTCTATAAGGTCTCTAAAAGGAAAACAACTTTAAAGTAACATTGTATTTATACTGGATCGTGTTCATGTAAGCTATTGTGACCCCTCTGCTAGACACTGAAAAGCGTGAATAATAATGTACAGGCCTTTGTGAATCCACTGCTGGTTGAAGGCCTTCCCCTGCCACGTAGAGGGTTGTAATGAAGATAACAATGAGTAGTAATGACGATTATTAATTAATTGGTAATTATGATCATTCAAACGATGACGCACGATGACGGTACAGACGACGTTAATTGACAACAACGATGACACAACAAGGACAGCAGCAGCAACGACAGCAGTGATGGCAACAGTCACAACGGTGACGAAGATCGTTGTGACGATGACCACAATGACAACTCTGAGGAATGCTCACCTCAGCGACGCCATGTTGGACACAGTGGGCGACCAAGACCACGAGTAAAACGGCAGCCCCGAGGCCGGCGGCAGAGTTGCACCCAAAATCGATCCTGCACCACCGCCGCCACCACCAACGGCACCACCGCTGCCACCACCAACACCGGACCCGCCCCCCGCCGTGGTGGAGGCGTGAAGCAGCTGCTGGCAGTGGAGTTGGTGCAGCGGGGATGAGAAGCCACCGCTGTGGCCCAACGAGCTCTCATTGCGAGTAAGGCCGCGGAGGTGCGCGGCGAACGAGATGGCGCTACCGACGCCACCGCCGCCGCTGCCCATGAGCTCGTCGGTGAAGCCGCCCACGACGCTGCCGCCCAGCGTCCCGCACAGGCTGCCCACGACGGACGATGGCCCGGGAATGCCGAGCATGCTGCTGCGCTCCTGGCGGAGAGGAGAGAGCCGAGCGAGGGTGGTTAGGCTGAAGATAATGATGGTGTTTTGTTGAGCTGGGACCAGTTACATTCTACTGGACATGTGAAAAACTACTGGACAGTTGTGAAAACCTATTGGATATCTGTGAAAAAGAGCTCGAGAGCTCATCAGATTCCTCCAGTATACATAAAGATTCTGATTCTGTCAAAAAAACTTAGGCACAACATTTCCTTGGCTCCTGTTGGAATAAGTGTCCATGAAGGGAGATTTTCATCCAAGGTGTTTGATGAAACTGGTCAACGGGTGAGAGTTCACACCCCCCCGCCCCTCCACCATGTGTGTAACGATACAGAGATGTGATCAGATTCAAAATCTACCATTTTCTATGAACCAATCACAGACAACATAGAGTAAAAATAACAATAGTAATAATTTACAGCACTTTGTCAATCTACTTCTGCAGCATGAAGACTTCCCCACGCCGTGTCAGTGGTAAGAGGTTATATGACCATACTTCATCACGCTGGTCAGTGCCGGTTGGTGACGGGGGAAGGAGCAGGACCGGTTTAGCTATCATTCACCAGAGATATTAGCCTTGGCTGGGATCTGAACGCAGGTCACCAGGTTCAATGTGCTGTGCACTAGCCACCGCACCACTGCTTCAACCCTTTAGGGGTGTACGTACCATACAGTTACACCTCTAAACACATCTACCTGATGCGTATATCCTAACATTAATAATTGAGTCTGGCTGACAATCATTTCAATGAAGCCTTTCAGGCAAGATCGTAGACGGAGGACAGCAGGGAGGGTGAGCGAGCCGCCACCTGTACCTGTGGCGTGGCCTTTCTCAGAAGCCACACGGCGTGCAGGCCAAGCGTCGGGTCAAAGGTCAGCAACAACGGAGACTTGGGGGAGGCGAAGACGATGCGGTGCGAGTGCTCGTACGTGTAGCCGACGCGCGGCGTGCCGCCCACGCCTGCCGTCGTACGCACACGGGGCAATGCGCACATGCACGGTCAAGCGCGTGCGCACACTACGGTGGCCGTGTAGGGATGAGCATAAGTCAGCGGTCATTTACGTACAAATGGGGGTTTTATCTATATATAAAAAAGGGAAATTTGTGAATGTGTCTGTTCGAAATGTTTAGCATACTTCCCAACATGCAACAAACTAGAAATTTGGCATGTGGGTAGCTTCCAGACTGTACACAATGCAAAAAGTATAAAAATATACTTTTATATTTGGGGGGCGGGGGGGGCGCAATAATGGTTATATTTTGCACAGCAAGTAAGCGGTGACGTCACATCTGTAATGTCACCCGCATGCGGCAGCATCACGCAGTGTGCCTGCTGACGTCACGCATCACCCCCCCCACCCTCCGCGTAGGCCATGTATTAATCCAAGACAAGAATCCAAGTCTCGGGCGAAGCCGGATAGTAAAGCTAGTTTGGACCATATTTGGCATTGGCCCCCGGCTGCTAACACAGATGAGAGCTTCCCTGTTGCTCCTTTGAGTAGGGAGACATTTTATTAGTTTGTCCTTAAAATACTGTGTGCAATATACCGCGCCGCATCGCCATGTTGCGCAGAAACACCACGTGCCAGGGAGATTGGTGTTTCGTACTACACTGTACGACGGTAGCTACTGCGGCGTTGTGCATTCTAAGATTGGCTTGTGATTTTTGGTGGTTTCAGCGGTCTTATTTTACCTTTGTTTTATTTCGCTTATTATATTTTATAGTAAAAAATAGCAATAACTTTACAAGCTGTAAATGGGCTAAATTTGGTATTAGTAAATTCGGGGTTTTGTTGACAAACCGAGGCACACCTCAGAATTAAGAGCTGTGCTTCAGGGACACACTGAAATGGCTGACGTTTTACCAACATTCACAAGTTTAAATGCTTTAACCACGGTTGCGAGAGACTCGCAGGGTAAATGGGGAAGGATGGGCGTGAACGACTGACATGGATCAGAGATGCCCATGGAAGAATCTGCAAAAGTCATACCGCTCGTCCGGCAGAGGACAGGAGACACTGTGTCGAGAGGATGCAGCATGCTGTAAATCATGGCCAGCTGCTCCCTGAGAAAGGGGAACACAGACACACACACTATGACCAAATTACCTGGAACGTATATATGTATGTGTAAATTATTTCGCATCGTACATAGACAAACATGCTAATCGAAGGTGCGGGGGAAGTACAACAAACAAAAAAAGCAGTTCTCAACAAATTTGTTTTCAAACTAGATTTAAAACACGCCCGATCTCGTCAAATCTCCAAAGCAAAGTAGGCTTTGAGCCTGGACAGCGCTTGCACATGCGACCGTCATGCAAAGCAGGTTGGCCTTATAGACTGCTGTGAAGGCTACATGTTGGGCAGCCAAGGGAGATGCAGCAACAGCCATTGTGTTTACTGTCTATGCTCCCTGCATTCGGCAACCTGCACTGACCAGCGTGTTCGGCATTTCGGAAGTGCTTCTCCAGGAGGGGATTGACAAAAGGGCTTATATGCTGAAGTGCTATTAATGAGCACCTAATAAAAAATTGCACAGCTACAAGTTGCAGAGATATCACTAAAACAACATCCAGCCACCGTTGTTTAATGCCACAATTATCCATCGCCTGTATGCTGCAATAAGAAAGACACAAGTGTTTATAGCAATGTGTTGTACCTAATCGACCCTGTAAGCATCTCACAAGGAACGGATTCTCTCTCAAACAGAAGACCTTGTTTGGTGGGCCACGTGTTAGCGACCTGCACAAAAGGGCATATATAAGTAAAAAATATGCATCAATATACACGTCTCAAGTTTCGAGTTGATTTCTTTAACCAGGTGAAAATTCAAGCGGCCAGAACAGTCTCATTTGCAAGAGTGACCATGGGTCACCAAATCTAGAAGCAGATCTTATGGAACTCCCAGTCTTCTGCTCCAATGGACAGAAACATCTTTAAGCAACGTGATCGACCAACTTTGCGACCAAAGCGCTGGCTTACATACCAAGACAGGGCGTGAAACAAAGGGCATGTGTTTTTAACAATGAAGCTAAAGAGCCGCAATAATTTTGAGAAGCGAGGGTGCTCAGAAAAAAGCACGACTCATCACCTGGAAGGGCAAGGAGGCGGAGAAGTCCTGCCCATCGGCCGTGTGAATATCTACGCACGTGGTCTGCGCGATGCACACGCAGTGAAGGACCTTTGCTGCAAAGCATGCCCAACACACACACACAAACAGAGGAAACGTCAACACACACAACAACATCATCACATATATGAATGTGTTTGTATATTTAACTTCTTTCGCACCTTCAGGAGCCAACTGTGCTAGTCGGAGATGCGGGTGGGAGGACAAGAAACTAAACACAAAAAGTAGTTCTAAAGAAATTAGTTTTTAATCTATATTGAAAAAAATATATCAAAACACACCATGGCAATGACAACACAAGCAGAAATGTCAACAAACGGAACAACATCCACACACAGTAATATCAACACTCAGTGGTAATGTCAGCACGCACAGCAACGTAAACACACACAGCAATATTAACACACACGGCAATAGACATAGAGGCATGGTCAACACACACCGCAACACCAACACATAAGCACACACGTCATTATCACACACATTGTTAACCCACGGGCTCTCACCAGCAGGGCTCCCACCATTCTTCTCATTATTGTCCCACTCCTGGAAGTCACACCACAGCACCTGTGGGAAGAATACACAAGGAATGATTGGGCAGTCGACCTCTGACTGGAAGCTGATCTATACATGACGTTACCGTGTTCCTGCTCGAATTAACATGGGGCTGTGCTAATGTCCATTACGAGTCCCGAGCCAGTAAATGAGATGACCTTAATTTAAGGTCACCGAAATACAAAAACATTAAAACGAAACCTCTTCTATCAGCACTGATGCAGAAGGGCTCTTTTGCAAATAAAGTGATCATCGTCATCATCACCATGGATCATGATTTGCAATTCACAAATGGTTGCCCCTTAGGGAGATAGATGGAACTGTAACAGAAGACAGAGATTGAATGTTAACATTTTGAATATTAGCACTTTGAATCTTAATATTTTATACAGCTCAACAATGGAAAATAAAATCCTACATCGCAACAATCATACCGTTTCTCAGATGAAGGTGAAGAAGTTCGGCATGTCATACTAGGTCAACTGTGCCCTTCACAGTCAGAAAAAGGGAAAGCTCCTGAACCAGATGAAATAACTGTGGATAAGTGGTAATGACATTTTATGTGAATAGTTCTAGGTTTAGGTTGTTATGTTGCAAACCACATTTGCATGCACACAGGAATAGACTCATCAAGACTTAAATGAAAAAAGCTCCTTGGCCATATGTATGTGTTTATAGTACACGTAGTATAATGGAAAGCACAACGCTATATGAACCCAGCCACCTGAGTTTGATTCTTAACCGCTGCTAACATCAGTGGTGATTTAGTTGACCAGTTCTGTGTCTTCCCTAGGTCGACAAAGCCTCAAATGAGTACCTGGTTCAGTGCGTACACATCAGCACTGGGGAGACAATCTTAGCTGGGCATGTTGTTGGCCACCCACCCCCTTGTGTGCCGTGCCAGCCTTCATAGATGCTCGACAACAGCACATGCCCCAACAATCTATTTCCGTAATAAGAGAAGGTTCCTTGTCTTTTTTCTCTATGAATTAGGAATGTGACTGAGGATCTGTTAATCGATTAATATCGATTCTTAGCTCATGAGAGATGATTTAGTAAGTAACCCAGCAGTAGATGGACAAAAGAGCCGTGCATGCACACACGTGCAATAAGCAGACTGCGGAATGGCATGGCAAGTGCCACCTTCTGGATGGGCTCCTCGACGGTGAAGGACTTGTGCACCGTGGCGTAACTGCTGGACGAGCCACGGCTCCACACGGCGACGCGCCCCGAGGCGTAAAGCTCCTCGTCAAAGTTGTGCTCGTCAGAAGCGGCGCCCGGCTCGGAGCGGCCCGCCCGCATCTCCCACAGCTCCTGTCGTCGTGCGAGTTAGCACTGAATCAAACAACGATGCAGGCGCTGCGTTGCCAGCGGTGCACAACCACCAAACAAATAGGTCAAGATAGCTGAATGGGTACAATCGAGATTGTGGGTTCGAATCCAGGCATCAGCAAATACTTGCACAAACAAGAAAACTACCGGTAGCTCTGGGATGATAATTTGATTAAGTTGGTTAACTGAGTGGAAGTTTTACAACTTTTAGAGCAATTACTTTGTAGATGAACAAATTTAGACCACTTTTTGATGTTTTATTACTCAGGCCAATGTGATCAATGATGGCTGCTAAGACATCCCACCTTCTGAAGGTGGGAAATATGCACCAGCAGCACATGTGAGAACAGAGGTGAGACTCTTTTTTTCCCCCTTTCAACTTTTCCCAATTTCCTCAATTTATTATAATTTCCCCAACAGCCAAAAGCATCACGCACGCGTGGGTGCTCCTGAATGGTGACCTCGCGCAGGCACCCGGCGAGGGCGCCCGTGCCGTCAGTGGGCCACGCATCGGGGACGGGAGTGCGTAGTGCAGCGTGCCGTCCAGCCGGGGAAAGGTTTGCACTGCCACCGCAGCCGATATCGCCGACGCCGCAGGGGTGGATGCGGTACAGCCGGCGTCCGCACGGTTCGAACTCCTGCGCGTCCCACGCCGAGATCATCGTCTCCTCGTCCTCGCTCGGGTCAGGCTCGCGCGACATCGGGCAGCGCTATACGCATCTCTGCTCCAGCGAGGGACAAGATGGAGACAAGACGGGGGAAGGTACCACAAGGCGGTGAGACACAATTTAAACCCGCGAGTATCTCTTTACAAAAAACACGTTAGGTACAATTCATTCGTATATGCAAATCGCATTTGAAACATGCATATGCATGGATTATGTAAAACTTGCAAACATGCGTTTGTCTTAGGAAGTATTTAATTAACAGTAAGCAAAATGCAATGGCATATTTTAAAAGGATTTTCAGCTGTAGTTTGTCTCCCATGTTTTGGACAACCCTTTGATTTATACAGTGTAATATCACAGGACAAGATATCATAAAAATGATTGCATTTACACCTCATCTAATGCAGCACGGGTGATTAAACAAGGAAACTGTGCAGCAGTGGTACCACACATGAGACAAAGATTTGCATGGCAACATATACATTAGAACGTATGTTCACTGTCACTCTCATTTAAATTCACTTCATTCATATTCTAATTCACTCCGACTCACACTCTGAATTTTGTATTTGCTCAGTCAGTTCCAGGTTTACTTTGTTTGAACCAGAACCAATCTGGGGCGATGATTGCTATGTATAATCGCAATTGCGTAATACCTCGCTCATTGACTTACCCGTTATCTCATAATTAATTAATCAAAACTGCTGCAAGCAAAACTAAGGATCATACGTTTAAACCACTGTAGTCTGCGCTCCTCAAATGGATAGCAACTACACGATCCATCTCCTGAAACCCTCTCGTGGCAAGGACATTGGCTTTTAACTCCTGAACGCACTGCTACAGGCTAGAATAGAATAAAACTACTCCGTGGTTCAGTGTATAGCGCAATGCACTGTGAACTCGGCCACCAAGCCGTTCGATTCGAGGCCAAGGGATAACTTCAAAGGCGAGCAATATCTGAAGCGATCCTGCAATCACCATATTAACCCCCACTAAACAGAAGTGGGGGGAGGGGGGGGAGGCGCAAGTATGGTCAAACATCCCCCATGATTGCTTTGGTGCGCGAGTCCTTCCTCCAGTAGCGGATTGTTGACAGTCATCAATTCATTATTCAACACGCGTCGGGGAGTTAAAAACACCTCGCCGCTTGAAAAACCCAAGCGTGGTAAAACGAGCACTTCGCAACTCCCGGCTGTCGTACAACTTAAACCACCGACTGAACCCGCACGAGACGACCCCTCCAAGGAGGCGTTCAAAGACTCCCCGACTCCAAAACTCCACTTCAAAACACGCGGCAACGTGCCGCCTACTGTACGTACAGTAGTCATTTTGCTGCATGGCGGGAAAAGCGGTAACTGGGCGCGAGCTTAGACAGCGTCCATGCTGTCGGGGTGTCAGTGTGTGTGTGCTGTTGCGTTGGTGTATAGCGTGAGTTTAACGCGGTTTGTCCGAGGCCGTGTATTTGTGTTATTATGTTTAAAAATGTTGTAATTTTGAATTGTATGCGCCGCCAATACCAGATCGGTGGCACGGAGGCCGCGTTGTCGCCGTCTCGCGAGTGACGCGACGGCGAGCCGCGGCGGACAAGCGGCGGAGGCCAGAAATACGAAACGCGTTTTGTGTCTGCGCGCACGCGCGCGTTTCCTGCAAAGGCCAGGAGTTCATTATAGTAGTATCCCGATGTACGTCGTTTCGCAAATACGTCGTGACTTTAGTCGTACTACACACCTGATTTGCGTCGTCTCAATAAAACAACAAAAATTACCTACGTGACTTTACCGAATAGAACCAAAGAGTATGGACCCTTGCAGTCACGAAAGCTTCAAATCTAGAAATGAAGCCTTGGGAGCAGTGTTGGTGTGGACCAATCAGTTTCAAGGACAATGCATATATATTATCATAGTATGTTTTTTTGTTTGCATTTTGACTGCCAGGTATTGTGGTTAATGCAGACATGAGTCCTTGTAAAAAGGTTTCAGTTTTGTTGCCAGAAAAAAGGGGGAAACCCCTATTCTTATATCAGTGTTGTTGTTCCACTCGTTTTGAGAGGTGATAAGACATCATCAGTGTGAGCTCAGCCACACGTTAGAAACCATTGTTGTGTTTGACAGCAAGCAGATTGATGGTGATTATTTGTGTGTATTGTCAGGGGGGGCAGCACTAAAGGACACCAGAACACTGACATAATAATGTTGTTTTTTTTGGGGGGGGGGAGGTGGGTGGTTTGATCGCGTAAATATAGAAATGTGTCGTTAAACCCGCCACCACCCGACACAGCCAATTAGTAAGGTTTGTCACGTGAACAGAACGTGCCGAGTCGTCGCTAGTACAGCACGCCGGTGTGTTCGAGAGTAAAACCACAACATTTATAATTCGAGTACGACGTTTCGCCACCTTCCCCCCCCACCTTCCCACACCCCCCCCACCTTCCCACACCCCCCCACCTTCCCACACCCCCCCCACCTTCCCACACCCCCCCCCACCTTCCCACACCCCCCACCTTCCCACACCCCCACCTTCCCAAACCCCCCACCTTCCCACACCCCCCCACCTTCCCCCCCACCTTCCCACACCCCCCCACCTTCCCACACCCTCCCACCTTCCCCCCCCCACCTTCCCACACCCTCCCCCCCCACCTTCCCCCCCACCTTTCCCCCCCCACCTTTCCACACCCTCCCCCCACCTTCCCCCCCCACCCGCCATATTGGATGAGGGGTCTAACCGTTTGAGTCCCGTACCAAGAGGGCGGCCGCGTGTGTTGTGCGTGGTGTGGAGAGAGAACGATGCGGATGCCACCTCCGCCGCTGCCGCCGCCGCCGAGTTCCAACACTACTATCGTTAAATGGCTCTGAGGTTCGAGCAGCTGAGCTGCCCGCAGTCCGTGCCCGCCTGCCTGCTGCTCGCCTGCCTCTACGTGGGCAGCCTCTACGTGTGGCGGCACGAGCTGCCCAGGCGAGTCGGCAGCTGCGGACGATGGTGGTGGTGGTCGCAAGACCTGCCGTGGGCCGCTGCTTTTGGTTACCACCTCGCCCGGGTTTGACCGGGACATTCCGGGAATTGCTAGAATTAAGCGTAGTAGTTAGTAGTAGTCGGACTTGGCTTAGTCCAGCAACTAACCGGGGTTGTTCAAATTGCGGGGCTGGCTTTTTGTTGTTGTTGTTGCGTACCGGTAACCGAACGAACAAAACGTGCGGTTGTAGCTTTGCGGCACACGTAGCAATGTGTAGCAGTGGAAACGCAATGTTTACGTCTTGTCTGACGATAACGAGGGGAATGTGGTGGGGTTTTTTTTGGTAGCACGCGGTGAACTTAGGCCGCCGCGTGTCGCTAGACGCATTCATTTCCGCTTCTCGACTTTGGGAACCGGTTAACCGATTATGAAAACCCAAATTTGCAATCGAGATCTGCCATTGTTACGGTGCCGCTATGAACTCAATGCCAGTGCTGTTCATCGCATGGTCTTTTGCTGTTGTTGTTGACAAGACCTCGGAAAAGATTCCCCGGGTTTTTTTCCCCCAGTCTTTATTGGGGGCGGGGGAGGGCGGAAAGGTGGCAACCCGGTCCGCCCTTGCGTGTGTTAGGTTAGGGGGTTGTCATTGAATGCTTTGACTCGGCTTCGAGTGCACCACCGTCAACAACGTGTCCCCTTGCTCTTGAGTGACGAGCTCACGGAAGGATAGCGCCCTGCGATTAAATTTAGCCGGGTCTGACCCAAGTCAGTCGCCCTAGTCGTCAAACTTGGAAATTATTTCATTAACCCGGCACACCACACCCTTGGAGCAGCAGCAAATACCTCTCGCTGTGGGTTGTGGACACTGTAAATTGCCAACAATTTCTCAATGAGAATTTAAGCGGCCTGATTAGTTGTAGGCAGTGGTGGGGGGGCATTGATAATTGGTTCAGGCTTTTTCCTTTCTGTACCATTGTTCAATGATTCTCTCCGCTTGTTTTTTTATCTCGGATGTTCTCTTTCCTTTTGCCTTATGGTCCCTAGTTCATGCCGATCTCTTTTTGGGCCCCTTTCTCCCTAATTTGTCTGGTTCCTTGTTGTCAATAGTTCCCCTAAGTATTTGTTTAGGTTCCTGCAGGAATGAATCTCTCTATAGGTAATTTGGCAGGTTCCTTCTGATCTGTACTGTCTTATGTCGCCTTTTATGATTGCTTCCACTCTTTGGTCAGGGCTTAATTTATCACGGAATATGACCCAGGAATCAGGTTCGCCGGAGTTGGCACGTGATGAATAACCACAGCCATAGCGAGAAGTACACTCGCTGTGGTGTCCTGGTTTTGATTTCCAAGTCACCAACCCATTCCAGTTTAAATTTAACTTTGTTCCCAGTCCTTGGTCTCTTTCTCCCCCTTTCTTCCTGCTATTTTTTCTCTCACTTTCCCCTGCTGCTCCTTTCTCCGGGGTTCCTGGTCAGTCACTTAATTAGTATTGCCCTGGTTCCTTCCTCGCCACCACCCCCCCCCCTCTCGTGCCCCAGGTGTTGTATATTTCCTGGCTTCCTGGTTGCTTCCCAATCTCTTCATCTCTCGCCTGATCCCTGTCACCAGTTTCATAAAATGCCTTATCGATTATGATTAGCATTCCTTTCTCACTTAACTGCTGGATGAAGATGGTGTCGGTTATTGGGGTTGTTTGACCATACTTTGCCACGCTGATCAGTGTGGGTTGGTGAAGGGAAGGGACCGAGGACAGCTTTAGATATCCCTCGCCACTGACGTTAGCCGTGGCCAGGAATCGAACGACTGCGCCACCACTCCAAGATGAATCATTCATCCTCATCAGCCATGATCAATCCATCGCTTCATGACAGCCGCCCCGAGATTTCACCATGTCGCGCAAGTACATCGATGTAATAATCCACCTAGCACCTGCACAAGAGTTAATTTCATCACTTCATGATTACAGTAATTTCTACGTGTTTAATAATGACATTCATATGTGTGTGTGTGTCTTTGTATACATTTATTGAAAGTGGGCATGAGTTTGGGGGTGAGGGCATCTTACTCTTCGGAGCAACTAATAATCCAGAGAACACGTTAACAGGTGCCAGTGTTGTTGTGTTGCCACAGAGACCACCCCGATGTCATCAAGCGGCGCTTCACCAGCGTGCTCGTGGTGTCAGCGCTCGCCCCCTTCTACCTGTGGCTCTGGTCGGTCGACCAGGAGAACCAGGTGACTCCCAAAGCGCCACGACCGTGGTGTTCGACGCATTCAAACGGCGAATCTCACGCTCCAGTGCTCGTGACCCACCAATGTGGCCCTGCCTGCCAGCCTGTCTTGTCTACCAACCATCCGTTCAAACACAAAAACTGAACACATTTGTTTACAACATTACCTTAAAAGGAAAACTATATATATAACTGGGGAAATTTAAGGAAATGGCCCTGTTATGAATAAGGCCCACTGATCGGAATGTCACCTATTTTTTTATTTTAACGAAGGGTTAAATAATTGTATAAATGGGGACAATCCAGGCAACGGTCCTGCCATGAAGAAGGGCCACTTCCAAAAATGTCACAAATTGCATTTTTTCCTCCTTTTAGGGCAGTGTTATTAAATAATGTTTTGAGTTTTTGTTATTTGTGCTCGTGCACCACTGGCAATGCAGTATCGCAAGTAAAATAGTATTTGTTCAAATACAAGTCGTTACGTGCTGCGTGCACCGTCACGTTTAGTGAACACATCCCACTTGACGGAAAGAGTGTTGATTCAAATTAAGATGGCGTTATTGTGTGTGTGTATGTCTGTGTATGCAAATGCATTAGTGTATTAGCTTGGTCCCTCTAATGAGTGGGCAATATAACTCCGAGATGATCCCATGTGAATGTAAGTTGAGCGTACAGTTTTGTGGCTATGAGGAGCTTTCTTTGTTGAAATTCAGCCACATTGATCAAAGCATTGACCATGCCCTCCTTGGCAGTGCCACTATCCATCCAAACCCTGTTGTCTCATCGCAGGCTATAGACGTACTACTTCCTGAGGACTTGGTGCGAGTGCTGCTGTTATTATTGCTAATTGGATAACTCCGAGTACAAATGCACGTGGGAAAGCCTTTCAGAGCCCATGTATAAGTATGATAGTTCTTCCTTGTTTTTATTGATAAATAATTTAAACTTGGTATTACAAGTTAATATATTTAATGTGCAGGATATGTCACTGTCAAGGAAATGCTTCAAGCTTGATGTTCAATGAATCACAGTGGAACATTTTATACTGATGTGTTATGTCATGTACAGTGTTTAAAATGCTGTGTGAGACTTCATAGTAATACAAAACCATTGTCTTTGCATTATGCTTGATTAAATATGAAAAGAGGGAAGCACATAAATACGTTTTTTAAATGTTAAACAATGGAGCCTCACAGAATGGCTTGAGACCTTTCTCCCACTACTCTTAGCACCTTCGATAAGTTACTTTAGTTTGGCTGTTGAAGACTGGCACTGAAACTAAATCTGCTGTGACTTAGGCAATTTGCAGTGACCCAGAGTTCGTAAGTACATTTGTTATGAAGCTAATTATATGCTTCGTATTCATAAGCTAATTATTATTTATTGTTGTATCATTACACATAATAGTAGTATTAGTGTTCTGAAGTCTTAGCAAAGCTTATGCGTGCGCATTGGTTTTAAGCTTGATGCGGCTCGCTCTGATGGATCCTGCGAGCTACCATCACGTGGCGCTATCGCACCGCAGAATCCACTTGTAGCTGTCGACAAAAATTGATTGTCTTGTATTCAAAGGTCTGTGCTTTTGATAACATTTTGGTGTATGGTAGAGCCTCATTCCTGCTGTGTCCAACCATGCAAGGTGAATTAACACACTAACTTGTCAAACTTTGTATATAATTTGCCTTCCAATAACAGGTTAACACCTCATACTGTGTTAGAATACAAGCAATCAAGTGTCTTGCAAGTTAATGAATCGATTCATTTTAGGGTTGTAACGATCCAGCAATTAAGATCAATTCCCTTGTTCTTGATACTTTATTGAATTGTGCGTATAATAATTATCAATTTTTTTATGGAAATAATTTGTTGTTATTTGATTAATGGACCTAACAATACTCCGATACAAACGACAGTAAACTAACGAAAACCAGCATAAGCAAAATTGTTAAAAATGAAATCTATTCTTAAATTGAATCATGCATAAGTAATAAGCATGCTTAAAGGCGCATTAGTTTAGAGGCTTGTGTACTGTATTAGTGCTTTGTTGTGGTCAGCAGAGGGTATAGCAGAAAACCGAATTGTTATATGCTTCTTTATCTATGCTCCCCACCTTCACCAATCTGCACTGCCCAGTGTGATGGGGTTAAATTAAACCCCCACACCCACGTGTCATGGAGAGGCCATCATCCATCCAGCGATGGGTTGATGAAAGGGCTGCACATGCACATACAAATCCATATTTGCTTGTGTTTCCTTAAATGACTAACGTGATCATAATACCGTTCCCCTGAACTGTTTTTTTTTAGTTCATTGGGGTGCATTGTCTTGCTTGTGCTTTTTTTGCCTAAAGGCACATTTCCATACAACCGGCATGATGTGGAAAGTTTGATCGGAATAATATTGGGATAAAACCTAAAACAAGGTGGCAAGCCAGCCTATTAAAGGAGCCTCTGTTTTTTGGGGGATTACTTAGGCTATACTAATATCGGAAACGCATGGGATGTAAGGATACTCGACATACGATGATATTGTTACACATTCCAAAGAGAAAGTCCTTGCAAAGCGGAGCTGATCGCACGAAGTTACGAGTGTAGAGAAATATGCGCACGCGAGTGTATGCTGTCTGAAAGCCACTGTAAGCATGAACAATCAATTACAGTGGCTTTCAGACAGCATACATTAATTTTTCGTCTCCCCCCTCCTCTTTTCCGAACATAGATGGACTAGTCCTTCTAAATAAACTGCCAAATCGCTGCGCGTGGCGCTGACGTTTTTTATAAATAAGTAAATGCACCGTTTAAAAATAAATTAATTAATGCGAACCGGCACACCTGATGACGACCGTTTGTGTTATGGTCGAAACGTCGTGAGAATTTTTTTATTGTTTTATATATATTTTATTATTTTATTGTTTCCCTTCAACGTGACTTTACCGAAAGAGCTAAGAATATGAATTACTGCAGTCACGAAAGCTTTAAATCAAAATTCAAGTAAATATTGTTTTGGCAAGCACAGTTAATCCACAAATGGGATAATCAAAAGTTTATCTGTAATCGCACGAAGGAGGAATGTGTGACTGACTGACGGTGCGTCTCGTTTGTGTCTCATGAGGATCAGTCATGGGGCTCCCTGCTGGAGACAATGGGAATTCACACCCGCGGCTTGCTCCCTGCCATCGTTCTGCCGCTCCTGCTCACCGCGGTAAGTCGGCTTCGACGCCCCAGTTTGGCATTGCTACAGCGCACGCAATGTTGGCCGCGGCACGGGTATCTGCGAAGCACCTTGTAAAAATCGGAGCCACAAGTCTTTCGCTTAAAGCAGGGGTGGGGGGAACCTTTGGCCCAGAGGCTGTATTCGGCCCATGTCTTAATTTGATACAGCCCGCGACCACATGACACCTACCGTTTTAAATCGGCCCCCGCAAACCTTATTTTTCTGTCACCACAAGCATCTTAACCGCACTTATCGGGTACTAGAGGGCAGTATTTTTTGAGCTAACAACACTCCGTTTCTAACTTTACCGCGCTCACTCGCTTATGTCACTCCAATGGCCTCTAAGCTCGGCGGGCACTCACATTATCTTTTGCGTTGTTATTTGAAAGCCAAAAAGGGTGCCCACTCCTGGATTAGAGAGGAAGATGCAATTCCAAAAATAACGATGTGTGGATTCTCTGTTAGCACACTGTAATCTCTGCTGGTGCACATCATTAATTTATTTACCATTTACAGCCATTTGTGATTCCACTGCTAGATGAAAGCCTCTCCGCGCTATGTCGGTCAAGGGCGTTGTTTGATTGTAATCCACCACTTGCATCAGTGCTGGTCGGTGAAGTGGAGTGTACCCAGGACCAGCTCGGATATCACTCACCATTGAGATTAGCTGTGGTAAGAATCAAACTCATGTGACTGGAATTACAAATCGGTGTGCGAACCACTGTGCCACTACTCCATCCAGTTGTTATCAACTGATGAAAGTGTAATTGAAGGTCTCAACATAAAATATTTCAAATAAAAAGATTTATTAATACATTTTTAGCAAAAATATGCTACTCGAAAGTCGTTCTAATACCAGCATAGTCCTGTTTTGTGTGTACGTTAATGTTAGTAAATCACTCTCTAAGAGGCGGTGTTCGATTTACCACGACCCTGGCTGATAACAAACCTCGGTTTAAAGTTGAGTCGGGGAGCCCCTTTTTGTTCGGGCCTCGTGCTTGGTTTCCAAAAAAAACGTTGTTACAGCACGTCCCGTCGCCATGAATTCACGGGCGCCAGTAATTTTAACCGTGCCTCTTTGACGAGGTGTACTTTGCGAGCGATGCTTTCATCCCGTGTGAACAAATTAATCCGCCGCCAGGTAAGAGGTTTGTCCACAGCCTTCTGGTCTTTGTTAAAAACACTGGAGAGAATGTAAAGGGCAAACACCTCCACCATCTTAATGAAGTGAGCACCAAACAGCACTGTAGGAACATCAAGGACCCCCCCGGGTTAAAGAAGAGCTCTCTGCTTTGTTTTGCTTGTTGCCGCAGTGGTTTAGTCAGCAGAATTTACGTCTGTGTGATGAAATGGCTCATGGCTGCCTGTGGGTATTGTTTGGTGACATTTGCGATGCGTTTCCAACTGGAAACACTCGAACTGATTGTGGTTTTAAAAACTGCCTATTATAGAACTGCATTGGCATTTATATTTTACTTTTATTAACAAATACCTAACCATGAGGTGACTGGGTGGCTCATTGCTTTGGGCAAGACTAGGTTCAAATCTGCTCAGCCAGGTCCTGTCATTATTAAAATTAGATCTTTTCACTTAATATGCCTTAATTCCAACTCTAAGAATGAAAATAACTCGAGCGACAAACATCAGTCTTATTCGTAGAGTGTGTCGGAAACTGTACCCCCTCGTGTGTGAATATAAAAACGTCACTTGGAGGATTTTTCATAAATAGTTTACTGAAAATTGCTTGGGCGGCCGTTTTCAGGCACACAGGACTGTGCTGCTCTGTAAGGTTTCTGAATGGATTAATTGTCACATGATGCCAATAGCACGCTGGAAATAATGCTGAGACAGCTTTACATCCCATCCAGTGTTTTATGTTTGACGTCCAGGCAGATCCTGGTTTTCCTATCCCCAAGCACCTTGGAGTGTTCCTTCCATCAACATCTTTTACAGCCAGTCACCACGTGTCTGAACTATTGCAGTTTCCTGCACGTGACCTGAGCTAGTCTCCTTGATTCTTTGTAAAAAAAAATCCAGGACTTCCACCACTGATTAATTTCATTTACGGAGTAGAAAAGCATCACGTGTTTCTGTGATGCAGGTTCTCTTCTTGGGTCCCATCGTTCAGCTGACCCTTGACTGTCCCTGGGACTTTGTCTCTGGAGTGAAAGTGTTGATTGGTAAGGCCCCCACTCACAGTCCAAAACATAGAACACAGGGTTTCCCATAATCCAGTTCTCACGACCCACCACGCTCCTTCACTCCACAGTTAGCAGTCTTCAATCAAATACAAATGAAGTCTGTGCACGCTTCACATTCCTGATGATTGCTAAACGCATCCCACATGACATAAAGAACGATAGTTCGATTAAACCGACCTCTACATCAAGTGGGACACAATACACACGATGTTGGTCTTAATTTGAATTGACAGTCACGATTGCACATGGGACATATTTACCAATCATCAGGCCAAACTTCATTGGTACAATCTTCTTCATATGACCATTGACATTTTATTATGCAGTGAATTGTGATGAAATGGAATTCACCTATAAAAACCATGCACACTTTGGATGAAGGTCACGGGCAGTGTATAATGAACGGACACTATGTAGTGCACAGGCAAGATGTCCCATTTCGAATTTATAACGAACAGACTGGAAGCCCATCATCATCATCTCTGTGGTGCACACCATCTATATGCTTCTTGTTATTCGGGCCCAATAATTAATTGCCGTGCTTGTTCTATTAGCTTTTTGTAACCCAGCTCTCCCCTGAACAAGAGCCATGTAGCCTCAGCAGGCTCTGCCCCTGCTTATGAATAACGACCATTCTTTTCTCTTGGGCTAGAGCCGCGGTTCTGGGCGCTGTGCGTCTCCGACATCTGGTGGGTGCGCAACCACGTGGTGGCGCCGCTCACGGAGGAGCTGGTGTTCCGTGCGTGTATGCTGCCCCTGCTGGTGCCCTGCACAGGCCCCACCATGGCCGTGTTCGCCTGTCCCCTCTTCTTCGGCGTCGGTACGTCCCGACTCAAGTCGGTCAGGCGGTTGTTCGGTCAGTCAGTTGGTTGTTGGATCAGTTGGTCAGTTGGTCAGTTGATCGATCAATTACTTTCTTCAGTCAAGTCAGCCAGCCAACCATTCAGCTGGCCAGGCGATCGGTCAGTCAGTTGGTCATTTGATAAGTTGGTTGGTCAACAATTCATGATTCAATTTGACAGCCTGTCAGTAAAGTGATCAGTCTGTCAAGCAATCATTCTGTAATTTAATTGGTTAGTCAGTCAGCCTGCTGATCAGTCGGTGAACCCATCAGTCAATGAGTTTCCTGTAAGCCAGCACTTGCCAGATGGAGTTGGCTCATGTTGACCTCACAGCGTGCGCTAAACTCCCATTTTGTGGGCTGTTTATTGTGGGACATCCAGCATTTTTTTGGTGGATGGTGGAGACTGCCCTGAAACTTGAATGGCTTTTAGCCGATATATGACTTAATGTATTTGTGCAAGAATCGGTGACCGTGTTTTGGATGGTGGCTGAATGTGGAAAAATGAAAGTGGCATAAAAGGTTGCATAGTGGTTCGCGCCATGAACCTGGGAACCTGAGGTTGATTTACCACCCACGAGTGATACCTGACCCAGTCTTGGGCACCCTTCGCCCTTCACAAACCCGCATTGACCAGTGTGGTGAAGTATGGTCAAACAACCCTCATGACCAATATGGTGTGGGGAGACCTTCGTCCAGTAGTGTTTTGACCAAATGCTGTAGATTATCATTATTATTATCATCATCGTGATATATTCTGTTGTGCATGATTACTTATTAGAATTGGTAAAACATAAACCAGAATCATGGCCGTCCAGAGGTGGGTGCGGGGGCCCCCCGATGCCTTCAAACTAAACCGGAAGTATTACATTTGACACTGATGTCGAGGCGCGAGGCCCCCCGAAAGAGCGGCGCCCGGGGCAGTCGCCCCTATTCGCCGTACCCTCGGGGACGGCTTTAACCAGAAGGCACGGTGATGGGATGAATCCCAAAGTGCGCAATTACTCTTGAACGAACTTTGTTGCCTCGAACTCGGCCACATAGATTCTTGTCGCATAAAGGAGTATGCTCGCTTGCTCAACGTGTGTCACGTGTCTGCTGGCTTTCAGCTCACTTTCACCACGTCATCGAGCAGCTCAAGTTCAAGCAGGGCAGCGTGGAGATGATCCTTTTGTCCGCAGGTAACCAACAGTAGAGACTGCCAACCAACAGTAGAGACTGCCAACTTTAATTATTGTAGATTTGTTACGCTCTAGGTAACGCTCGATAATTATCCGTGGGTGATTATTCAGGTTGCGGATTAACTGTGCTTACAAATGGTCACTGCATCGCGTGCTTTCAGGTGCACCTCTGCGGCCTTCTGGAATGCTCTTCCGATATTAGGAAGCCACTGGGTCTATGCACTTTTAAATAATCTAGATTTAAAACGCATTTCTTTAGAACCGGTTTTTTTGTTTAGTTTGTTGTGCTTCTCCCGCACCTCCGATTAGCACGGTTGGCTACGTATGGTGTGAAACAGGTTCAACGTGCATGTATATGCATGCACGCCGATTTAATTATTGGCTGCTCCCCACTTGCCTCAGGTCAGTGACTCAATAAATGATCATTTCAACTCTTAGTACGCATAATATTCGCTCCCTCCTGAAGAGAGAGCACGACTCGGTGAGGAACCACAGACGAGCGGGGAAAAAGCAGCAGCCACACAGTGAACTGGAACCATCAATTTGCCAAAGCTCTGCGGTCCTCTGTATGTTGAGATGTTTTCAACCAAGTAATGGGTATTTAAACATGTGGCAGGAAACTGGAGGAGCACCTGGAGAAAGCGTACCTGTGCAAGGAGGGGAACAAATACTCAGGGGACAGATTGAGTCCACACTGCTGCAAAAATCAGTTTTAATCAATGAACCATGTATGTATGTTAAACTTATTTCGCACTGTACGTAGCCAACCGTGCAAACTGGGGTTGAGAGGAAGGACAACAACACAAAAATAAGTTTTACGCCTAGTTTGTATGCTGTTTATGTCCAACTCAATATATCTGTATTTTTAAAGTATTTTTTTTATTTGCCCTTGTGAACATTGGATTACATTCGGTAACATTGCAACTGGCGCCGAGCCAGTGGTGGAAATTTCATGTCACCATGGCGAGTGCCTAGCTGATGCTTAAACACTGGCAGTCATCGTTGACTTAGAACCACGTGCGCCGCTGTTTGACCATCGTCACGATGTTCCAGTACCTTGGCCAATTGCTCAATATGGGCGTGAGCTGAGTTGTAGGGTCACCTCGGGCACACGCATTCACATGGGCAACCTCAGGCGAACCCCAGAGAGCACCGCGACGCATTCACATGCAAACAAAAGAAGCGCCACAAGCTCACCCAAGCCATCGCTAATTGGCCGAGCGTAACTCTTTGTTTGCGGGACAATTGATTTTGTGTTAATGTTTTTTTATATTATTGCCTATCCTAGCCCGCGTGTGTATGTGTCCGGCCCTTTACCCTTCTATTGTTGCAGCGTTCCAGTTCTCCTATACGTCGGTGTTTGGTGCCTACACGGCCTTTCTCTTCATGAGGACAGGTCAGTCATATCAGGTGTCGCGGATAATCCTAACCTCCCGGGCCGCACACGGTTGAGTATCAGATTGCTGATGTGCCATCGTCAATGCTGTGCTTTGCTGACTGCCAACTGTTGATGCCCAATCTCGATATAATATTAATATTAAGGAGAGTCATTTTACAGAGCCCCATATCAATCCGCTGCTGGATGAAGGCCTTCCAACGCCGATTTGCTTCTGATGTTAGCTGTGGCCGGGAATATAACTCCAGTCGCCGGGTTCGTAGCACAGTGTGCTAACCACCAGGTCACTGCTCTACCCACAATATATTTATATTATTTAATATTGAACACTTTTTGTTCACCCAGTTAGCACATTGCATAATGTGATGTAATGTTCCCTTGCTGTGGTTGGTGTAGCCAAAATAGGTTTGATAACGTGCATTTTTTTTGTAGCTATGCCACAAGGGCACCATGAGAATCGCTAAGCTCCTCTATACACATGCACGCACATACCCTCTTTTGTGCACACAAAGATAACACGATACCCTATTTGGTTTTCCAGGCTGAGCAGTGATTGTTAGCAAACGTCTTTTTTGTCTGCCAGGGAACACGTAGCGACGCTTTGATGAGCACCGTGCACACTCACACTCACCCTTGTCTCACCAGCATCGGGGCAAATGTGCTGAACCAATTATCTAATTCTCTGACTTGTGAGACATGCTTTTCCTCCTAGGAATTTTCAAGCAAAACATTTACGGTGGGTCTTATAATCTGGTAGCTGTGTGCATCTCTTTGTATATTTAGTGTGTGACCGCAGTTTTTTTACTGGCACAGGTTTGGGGGTGTGTCCTACTTTCCAGACTGTTTCTTTACCTGGAGAATATGGTACTTCTTCTTGGGTCTTTCGGTAAAGTCACGTAGAATGGAAATAAAATAATAAAAATAAAACATTTTATGTTTTATTTTTATTATAAAAACATAATTTTATTATGTTTTATTTTTCTTATAAAAACAATTTTATTATGTTTTATTTTCATTATTTTATTCCCATTCGACGTGACTTTACCGAAAGAACCAAGAAGATGAATCCCTGCGGTCACGAAAGCTTTAAATCGAAATTTAATACGGTACTTGTTTTAGGCTAAGGGATGACCTAGGAGAGACCCAGGCCAGCTTTGGGGGTGCATTCAAAGGCATAAGCCAACGCTCACCTCGTCTTGCCCCTGACCAACCTCTCATCACCCTCTGTGACGACTCTCCCGTCGTCTGTCCAATCCGCCCCGCCACCCCCTCCCCACCAACTCCGCCGACTGCACGCAGGTCACCTGGTGGGCCCTGTACTCTGCCACTCGTTCTGTAACCAGATGGGTTTCCCGCCGGTGGCGGCCGCCCTCGAGCACCCGCGGCGCTCCGCCATCGCAGGCTGCTACGTGTCGGGCCTCGTGCTCTTCCTGCTGCTGCTGCACCCGATCACGCAGCCCGCGTTCTACGCCGACAACGTGTTCGGGCTGCTCGGCGCGAGTGCGACCGTGGGGCGGTAGAGACGCGCGTGGTGCGTTTTGCGACTCGCCTTCCCCCCGCCGAGCCGCTATTCGTGAAGTTCGCCATCTGATTCGAGTCGGCGGTTGTCTCGTTGTTTGCGCCGCGTGTACCGTTTCATTTTTGCTCGTTCGTTTGTACTGCCGTGTTTGTGTTTAGTGCGTCTTCTTTTGTGCTGCCTGTACGGTTTCGTTTTGTACTCGTTCGTTTTTATCGGCTGTCTCATTTGTTTGTCTGTACAGTAGAGCTGCGACGATCGGGTGATTACTTTAATTAATCATCTAAAAATTGCAAATTGACTTTATTTTTTGAGAGCGATTTCTCGGGCCCCTTTTGACATTTTCCCTCCTGAAGGTAGAAAACCCCCAACAAGCTACGCCCAACATGACGCATCTGACACACCGATGGTGTCATGAAACCCCGCCCATCACCTCCCATTCAGCGACACGCTTGGGAACATTATTGAGACTTTTCCAACTAATTTTGCATTATCCCCAAAGTAATCTACTTGAGCATCTCCCGAGGAATCGATTTTTTTCTATTTTGGCATCTCTCCTCTACTGTACAGTTTCATCCTATCTCGTTTGTACCATCTTGTAATTCTGTACTGATGCATTTGTACTGTCTGTTTTATTCGTGCTGTCCTTATTTGCTTTGCCGCTTTGTCTGTTCTGTCTCATAACTGGCTCATTCATATTTTCCCTGCTCTGTTCCGTCACTATGGTCATGTTTGTACCATCTGGTGTTATATTTCTTGTTTTCTTCGTTTTCCGTACAAGCTGCATGCACCCAAAAACAATTGATCCTTACACGTACAAATTTGTGAATGTATTACGATCGTAAGGTTTAGGAGATGCATTTTTCTTACAAGGGAACTTTTTGGTGGCAACTATTGCAGTTGACAGTTGCGGATAACGGTTGCCCTTAAAATTTCCCAAGTGTCTCAGGGCCTTGATGGGTGCCACTGCTTGTGCACACAAAGTGGGGCTTGACGGTACTCCCATAACCCAATGATGGAGTTTTCATTCAAAGGTCACTTCTGATATATTTCCCATAATAGTTTTCAGCCCTTATGCCATTCCACTGCTGGATGAAGGCCTCTCCATACCCCTGTCGGTCATGGGAGTTGTGAAAGGGGGCAACAGGGATGGGTTCAGATATGGCACTCGCCACCGATGTTAGCCGTGACCAGAAGTCAAACTCGGATGGCCGGCTTCATAGCGCAGCCTGCTAAGCGTTGTGCCAGCGCACCCACCCTCACCTCCCTTTTATCACAAATAATTCAATAGGCGTAGCAATGGCATTTAACGAATGTGATTCCCATACCTGTTTTCGTTTAAGAAAATTATTTTTGGCGGCAGCAATCAAAACTTACACCGTGGAGGCGTTTTGCAAAACGTATTATCGATTGTGACAATTTATTTTGTAGGGGGTAATTATTATCTTGGTTATTTGTTTTTGTATTGTTATTGTCTGGTGATGGTGCTTTTTTGGACTGGGTCTGCAGTCATGGCGTTAACCTGTTTGCCGTTGGAAAGCGCTTATCGATTAATTAAACTCGCATTGCGATGCCTCCCAGTTTTAAAATGCGCTCAGAGTTAACATCCATCGGACGATTTGAAAGGGCTTGTATAAATTTGCAGAAGCATCAGACTCCCCTATAGCTCGCCCATATAACAGCAGCCCAATTGGATGATGGTCTCCCCATACCTTAAAGTCATGGGTGGTGTTTGACCAAACTTCATCATGCTGGTCAGTGTGGGTTGGTGAAGGGGGGGTGCCCAGGTTCAGTTAAAAATACCACTCGCCACTAATGTGAGCCATGGCTGGGAATCAAACTCAGGTTTATGGGTTCATAACTCAGGGCACTTAACCATTGCACCTCCTCTCCTGCGTCGGTGCTTCTGCAGATTTCTATACACACTCTGTTCTTGTGTTCTGTGCATTAATTTTCACATGTTTTGACTGCCCTGCAATTTCAACTTATCTTGACACGTACCCCATTCGCTCAATCCCCCCCCCACATCCCACCAATTAACCAATCACAATTGTTCACAAATTGGTTGCAGTTTGGCTTTTTGGAGTTTGTAGGTATTATTTTGTGAACATACAAACAGACGTTACAAGTACTCGTCATGGCTTCATGCAACACAAGCGTCAATGACAGCCGGTACACCATTTGTAATACAGTATACATATATACAAAGATCCCCTGTATAGCCTGCGTCGGCTGTTGGGGAAAGTACACACATGTACGTAATGCGAATGTATGCACTAGAGGTGTATCGATTCATCCATCCCCACAACGATTTCATCAATTTCAGGATTTAGGGGTTGCCATTCGAGTCAACATTTTTTTTAAAGATTATGGTGAATGTGTGGCCTCTAGTGGCTGCAGGAGTCATGTGACCCCTATACAATACAATGCAACATAAAATCGATATTACTCAAGTAATCAGTGTATCCTTACACCCCTAGTTTATTCATGCTGCACCCAACATACCACATTCTATCACGCGTGTATATTTTTGATGTGGGTGGGGTAACAAAGGGAAATGCGTATATATATTAGAGCTACTAATTTGTATTATAATACTGACAGGTTTACTCTGCTGGTACGTGCGTTCAATGCATACCTTTTGGGATATTGAATATTTTATAATACCGTATTGAGCCTTTATAGAACTGTCTCATGACACAAATAAATGCAGTTGTTTCTAAATGCGTTGGTCTTATAAAAGATGCTTCAACCAAATACTCAGATTAATATATATTTTAAAATATAAAAAAAAATAGTTTGGACCAGTTTGTGTCTCAGGGCCCACTTGGCCACAACAATAAATGCTTAATATTTTTTTAAAATGAAGTGCGTTAAATGTAATCGTCACCTGATATTTCTTCAGGGTGTCGCTTTGAATCAAAAGTGAAATTGCCTGTTGTAAAATTCACTTTAATGAGGACCCTGTGACATTGTTAACAAGAGTGGGCCATTGTGTGCTTGTGAGCTTGTTATAAGTTGAAAACTTTGAAAAAATGTTCCTCTGCTAAATAAACTGCAAAAAGTAAAAGGCATTTGGTCTGTCCTAAAATTTATATTCCACCTCCATCGCAGGCCTTGGTGGAATGACACTTTCTATGAGGGCAGTATGCAAAGTTTTCAGCCGAACACATTCAGTACAAAATACATTAATGATTTTAAAAAATAGTCACCCTCACTGTGCATTTTGCCGATCATTCTTAAAGCTTTTAATTTGTATCCACCTCCGGTGGTTACCCAACCTGCGGTCCGTGCACCTCCGGTGGTTCCCAACCTGCGGTCCGTGCACCTCTGGTGGTACCCAACCTGCGGTCCGTGCACCTTCGGTGGTACCCAACCTGCGGTCCGTGCACCTTCGGTGGTAACCAACCTGCGGTCCGTGCACCTCCGGTGGTTCCCAACCCGCGCTCCGTGGACCTCCGGTGGGCCGCAAGGAAGTGGCCAAAATAATCAATGCAGGTGCCGCAGTTTTTGTTCACTAAACAATATATTTTTACTGCCCATTTCACAACTAGCCAATACTAAAGCAAGTTGATCGTTTTTTATGGCATTTTAATCAACATTTCACAGCAGTTTGTAAGTACAGTACTGTAGTTTTCATCTTGAAAAGTTGCTTTATGGGTGCATTGGCAGTCCAGTGATCCACGGTCCGGAGAGTTTTGGAAACCACTGCTCTCAACAATTCCCACGCCTCAGGTGCCTCCTTCAGGTTCAGAAACCGGTGGAAGCCACTGGGAGTCACGTTCGGAGAATAGGCAGTACAGAAGAAAAACAACTTATCCGCGGTGAGATTGGACGAACCGATATCGCGGTCCCATTATCTGCAATTGTACACCTCTTATCCGTACATTATGGGTAAAGTGACGATTAGAAGTCGCCGGTGATATATGGCCGCGGATAATAGGAGTCCTGTATGCAGGAGTTCTTCCGAGTGGCATTCCCTGATAGCATCAGCATTCGCGACTCCTCTCACGCGGTGCGTTAATTATATCTTGTCTCTTGTCATCTCATTGAAGTGGGCAAGGTGGGCGGGGGTGGCAATAGTAATTTCTGCTAGGGGCCTCCATTGGTTTCAACAAAAACACAGCCTTACACGATGTGCAAAAACCACCAGTTCCCGAAGAACTGCACCGTGGCGTGCCGTCGCACGCGTATCGCTGAGACTCGGGCCCCCGTCTCGTGAACTCCGGGGGCCAATTGTCCCTTGCCAAAGCAGGACGCAACAACAACAACAATACGAAACAGAAAAACCCGCCAACTCACGCGGGAACAATGCGACACGTGTAATCGTACACGTGTGAATACCAAAACGTGAAACACAAAGAGGTGCGCGTACAAGCCGCGCGGGAGAGCGACACCGCCATTGGAACGCTGTGTGCCCTTCGCCTTTACATCGCACAAAACCCCACATCGCAAGGCGAGTTAACAAATAAAAAAAACGGCCGCAGCAACAAAGAGAAACAAGGCGATCAGAACAACACCCCCCCCACTCACTCCACCCCAATAAATCACCGTCGGCCACAAAGAAGAGAGAAAAGCCTGCCAGGAGACGTTGAACTCTCGTCTCAAGTGTCGACAAAGTATCGGGTTGCGGCGCGAAGCGAATAAATGCAGGAGCTTCGAGCCCGTGGTTGAGCATCATCGCCTTCCGAGCCCGTGGTGTCAGTGCAACGTTGCCGAGGAGCAAAACCGACCGACCGCTTTTTTTTTGTCTTCCCTCTCCGACAGCCTTAGCGCCTCGACCGATCACGATGGTCGCTCACACCAGGAGCCTGCTGATGGCGCTGTGTGCGGTGGCCCTGGCGACGGCTCAGGGACCTCCACAAGGTGATCATCCACTCTGTCGCAATTTCATCCACGCGTGTGTGCGTGCGCGCGTGTAGCGTGTCTCCGGAGGGCAGAGGAGCGACGCTCACGACAACGAGCGGAGCGTCGGGTGGGCCAAGCGCAGCAAGTTGGCACAGTTAGGGGGCACGGGTGGTGCATCGGTCAGTCATCTCGGTGCAGGCGACCCGTGGCACCTGCTGGGTCTGTCCCGTGACCTCCTGCCGGCGGGCGTTCGACACTTCACGTGGCCTTAACGTGCACATAGCCTGGCACAAGCGCCGTGTTGATGTCACCGCCACTTCGTGGTGAATGGCGGTGGTTGCAGCGCTTATTTCAGCGTGCCACCAACCGGCCCTGGGCCTCCCATAGGTCGACTCAGCCTCAAATGAGTACCTCGTGCGGAAGTGTGAATATTGGTACTTTGGGAGACAAAGGCGGCCAGGCATGGTGCTGGCAACACACCACCGCTATGTTTAGGCTATACAGGGAGTCTTTGACTTTGTACAGGTGTGGGTAGTGGTACCGCAGTCGCTCGCCCAGTGTGATTGACTGCGAATTGCCATGCTGGTTAGTACGCGTGTTTTCTCACGACTCTCTTTCAGGAGGGTCTTGCCATATTTTTCGCAGCAGGGAAATGCAATTTGGGGTTTTATTTTTTCAAATTTTGACCATAAATACGGCCTATTGTGACGTCACGCGATATATAACGCCCACTTGCGACGTGTCGTACTTTTATGGTTAATACTTCCGCAGTATTTAAACTATGTTTTATTTTACCAGGTAATGTCCACTGAGCTGTATAGCTCTTTTTCAGAAGCGACCTGGTGACAAATGATAGCTCAACGAAATTAACTATCATCATGTGGAAATCTAGATTTGTCAAATACTCAAAGCGCATGTTTTTCTAAACGTGGAATAGAACAAAATTGGAGGACCCGGAGAAAAATCCACGCCACCACGGGCAAAACATGCAAATACAAATATACAGGCGTCAGGGTCAGGAACGAACTCACGACTAGCGGCATACCAGGCGAGGCAGATAACATCTCGCCGACATGGTGCCGATATTAATGGGGGCGGCCGCTGAGAATCGAACCGTGAAACCTCAGAATTCTTTGGTGGGAATTTCACGGCAACGATTGCCGTCATAAGCTGACAGTTCCCACCGACTTTTCCCGGTGTCGTAATGGTTGATGGCCTTTACGTCCGCAGTTTCGATTCACGTGTCCACGAATAATCCCTCTCCGTCATATCTTCGGGTGAACACGTGCTGACGTCCCACCATCATAGACGACGACGATGGCCACTGCTATTACTACTTTTTCTGGTGTGACTCCACTTGTTTACCCAGGAAAGCCCCATCGAGTCTCTTTCGCAGTCGGGGGCGATGCCGCTTCGTGTAATTCCACTTGAGTAATTTGGCAGTAATTTTTTGAAGCATAGGGATGTTTGACCAATATCAATTACATTGATTGAAATATATACACATATGTATCTATATTTATGAAGAAGGGCCGTGGCCCAAAACGTCACCTATTGTATTTTGTTTTCCTATTCGGGCAGTGTTATTGACCACTGTGTTGAGTTTATGTTACGTGTGATTATACACTACTTCCAACACAGTATAAGAAAAAGTTTGTGTTTGGTTATGGAGATCACAGGAATTTGGAGAATTACAACTCAGGTCACATTGTGCCCTATGTGGTCTTGCATTGCTGCCCGAACCGGGTCCTTGAACCTGCCACGAGTGGCAAAATAAATACCTGTCCATCCACATGAAACGTTAAACAGTTGTTTTATATACATCCCATCCGTCACACTGCCTTCTGGGAATGTATACTTTCAGCTGCATTGCTCTAGTACAGAAAAATTCTGGACTGCTTTTGACATCCAGTGTCTTATTGCGACAGGTCTAGTATTTATCTTGTTCTGGCGAAAATCTGCTGTAAAATGATCACATTCAGTCGATGTGCGACAATAATATTTTCATTAACGTGAGATTGATGCCCCCTGTAAAAATAAAACTTTTCGGTTGACAACATTTGGTGCCCCCGTGCTCGCGGGTGTGCGTGTGTGCGCGTGTATGTGCGTGCGTGCAACATACATCGGGTTCTGCTCCTCCTCTAGTTCAACTCTGCACGAAATAAGTACCGTACTGCCTGTCCTCCCACAGTGATTTCCGGCAGAGCGCCGTCCGGCAACGCGCCGTCCGGCAGCACGCCGCCAGCACCACCATCACCACCACATCAGCAGCAGCTCCCGGCCAACGGACAACATGCCATGGACGCGCTCCACCAGATGATGAATCTGGGCCAAGGAGTCCAGTTCACCGACCTCAATGCCATGCTTAAGCACCACGCGGAGGCTATGTCGCAGCTGCTCCAGACGGGCAGCCTGCCCTGCCCTCCTCCCGCGATGTGGGACTTCGCCTCCGCCCATCTCCAGCGTTGCGCTCAAGGCGGTGGGCCGTCGATGCCCATCCAGATGAATCTGGGCCAACGAGCCCAGACCCTCGACATCAATGCCATGCTGCAGCACCACGCGGCCGCTATGTCGCAGCTGCTCCAGACGGGCAGCCTGCCCTGCCCTCCTCCCGCCATGTGGGCCTTCGCCTCCGCCCATCTCCAGCGTTGCACTCGGGGCGGTGGGCCCTCGATGCCCATCCAGCAACTGCTCGTGCGAGGGTTTCCGTTATTCTCGCCGCCACAGATTCCAATCCATTTTCCAAATATCCCAATGATGCCGCTTGACCCAAATATCCCACCTATGCCGAATATGAATCTCCGCTTTCGGCGCAGCCCAATCCGCGGTGCTGGACTCGATTCGGTGTCACCACGTCCCGACAATCAGGGAGGGCCCAAGCAGGAAGGGCCCAAGCAGGAAAAGCCGAAGAACCCGATCAGTGACAAAGGAGGGCTGGGAGACCACATGCATCCCATTCCAGCTTAGGGTTCTGAGGGGGACCTTTTTGAGGCCAGTAGATACGTTAAGCCATCCACCCAGCAGTGCAGCCGGCCCACGGTGAGGTAGATAATTAATCAAATAATGTCCAAGGTTTGGCAAGGACAAACTTTCATGACCCACCGACTGTCCAAATGTTAAGCATTTTAAATGATGCTGTAAATTATTATTATTATTAATTATAATAATTATGCCAATTATTTAGGAAAGCATCAATGAGTTTGGCCAGTAATTTTACGGATATTTTACAGATTGGAGGAAACCAGGGTCAGCTAGGGGCACGGTGCAAGTGGCTCAATGGTTAACCTACTGAATTATGAACCAATTGATCTGATTTTGATTCCTGGCCTTGACTAACCTCAGTGGCGTGTGATATCTGAATCGGTCTTGCAAACCCCCTCCGGGACCTCGTTACTCCTCCCTGCCATGAGGCTATGTTGCAGGCAGTAGATCCACTGTTGTATCGTGCTTCTATGCTCCCATATCTGGTGCATTCACCAACCCACACTGAGCAGTGTGGTGAAGTATAGTAAACACACAAAACCCACGATAAACATTGTGTGGGAAGGAGGCCTTCTTTCATCAGTGGCTTGACAAACGGCCGTACATTCTTATTATTATTAATAATGATTATATTTTATTGAATTTGCAATAATGAAAATTATCCAAATCTTTAGATTAGGAAAACTGAATACAAATCTCTCATCGGGTCCGGTTGCACCGGCTGTTGGCTTTAGACATCAACATAGCTCGTAATATAAAACTACTCGATTTTGTTTAACATTTTCAATTATGTTACAAGATTCAATTAAGAAGAAAGAGAACAATCATCGGGGTGTCGTTATTCACGTACCTGCTCAGCTTTTACACAGATAGCACGTGGACAGAGGGAAAACCATGCTCGAGTGTTTGAGTGATACTCACATTTATGTGGACATGGCTTAATCAATGCAGAATTCGGAGTAATTGTAATACCGCGCAAAAGATGATTGATTGCCTGTGTTCATAAGAGACGAGGCGCTATTGTGACCATACTATCGGGCCTCCCATCATCCCCTGCATGTCACATGACATCGACGACACTGCGTGGAGCATAACGCACACAACCCTGTGTGTTCGGCCATAAAGAATAACATCAATTGTGGCCGTGTAGATTGCAAGTGACACTCTCGCGCACGTCACGTACACAGTGATTTGGAGGGCGTACAACCCCCTACGTACACCAACACAAACATATCCAAGTACCTACTCACTGGCTTACCGTCGTCTAGTTTCTGTCTGTTTTATTCTCGTGTGGGGGGGCAGCGTGGGTGCGTTTTGTAACCCCTTCGTTAATAAATAGTTATGCAATGCAACCACGTGTGTCGGGTTTCTTTTTGTTTCACGCTCACGGAGAAGCCAATAAAATAACATTGGCCGTGTTTCCGATAATAATCATCATCATCATCATAACAAATAACAAGATCCCTTTTATCTGGGAACTGCTGGGTGGAGGCGGCCGCGCATGCCGTGTCAAAGTCGTGGCGGTCGTTTTGTCACCATATTTCACCCACACCGGCCTCGCGGTTTGGTGTACAAGGCAAGAGGGCTCGGGACCGGTTCAAATCGCGCCCACCACTGACGTTAGCCATCAGCGGCAGGATTCGAACTCAGGTGGTTGGGTTCCTGGCGATACCGACCACCTTCTAATCAAGAAGAAGAATACAGTACTGATGATAACGGAAGTTATGTATTCAGAAGTGACGCAGCACCAGCTGAACTGGTAACACCGAGATTTCGGGTTCGAATTCAGGCACCAGGCAGCTGCTTGTGATTAGATTTGGTTCTCAGGCGTTGCGAGTTGAATGGGCTCAGCCCAGTCACCGTTGACGCACGAGAAGCCATCACAGTGCATTTAAGTACAGTATTGCACTTTAATTTGGCTAAATTCCCAGCTGTGAGGACGAGTTTAACTGTCATACGATAGACATTACTCTCCTACGCAAAGCGTACCCAGAAAATTGTGCCATGTGTCTCAATATGTTTATTTCATTTCCTGGTTAAGTAAAGGATGCAACAATAGCAACAGATTGGTGCCCTCTTCTGTGTGGACCAGAGCTCACTTTAAACGATCTCGTAGGTAGCTCTGTGACATCTGCTTTCGTGGGGCCCTTCTCTAACACGGACGGTCGCATTGCACTGTGACAGATGCGAATGGATATTTCGTGTTATGACGTGACAGTGACGGAAACATTGGGTAAAGTTAAGGGGAAATTATTAAAATCATATTTAAACCAAATAATGCTATGAGTGTAACTTAAGTTTATCCTGCTTAAATTGATATCTGTATTATTGTTATTTTCAGAATTACTGAAGCAAACTTGCTAAATTCCTGGTCTATGAGTCCAGGTGCATGCGAGGAATTTTCACGGCACGAGGATAGGGTAAGCAATTTGGCCGTTCGGCGCAGAGACCAACCACGAACGGACACTCTTCATAGACAACAGAAAACCAAAACGTCTCTTCCGGATGCGATGAGACCATCGCACGTGGCACACGCGCGTGACACGTGTGTGTGTGTGTGTGACGTGCAGAGCGCGTGGCACGCGACGTCTCAACGCACACCAAGATCGCTCGTTCGGTCTCAGCCATCGGGTGGCGTTGGCGAGCGCCGTGCAGCGCGTTCGCCTCGCGTTGCAGAGGTTCACGGCTTGAACCCGAGGCGGCCGCCCTGGTCATGTTCACGTGGGTGCATTCACCGAACGGCGATACGCGCCGTCTGCTTGCAAGGGCGACTCGGCCAGCAGACGGCATCGAAGCATTCGCGGTGGACGTTAAGGAGCCCTACTGGCGTCCTACGCAAAAAGTAGGCCATCGTGTGCCGCCGGCGTCAGGGTCCTGATTTTGTCAAATTCGAAACTTACCCGCAAAGTATTTCACCATAAGAATAGGTTTTATTCCTTTTTTTCTGGCAAAAAAACTGAAATCTTTTACAAGGAATCATGGCTGCATTAACCACAATACTTGTGGTCAGAATGTAAACAATCAACATACCCTGATAATATATGCACTGTCTTTGAAACGGATTGGTTCGCACCAGAGACAGCTTTCTTTTGATGTTTTAACATCTTAACACAACTGTTTTGTTGCCAGAAAAAAGGGGAAAACCTATTCTCATTTTTTGGTACTAGCAAAGGAGGTCCCATGATGTAGCTGCTCAACCCGAGCTCTCATTACTCCGATAGTGGCATTGTCTTTGTGCTCCAAAGAAAGCTGTCTCTGGTGTGGACCAATCCGTTTCAAAGACAATGCATATATTATCAGAGTATGTTTTTTGTTTGAATTCTGACCACAAGTATTGTGGTTAATGCAGACATGATTCCTTGTAAAAAGGTTCAAGCTTGTTTGCCAGAAAAAAAGGGGGAAAACACCATTCTTATATTTTGGTACTGGCAAAGGAGGCCTCATGAAGTATTTAATCAATTTGGATTATACACAGCAGCAATCGTTCCCCTACTGCCCCCCCAACCCCCTACTGGTGGACTCATGCCCCAGGTCACTCTCGCAAATGGGACTTATTCTGGGTCACCTTGAATTCTCACCTAGTCACTCGAAATAAACTTGAATCACAATACAGGCAGACTTCGCTTCGCGTTCAAGACGCGTCCCTGGATAAGTGAACGCTAATCGAATCAGCGATCAAAGCACGGCGGTGGTGGCGGTCACCCCGCAACCAAATCGCTAACCAGGCTCAAATTCCCCTGCTAAGCTTCCAAGATGACTGCGCATCCTGTTTGATGTGGTCATCGTTTTCCTATCTGCCCTTGACGATCAGCAACGACAAAAGAAAAAAAACCGCACTGGAATGTGGAACGAAACGTCAGTGACAGCGGTTCGTCTCCGCGGAGAAATATTCATTCCAGTCATTCGTCCATTTCACCCGTTGCGCAAAGCTGTGGGTGGCAGCTTGCTATTTTAAGAATCAATTTCGGATTCGCAGCACACGGTTGGCATTCCACGTTCCGGTGTCGCACACACGCAGTCACTTGCTCAAGCCCTTCTCTAGCACGGGTTCGCGTTTCCCTCTCGAGCCTGTAACGTCGCACGGGTCACAGCAGCATTTTTTTTTCACATCACTTGCGGGCAAAGTGTCAGTTTCAGTTTCTTTATTTTGGTATAGCCCTGTGAGCCATTCGGCTCTTGAATCGGGTGCAACCACAACAAAAAAAAACACGAACAAGAAAACATCTTAAAGTGACTATGTGACTGTGCAAACAGAAAATCCATGGAAAAAAACCAGCAAAAATATTCCTGAAAAAAAGCACCGTACACCAACGCTGTGCAAAAAAATCCCAGTGGGATGCAAGTCAAACAACAACAACCACATGAAAACTTAGATTAATGCCATCAGTCTAACTCCGTACTACAATAAAACAAACATGTCCAAACCAAAAAACTTTTTGAAATCACCAAAAAATAAAGCCATAATTGCAACGTAACAGTGATTATAGGGACCGTGACCGAATTTTTACAATAAACTACATAAATAACATGTAACACCAAATCCTAGAGCCATAGCTGGCTGCATGAGTTACTCCACAACAACAGAAGTATCAGTCGGAGTATCAAATTTTTCAATGCACCTTTAAGATCAGCACGCTAAATCAAAATACAGATAATACTTTGCAGCGTCATCCGGAGCGAAAACATTTTATTTTATTTTACGCCAATGAATAGCAGTGGCAGCTAGGGGTGTACAACTCCTCTAGAACAGTTTTGAGAGAATATCTCATTGGCAGCGTTTCAAGTTGCAGTTTATTGGCAATAGCATTCCAGACCTTGGGGACATCAATAGCAAAGGCCCTTCCTCCAGTTTCTGTACGGCAATAGGGAATGTGAAGCTGGTAAATGAGCGAAGACCTGAGGTCAAATTTGTTCTTTGAAACAGAGAGGAGATCCAGCAGGTAGTCTGCGGATTTTTTTGTAAGTACATCGTGAATAAATAAGATCTGGTGCACAAGCCGTCGAACATTAAGAGATGTTAAGTTTGACGCACGTTGATCTACGTAACCGTGATCCCGCTTCACACCGAGACTCAATGCCTCTTGTGCAATCGTGAACCGAGTCACCCCCCCCCCCCCCCTCCTGCAACACCACCATATTAGCTGCTTTAGTGAAGATCTGGAACGTTGCTTAATAATCAGTCATGGTCAACCCACTGCTGGATGATGACATCTGAAAGCCGCCACCTCTCGTCACGATCATGGAATGTAGTGATGATAATAATCCACCTGCACATTATCGATCTGCAACATGAACTGATTTCGTCGCTCCATCTCTTTGGGAGCGCTTCATTCCTTGCCATTGATTACGGCTATCTTAATTTTATTTCTACTTATTTAAAGTATATACGTGCTGTATAGGAGGAAAAAAATAAAACCATTATTATAATCTGTCCCTTCCATCAGCTCATTTTGGGACAGTGGCGACTGAATGAAATTTCAACAACGATGTTCTTACTCTTCTTCGTTCTTTCGGTAAAGTAACGTAGAATGGAAATAAAATAATACAAATAAAACATAATAAAATAAGATTCTCACGACGTTTCGGCCACAACACAAGTAGCCTTCTTCAGATGAATAAATAGGAGTGTCCAGAAGACAGCGCTTCAGTGAACATTGCCAAGCATGAACCGCGTCTTTTAAGCTTGGCGGGCGGAATTAACATATGAATTAGCATGTTACCCAGCACCACCACCGGAGCGGAGGAGGGTGGCGGCGGGTACACAGAAAAAAGGAAAAAAAAGAGAATAGGATAGGTGCGCTGCTCTGTCCTGTGTTGCGTTATAACTATGCTATAAACTGGACTACTATATCATATAATACTATACCTTCCAATCTAAACTACATGGTATAATATCATATCTATAGACAAAATTCCACCTTTTAATTATACAATGCGTTACTATACACTGCCCTATACTTTAGACTATAAAATATTAGACTTGTAACTTTACACTATGTCTTATTTTATCAACCCCACTATATGCCACACTGCTGTATATTCACTATACAATTATGATACTATATATTGCCATATGCATTGTGTTAAACATTACGATGTTATACTATTTATGATTATACCACATGCTATAAACCATACCATTGACCGTTATGTGAAAGGTATTAAGAGGCAGTGCCAGCGAATAGACTTCGGTCTGAAGATCACCATAAAATACAATCAATTAAGAACCGAAATGGTTTATAACATCTTTCCAATGGTTACTAAGCCAGAATCCATTTTCTCGGTTGAAATTGTCTCTGTGTTTGTATATGTGGATGGCCTCATGAACGAATCTCTCATGGTAGCCGGATGGCTTGCAGAGAACCTCCGTCTTGGAGAAGTCAATGTCATGTGAGCCTACTGAATTATAACAGTGATCTACCACGGCTGAGGAGTTCGTCCTACCGTGTTTCAAGTCTGCTTTATGTTCACAGATGCGGTCCGAGATATGTCGCTTGGTTTCTCCAATGTAGCTGCTACCACAGAGGCAACTTAGTTTGTAAACGCCCGGGTACTGTATGTCTGGGACCACATCTTGTACAGACGGAACCAGATCACGGATTTTATGTAATGTGTTGAATCGGACCTGGATCTTGTGTTTATTCAAGGTTTTGGAGATCTTTTTTGTGATCCCCGCAATCTAGGGTAAAGTGATGGTTTTGAAAGGCTCCTCAAGAGGGTCCCTTCAACGTGACTTTACCGAAAGAGCTAAGAATAACATCATACTCTTTGGTTATTTCGGTAAAGTCACGTAGGTATAAAATAAAATAAATTAAATCACGACGTTTCGATTGCAACACAAGCAATCATCATCAGGTGGGAAACCACAGCAAGAAACTTCAAATCTAGATTGAACTAACATCAGCAATGTAGTTCATATTTAGGCTGATTCTAAGCAGCAGTTTCACATGCCCAGAGAAGCAGAATGATTAAATGCACGTGAACACTTTCAGTATTGAGATAACTCTAATATTGTAATGAAAGTGGGGGGGGGGGCGAGGTAAAATTTCGAGCAGATGATGACATTGGAATGTTGAAAAAATAAGGATGTTAATAATAAGCTATGGAAAAGCTGAACACAGTGTGCAATAAACAGACATCTTTAAAACTGGCAGCAGTAATAATAATACTAGTAATAAATAGTGTTTTATTTACGGTTGGGACAATGCGTGGATTCATTCATGTTTATTAATTACGTTCACGAGAGATAGAGCTGATACCGAGTGCACTGCGGTATATTTTGTGTGTGTATCTTACTTGATGGCAGGTGGCACAGCAGAGCGCACACACACACACACGTATATGCGCAATCGTATGCGAGTACGCATTGCAATGCGACAAACTGATGCGCCGGATAATTTTGGAAACGCGACATCGCGCGTTGGATCGTGCCAGGGCTAAAACGAGATCACGGCAGCCTTCAACCACCTTGAGTCTCCCTTCGCGGGTTTTACGCAACGGGCAGTACAATAGAGTTGCACAATCGACCGCAGGCCCTATGCAAGCGCCCCGTCTCTCCTCACCTTGACCAACAGCGCCCAGCACCCCACCCAGCATGTGCCCAGAATATACACACACACAGTCCAGGTGCCTGGAAAGAACACACCTGAATGAATGAATGAATGGGGGCAGGTTTTGCGCAGCCGGGCCTCTATAAAGCGGTCAGTCTGCTTGGATAGAGAACATCAAAGCTGGCAAACTGCCTCTGTAACCACGTGGACTCAATATCTCAGCGCTCGTGTCCACGCTCGCCGTCTGCTCAGCTCAAGTCATGCTTGCTGCTGCTGCGATGCGTGCCCTGCCCGTGGTTATCCTGGCCACCTTCCTCTCATCCTCCGCTCTGGTTTCGTGCGCTCCTCTTCCCGGCGCCAACGGTGAGTGAGCGGTTCGCGAAAGATCACGGGCGGCTGCAGAGGACCTTCACGCGCAGCTGTGGCGGGCAGTAATACCCACGCAATATGTAAACACGCGTGCGTATCGTAGTAGTAATAATCTCAACTTGCGAGGCGCCGCACCGGATTCGCTGACTCTCGTTGAGAGAGGGAACGACTCGGAGGCGCGAGGAACCGCAAAACAGGACGACAGCCACGTGGTGAGCCCGGCGCCAACGATTCTCCAAGCTCTGCTGTCCTCTATTAATAAAGATGGTTATTGGCCAATGAACGAGTAGATGTGGGAGAAAACTGGAGCGCCCGGCGAAAACACACGCGTGCGAGGGGGAGGGAGGGGGGGGGGGGAAACACTCTAATCCACAGTTTTGCTCTCCAGAACAGTATTGCATTCTCCTGGCGGGCCAGGGCACGTGCGGCTCCCCTTTGACGCTCACGGGACCGGATTTTCACAACATTTGCGCGCTGATCCGTCAACCCTCGCTGCATCCACAGTGCTGGATCACGTGCCGCGCAGAGAGCCAACACAGCCCGGCTAATACCGCGATCACGACCGTCACTGCAAGAGGGCCCTTGCATTGACACACGGTTGACTGGGCGCGCTAAAAGTACACATTACGCTGTGTTGCTTCCAGGTGAAACATACTCTCCCTTCAGTGCCAGATTAATGCGGGTTGAGGTTGTCGATCGATCCGTGCTGCGCGTAGTGACTCCGCGAATTGTGCGGTGTTCGCGGTGTCGATCGATCCATGCTGCGCTTCCAGTGACTCCGCGTTGTTAAGTGTCACCTCGATTGTGCGGTGTTCGTGGTGTCGATCGATCCGTGCTGCGCTTCCAGTGACCGCCAACTCCTCGGACCCTTTGCTGAGTGCCCTGGAGTCGCTCCGCGCGGCGCTTGGGAACGGATCTCTGAGCGCCCTGGGGGTCGTGCGGCTCCTCAACAAATGCGGGGCGTCCGACCTGGCGTCCCCTGCGCTGCTCCAAGTTGCCAGCAACTCCAGCCTGGGTAACACACGCGCGCACGCAGCGACGTCGCTGTGCAGGCGGTATCACACTCCGGGAGAGGGGGCGAGGATGGGGAGCCCTATTTGCGAAACTGCTCTCAGCCACCGGACATCATAGAACTCAACAAAGACACCCATAGACCCACGGAGAGACCCACATGCTCGTATCGAAACCCGAAGACTCACGTATAAATCCATATGCGTATGTAAAAAACCCAAAGATTCAAATAATTAGCCATAGACTCGCAAATATACCCATGGACTCACAAATATACCCATAGACTCACAAATATACCCATAGACTCACACATATACCCATAGATTCACAAATATACCCATAGACTCACACATATACCCATAAACTCACAAATATACCCATAGACTCACAAATATACCCATAGACTCACTAATATACTCATAAACTCACAAATATATCCATAGACCCATAGACTCACAATATACCCATAGACTCACAAATATACCCATAAACTCACAAATATACCCATAAACTTGCAAATATACCCATACACTTACATATTGACCCATAGACTCATAAATATACCCATAGACTCACAAATATACCCACTGACTCGCCAATATACCCATAGACTCATAAATATACCCATAGACTCACAAATATACCCATAGACTCGCAAATATACCCATAGACTAACAAATATACCTATAGACTCACAAATAAACCAATAAACTCGCAAATATACCCATACACTCGCAAATAAACCCATAAACTCGCAAATATACCCATAGACTTACATATTGACCCATAGACTCGCACAGAGAGCCATATGGCGACATAGATATCAGATGTGCAGGCGGTGCAACTGCACAGGGACCGAAGGGGCTCAGTCCCCGGGCTACGAAGAGCAGGGGGGGGGGGTCATTGAATTCCTCGCTTCACGTCTCACGCCGCTAAGCACGCGACACCACTGCACGTGTCGCTGTGCGCGGGGAGCGGTGGTGTAGTGGTTAGCGCGCTGCGCTACGAACCTGGCGACTCGAGTTCGATTCCCGCTCACGACGGCCAACACCCGCGACGGTTATCTGAACTGGTCATGGTCTTCCCCTAGGTCGACTCAGCCTCAAATGAGTACCTGGTTGCGATGTGCCTTCATAGGTGTTCACTAACAGCACTTGCCCCAAGCGTATGTTAAGGCTATGCGGAGGATATTTGTCTTTGTGTGCGAGTGTGTATAAGTTGCGATTATCTTAACTAGACCTGGGCTTCTCCTAGGTCGACTCAGCCTTATATGAGCACCTGGTTCGGTGTGAAAACATTCGCATTGAGGAGACGAAGACGGCCAGGTGTGATTCTGGCCACATCACCTCCTCGTTCGCCGTGCCAGCCTTCGTAGGATCGCTTAACAGCACTTGCCCTAACAGTCTGCACGAGGCTATCCGGTGGACCTTTTTCTCGTGTATGTTTTTGCGTACATGTGTGGTGGTGGTGTTGGAGCAGGCTTCCTGAGGGGAGGGGGCTGTGGGGTCGGTAGGATCCCACAGGACCCCACCCCTCTGGGAAGCGGTACAAACCTGTTGTGGGCGGTTGTGTGTCATGTGGGTCCAGGGCCTTCCGTGGGGAGGGGACTGGGGGGTCGGTAGGATCCCACAGAAACCCGCCCCTCGGGGAGAAATTGTATAGAAGGTGGGACCCAGAGAGCAGAGAGGGCAGTTCGACCAAGCCAAGATGAAGTTGCCAGTGAAGAGAGAAGACCGACTAGCCAGACCCTGGAACTCCTCTGACTCGCTGCCATTTTCAGGGCCGGGCAGAGCAAGCCAGGGTGCGACCCCAGAGCCGTGAGGGCCGATATGGCTGGTGGTCGAGACCTCCTTGTGAGGGGGGTCTAGAATAGAGGGAGGCAGGGAGTTCACGTGGGCATTAACTCGGGGAACACTTCCCTCTATATAGGACGGGTGAAGAGGCCGTTACCTCTTCAAGTGTCAGGGTCGCTACTGTTGAAGCATTTGTAATAAATACGTGTTGCCTCAAGTCAACAGTCTTCGTCGTCAATAAGGCCATTACACATGCATGCACCTGTTAATGTATCTCACCGTGGTGTTACAGATCAGTGGCCCGCGACCATGCCAGAGGTCGCTGCCAAGGTCCAGAAGACGTTCAACGTGACAACCCAGGACATTGTGTCCTGGGTCTCCAAGGTCCTGCAGCTCTGCTCTCCATCAGCAGCCGCGGCGGGGGGGTCGACTGCTGCTCCTGGGAGCCAGAACCCCAGTAGAGCTTTCCCTTCAGCCAGCCAGAACCCCAGTGTAGCTTCCCCTTTAACCAGCCAGAACCCTAGAAGTGCTTCCACTTCAGCCAGCCAGAACCCTAGTAGAGCTTCCCCTTCAGCCGGCCAGAACCCTAGTAGACCTTCCCCTTCAACCGGCCAGAACCCCAGTGTAGCTTCCCCTTCAACCAGCCAGAACCCTAGAAGTGCTTCCATTTCAACCAGCCAGAACCCTAGAAGTGCTTCCACTTCAGCCAGCCAGAACCCTAGTAGAGCTTCCCCTTCAACCGGCCAGAACCCCAGTGTAGCTTCCCCTTCAGCCAGCCAGAACCTCAGTAGCGCTTCCCCTTCAGCCGGCCAGAAGCCTAGCAGAGCTTCCCCTTCAGCCAGCCAGAACCCTAGTAGAGCTTCCCCTTCAGCCGGCCAGAACCCTAGTAGAGCTTCCCCTTCAGCCGGCCAGAACCCCAGTGTTGCTTCCCCTTCAGCCGGCATGAACCGCAGTAGTGCTTCCCCGTCAGCCGGCCAGAACCCCAGTAGAGCTTCCCCTTCAGCCGGCCAGAACCCTAGTAGAGCTTCCCCTTCAGCCGGCCAGAACCCCAGTGTTGCTTCCCCTTCAGCCGGCATGAACCGCAGTAGTGCTTCCCCGTCAGCCGGCCAGAACCCCAGTAGAGCTTCCCCTTCACCCGGCCAGAACCCCAGTGTAGCTTCCCCTTCAGCAGGCCAGAACCCCAGTGGAGCTTCCCCTTCAGCCGGCCAAAATCCTAGTAGAGCTTCCGCTTCAGCCGGCCAAAACCCCAGTAGAGCTTCCCCTTTAGCCGGCCAGAACCCCAGTAGTGCTTCCCCTTCAGCCAGCCAGAACCCCAGTGGAGCTTCCCCTTCAGCCAGCCAGAACCCCAGTAGAGCTTCCGCTTCAGCCGGCCAAAACCCCAGTAGCGCTTCCGCTTTAGCCGGCCAGAACCCCAGTGTAGCTTCTCCTTCAGCCGGCCAGAAGCCTAGTGGAGCTTCCCCTTCAGCCGGCCAGAACTCCAGTAGAGCTTCCCCTTCAACCAGCCAGGAACCCAGTGTAGCTTCCCCTTCAGCCGGCCAGAACGCTAGTAGCACTTCCTCTTCAGCTGGCAAGAACCCCAGTAGTGCTTCCCCTAAAGACGGCCAGAACCCCAGTAGAGCTTCCCCTTCAGCCAGCCAGAACCCTAGTGGAGCTTCCCCTTCAGTCGGCCAGAAACCTAGTGTAGCTTCGCCTTCAGCCGGCCAGAACTCCACTAGAGCTTCCCCTTCAGCCGGCCAGAACCCCAGTAGAGCTTCCCCTTCAGCCGGCCAGAACCCCAGTGTAGCATTCCCTTCAGCCGGCCAGAACCCCAGTAGAACTTCCCTTTCAACCAGCCAGAACCCCAGTGTAGCGTCCCCTTCAGCCAGCCAGAACCCCAGTAGAGCTTCGCCTTCAGCTGGCCAGAACCCCAGTAGTCCTTCCCCTTCAGCCAGCCAGAACCCCAGTAGAGCTTCCCCTTCAGCCGGCCAGAACCCCAGTAGAGCTTCCCCTTCAACCAGCCAGAACCCCAGTGTAGCGTCCCCTTCAGCCAGCCAGAACCCCAGTAGTCCTTCCCCTTCAGCCAGCCAGAACCCCAGTAGAGCTTCCCCTTCAGCCGGCCAGAACCCCAGTGTAGCATTCCCTTCAGCCGGCCAGAACCCCAGTAGAGCTTCCCCTTCAACTAGCCAGAACCCCAGTGTAGCTTCCCCTTCAGTCGGCCAGAACCCCAGTAGAGCTTCCCCTTCAGCCGGCCAGAACCCCAGTAGAGCTTCCCCTTCAGCCAGCCAGAACCCTAGTGTAGCTTCCCCTTCAGCCGGCCAGAACCCCAGTAGAGATTCCCCTTCATCCGGCCAGAACCCCAGTGGAGCTTCTCCTTCATCTGGCCAGAACCCCAGTGTAGCTTCCCCTACAGCCGGCCAGAACCTCAGTAGAGCTTCCCCTTCAGCCAGCCAGAACCCTAGTGTAGCTTCCCCTTCAGTCGGCCAGAACCATAGTGGAGCTTCCCCTTCAGCCGGCAAGAACCCTAGTGTAGCTTCGCCTTCAGCCGGCCAGAACTCCACTAGAGCTTCCCCTTCAGCCGGCCAGAACCCCAGTGTAGCTTCCCCTTCAGCCAGCCAGATCCCCAGTAGAGCTTCCCCTTCAGCTGGCCAGAACCCCAGTAGTCCTTCCCCTTCAGCCAGCCAGAACCCCAGTAGAGCTTCCCCTTCAGCTGGCCAGAACCCCAGTAGTCCTTCCCCTTCATCCGGCCAGAACCCTAGTGGAGCTTCCCCTTCAGCCGGTCAGAAGCCTAGTGTAGCTTCCCGTTCAGCCGGCCAGAACCCCAGTAGCACTTCCGCTTCAACCGGCCAGAACCCCAATAGAGCTTCCCCTTCAGCCGACCAGAACCCCAGTGTAGCTTCTCCTTCAGCCAGCCAGATCCCCAGTGTAGCTTCCCCTTCAGCCGGCCAGAGCCCTATTGGAGCTTCCCCTTCAGCCGGCCAGAACCCCAGTAGCGCTTCGCCTTCAGCCGGCCAGAACCCCAGTAAAGCTTCCACTTCATCCAGCCAGAACCCCAGTGTAGCTTCCCCTTCAGCCGGCCAGAACCCCAGTGTAGCTTCCCCTACAGCCAGCCAGAACCCCAGTAGAGCTTCCCCTTCATCCGGCCAGAACCCCAGTGTTGCTTCCTCTTCAGCCGGCCAGATCCCCAGTAGAGCTTCCCCTTTAGCCGGCCAGAACCCCAGTAGAGCTTCCCCTTCAGCCGGCCAGAACCCCAGTGTAGCTTCCCCTTCAGCCGGCCAGAGCCCTATTGGAGCTTCCCCTTCAGCCGGCCAGAACCCCAGTAGTGCTTCTCCTTCAATCGTCCAGAACCCCAGTGTTGCTTCCTCTTCATCCAGCCAGAACCCCAGTAGTGCTTCCCCTTCAGCCGGCCAGAACCCCAGTGTAGCTTCCCCTTCAGCCGGCCAGAACCCCAGTAGAGCTTCCCCTTCATCCGGCCAGAACCCCAGTGTTGCTTCCTCTTCAGCCGGCCAGATCCCCAGTAGAGCTTCCCCTTTAGCCGGCCAGAACCCCAGTAGAGCTTCCCCTTCAGCCGGCCAGAACCCCAGTGTAGCTTCCCCTTCAGCCGGCCAGAGCCCTATTGGAGCTTCCCCTTCAGCCGGCCAGAACCCCAGTAGTGCTTCTCCTTCAATCGTCCAGAACCCCAGTGTTGCTTCCTCTTCATCCAGCCAGAACCCCAGTAGTGCTTCCCCTTCAGCCGGCCAGAACCCCAGTGTAGCTTCCCCTTCAGCCGGCCAGAACCCCAGTAGAGCTTCCCCTTCAGCCGGCCAGAACCCTAGTGGAGCTTCCCCTTCAGCCGGCCAGAACCCCAGTAGAGCTTCTCCTTCAGCCAGCCAGAACCCTAGTAGCGCTTCCCCTTCAGCTGACCAGAACCTCAGTAGAGCTTCCCTTTCAGCCAGCCAGAACCCCAGAGGTGCTTCCTCTTCAGCCGGCCAGAACCCCAGTAGAGCTTCCCCTTCAGCCGGCCAGAACCCTAGTAGCGCTTCCCCTTCAGCCGGCCAGAATCCCAGTAGAGCTTCCCTTTCAGCCAGCCAGAACCCCAGTAGAGTTCCCCCATCAGGGAGGCAGAACTCGAGTGCCAGACCTGCTTCAGTCAGTCAGAAATCCAAGGGGAAAGATCAGAAGGAAGACGAGGGGTCCACGGAGGAGAAAGAGAATACAAAAGAGCCCAAGAAGAAAGAGAGTAAGAAAGACGAGCCCACGAAGGAGAAAAAAGCGTCCTCGCGCAATGAGAATTAAATGCTTTCGCTGGGCATTTAAGGAGTAACAGACCGGAAAACAAAACGTTGATAGGCAAAGCGTCAGCCAGACAAACAGGCAGACAGATAAGCAAAGCTACGGGCTGTTGAACCATCAGACAGACGAACGAATATGTGTTGTCTGTTCAAAATGTTTAGCATACTTCCCGACATGCAACTTACTTGAAATTTGCCATGTGGGTACTTTCCAGACTGTACACCATGCAAAAATTATAAAAATACACTTTTGTTTTTTTTTATGGGGGGGAGCTCAATAATTCATATATTTTTTGCACAGCAAGTGAGCTGTGACGTAAAGTCTGTCACATGACCCTCGCATGTGGAAGCGTAACGCATTGTAGTGTTGTGGTTAGCGCGCCGCGCTACGAACCCGGCGACCCGAGTTCGATTCCCGCTCACGGCTACCACCGGTGACGATTATTTGAACCGGTCCTGGGCCTCCCCTAGGTCGACTCAGCCTCAAACGAGTAACTGTTGTGGTGTGAACATCGCCACTGGGGAGACAAAGGCGGCCGGGTGTGGTGAATCCAAGTCCCGGGCGAAGCCGGGTAGTACAGCTAGTTACCAATGTATTAACAAACCTGATGAATGACTTAAGAGTGGGCATATATATTCTAGTAGCTACCACGTGTTCCAACGATGTGGCGGGTTGCTTTCGTGTTGATTACGCTTCGTGTTTCATTTGCTGCCGTGCAGAGGCCTACCTCGGGCCCTGTGAAGGAATTGTCTTATGGTTGTTATTGTTTGACTTGCATCACACTGGGATTTTTGCACACAGCGTTGTAATACGGTTGTTTTTAATAGAAGATTTGCTGGTTTATCCAGGATTTTTCTGTTGCGCGTCGTCGCTTTAAGATGTTCTCTGTTCATATTTTGTTTGTTGCGGTTGCACCTGCCTCAAGAACCGCATGGCCCACAGGGCTATACCTAATAAATGAAACTTGAAAACTTGAATCACCCCGATACCTCTGGCAAGCCCTAGGCTAAAGAAGCTCTCATAGCCACTGCCTGCAGTGGTGTGTGAACCCGATGGGTTCCGTGCCCCAACCAATTGCTAGACCTGGCGGTGGTGGTGTCTTAATGGATAGATTGCGGGCCCTGGACATTCGTTGGCATCTGAGGAGTCTGGAGTCGCTGGTTCGAATCTGGACGACTCTCCGGAAGAGCTTAATTCAGCTGCTGGGACGACGGCGTTCGGTCTACCAATCTTACTAAGCCGAGGCTACTGGGTGGTAAGTAAAGCAGTGTTTAGATACTGCTGACCCCTTAAAACTGACCCCTAAACCTTAATCCCTAATCACTAACACTTGGCCTTAAACCCTAACCCCACCCCTCGAACCCATAGTTCCTAACCGTTCACATTACCTCCTAACTTTACACCCGAACGCCTAACTCTTTACGTGACCCTAAACCATATTTTATGACCTTATACCCTAACTTCTAACTCTACGCCCTAAACCTCAACCAGGGGGGGGGCAACTCACACCTTGTGCTCCCCCCCCCCCCCGACGCCTTCAAACTAAACCGGAACTATTACATCTGACACCGAAACGTCGAAGCGCGCCCCCCCCCCCCCAAAGCGCCGGGCCCGGGGCAGTCACCATGATTCGCTGAACCCTAGGGACGGCTCTGCCTGCAAGAAACCCAACGGAGTGGCGTCCCTCCTCATTCAAACGCCCTCGGAGGAGTCTGGATCCTCTCCTCTGAGTGCCACACTCTCGGTGTCTATGGGGCAGCAGCAGCGGTCACTACCAGCCTTGTGACTGGAGTCGCGCTATGCTTTGCTAAAAAAAATGTACCTCGTGTCCCGACAGCGAATGCCTTTGGAATGTAGACGCTTCGCAGCTTTTATTAAAGTGGCGTGCTTACGAAACGTGTGCACCGACGAAAGTCCTTTGTTGTTTTGTCTGTTTAATGGTGACTGTGTCGACAAGTTCTGCCAACGCGAATGATTAAACACTGATGAACATGGCCTAGCTGAACCCCGAGTCTCTCTCCTGCCCGCATGTTGCACACCCGAACGTGGTTTTACATCGCGATGGGTTTGTTTTTTAGACGTGGCACAGGAGAGTCGTCGTTTCGTCCAACACTTGCGCCTCTAAACAACTCACACCATGCACTCAACATCAGAATTCGAACAATGATTTGTACTGGAGGAATCGGATGAGCTATAAAGCTCTTTTTCACGTGGCGCTAAGCTGAGTCGAAGCCAGGGGTTGGTCGTAGAACCTCTTACCGAGGGCCGAATAGGACTTTCAGCTCCCAATCTGCGGGCAACCACCACACATTGCCACACACCGCAGCGTTATGTAAAAAGTATGAATGTGCGCTCACCTTTACAGGTGACCGGGCGGATTAAAATTAGAAACACAGTGGCACCAGCCACGGTGGCGAGATGTTAACTACCTCGCCTGGTATACAGGAGGTCGTGAGTTCGTTCCTGACCCTGACGCCTGTATATTTGGATGTGCATGCTTTCCCCGTGGTCGCGTGGATTTTCCTCTGGGTCCTCCGGATTTATCTCCACATTTATAAACATGTGTTTTGAGCATTCGGCCGCTATACATTTGCGCGTGATAAGCCACTTTCATTGAGCACTAATTTGTTGGCCAGGTCGCTTCTAAAAAAGAGCTTTATAGTTCATTGGGCCTTACCTGGTAAAATAACAAAAATGTTTGTAGTTTTTAGAAATATTTCCCCCCCCCCCCACCCAGTACCCGATTAGTGCAACTCAGAAGTTTGGGCAGCGGTTTTGAAGATCGGCCGCGACATGGATAACGGGGGGGGAGGTGGAGGGAGAGGGAAAACGCGTGAGACCGTCAACACATGGCCGGGCGATTCATCATCACCATCATCATGATCATCGTGAGCCATGGTCAATCCACTGCTGGATGAGGGCCTCCCCAAACCGTCGCCATCTCTCACGCGGCACACGCACGCAAATTTATTTGGGGTTCCTTGCAGCTGCCACCTTGGCATTGATGCACAAGCACAGGTAACACCAAGAACAAACAAAAACATCAATACCACTGTGGCCTTAAAAGGACACGTGTATGTATGGCATATGTAATAGGCGACAATATCACTCGTTAAGCATGTGAGTAGGTAGTGGGTATGCAAAATGGTACTTTTACGTAGCATTGGAGGTGTGTATTTATATCTGTCCTACACGTATGTGACAGCACAGCAAGTAGGTTACAACCAGGCTATTCATTTAAGTTGTCGAATACTGTATTACAAATATAACATGAAAAATAAGATTAGGTTTTACCCTTTCCAGCAATAAAGCAGGTGTTAAGATGTTCAAACACCAAATAGGTACCTTTTGAAAGGAATCAAGTGACTGAATTAACCACACGTACTTGTGGTGAACATGCACACATGCTCTGATAATACTGGTAGGAACCTCCTGGTTACACCAGCCCACAGGGGATTATTTTGTCCGTCCGTCCGTCGTGCATCCAAAAATAGGAGGGCTGGGTGGAGAGGGGAAGGTGGGGAGGGTGGGGAGGGGCTGGGTGGGGAGGGTGGGGCTGGGTGGGGAGGGGCTGGTCACCCCGTGGTGCCCTTATAAAACTCAACGTTTAACCTACTCACGCCGGCTTGTGCCCGCCCTCATAGTCGGGCATATTTGCGGAATGACCCTGGCCATTGACTGAGCAACCCAACGTTCCTACCAGCTCCCTCCGCTGGAATGTGTTTTATGGCCATTGTCTTTGATACGATTGGCCTGCACCAGAGGCAACCTCCTTTATGGCCAAGCCTCACCAGTGTCAGACCAGAGAACGCCAAAAGGCGAACAGTAGAAAGACAATGCAGGTGTAATGGGCTCGAATTAGGCGCACACACAACTTCTTGGGAGGCAACACTATTTATTATCTCAATGTAACACTTTAACATAGGGTGGTGACCACCGACCTATCCTCGCTAACACTGCCTCTCGGTTACAACTAGCGTGACCCAGCCTGGAGGGCTACTGGCTGGGTCACGCTGACTGGAGGCTTGACTCTTCTTCACGAGGCGTCTTCGCGAGGCGTCTTCTTTCTTGACACGAGCGGTCTCGAACCCGCTGAGGAGGCCGCTTCAATGCTCCTCGGCGTGCCCGGGCCACACCCCCGGCCACGCCCACCTTCGAGAACTCTCGAGAAGCTGCTCGGCTGTCCACGTGGTCCCCCAAGGTGGCCCCGGGGGCCCCCGGCCCCCACCTTGATCCGGTCACGTGTCCAGCCGGGTTCACTCAGAGTGTCACGGCCTTACACAACCCCCGTGGCCCTCACTCCCGGCCTCCAGATCCCCTGAACCTGCCCCGACGTCATTCCTGCCTCCAGTCCGGGATGACGTCGTGTGTGTGTGTGCGTGTAGACCCGCGTGCTAGTGACGCTCCACCGCATAGTGACGTCACACGTGTGCGTGTGTGTGCGTGTACACAGTAGTGACGCTACAAGTCACTACACAGGTAATCAGAGCGTTGATATAGCTCGGGGCAAACAGCTGTATCATAGGATCATATTGTGTCAACACTTGCATGCAACGCGCAGGGCGAAGCGTGGTGGTCACTAGAGGGCAGCACAACAAGCATGTTGCTGGCTCACCACACGACCTGTACCGTCTGGATAGTTTACGACGCACGCTGAACTTCTTTCGCACCGTACGTAGCCAAACGTGCCAATCGGAGGTGCTGCCCGCCTTCAAACAACCCCCGTGACCCAGGTGGCGTGATGAGGCCCTCATCCAGCAGTGGACTGACAAAAGGGCCGTGCGCGTACGTGAAGTATTAGAAAACATGTTGTGTCATTCCTCTGAGTGGCATCGTTGTGTTTCCCTACCTCCGTGTGAAACTCCAGCAACAACAATAGTGCCATTACAGTATTTCCCAAAATTGTAATGGAAAGCGCTGCTGATGTGAATCATCCCGTCGAAGGTGCGGGCGATCTCCAGGCATCTCAAGCAAAACAAAAACAATACATCACAAAGTGGGAGCGTTCCTCTTAAAAAGAATGTGTCTTTGAGATTCGTGAAATACATTGCATATCTATACAGGGTGCTTGAAAAAAAATGTTTACACTTCTGAGAATTTGCAACAATAGCCACAAGAAATGTGCCTCCGCGGTCTGGAGACCACGTGGAGTAGATTCCAGGCGTGCGTTGACAACGATGGCGAACAAGTGGAGACTCTGACTTTTTAAAGCTATTAACATTACATTTGTTATCATGTTACAGTGTATTGTCCGCTCTTT